AAGGGTCTGTACTTGACAGCTGAAGACGTTGAAGCTAACATCAACAGTGACACTTTGACGGGTGCCATCACGCGAGGTACGCAATAAAAAAATAAAGGTGGATAGGATTTGTAATTCGCTAAAAAAAGAAAGCAACATTGTTCCCCGCAATTAGTCATCGCCCTGGAAAACACGCTGAACGGTACATTGATGCCCATTGAGGAAATCAAACGTATTCGGGCTGTTTGCGACAAACATGGCGTGTATTTACATCTGGACGGTGCCCGTCTTTGGAACGCAAGCGCTGCTACTGGAATCCCCATGAACGAATATGGCAAGTTATTTGATTCCATCTCTGTCTGCTTGTCCAAGGGCGCGGGTGCACCCATTGGTTCAATCGTGGCTTCCACCAAGGATCGTATCCGTCATGCTCGCCATGTGCGTAAGCTCATGGGAGGTGGCTGGCGACAGGCAGGATTCCTTGCCAAGATCGCCCGTCACTGCGTTGAGACGGTGGTCCCCACCATTCCCGAGACACACAAGCTCGCGACACGTCTGTCTGAGCATTTGCAATCGCTTGGTGTTCGCTTGGTGCTTCCTTGCCATACCAACATGCTGTTCATTGATGTGGCACCTACGGGACTGACCGTTGAAGATTTTGCTGTCGAACTGAGAAAGAAGAACATCAAGATTACTGCAACCCCCGGTAGCACCATTTCGCGTGTGGTGTTACACTATCAGGTTACACCTGAGGTTGTCGAGCAGTTCATGGATACTGCAACCCGCGTTGTGCAGGCGCACGGCAAGCCTGTTGCATCTGCTGTCGCCATGGAAACAGATGCTAAGGATAATGGCAATAGTGCAATCGAGTCCTTGAGCTCTGCTTATCCTTCGGGCAAGAACTAAGTCTCCTTTCCCTCCCTCGCAAATGCCATCTTGCATCTTTACATATATTCCCCCGCAACAACAGTTTCCCCTCCCCCATATTTTTTTGAAAGTCAAAAAGCATAATTTGTGTCGTACACTTTAGACTCCCAATTTTGATGTCTTCCTCTCCGTTTTTCTTTGTTAGAAACCTCTGTCAGAAAACTTTTTAACAAAATCCATAATTTCTACATTCAAAACATATTTACATATTGTAATCGTAACGTTTAAAAAAGAATACTCCTATTTTGAAGCTACAATAACCATGTTTCTAGGTGATGTGATGGGATCGAATAGTGGCCACATCCAGACACCCTTTGTTTCCGAATCGGGTATATCAGCCAGCTGTTCTTTGAGATACAGCCATCGATCTGCCAAAACAATGCTTTCTAATAACGGTGCAAGCAATGCTCGAACGGTCCACAAAATGGCAATCTGTTTATCCATTTGTCTGGTAGTCTTAAATTCTGCATAATATGCTTCTGCTTCTTCGATCGAAATTGCATCTTGAGGCATCTGCAGACGCTTTAATGCTGCTTGAACGTACACCGGGAATGACACAAAATCCTTCTTTTTGTTCAACCTGCCAATAATCGGTGGTTTGTCCACGTGGGCAAGGCCTTTCTCCACCATGATATACTATATCGAGCAACCAAACGGTGAGTCATGATGATGCATGTTTTAGTTACACACGAGACATCAAAATTAGGAACTATTATACTAGCCCAATTCAAGCTAAAAAGATCAAAATCTTGGGGTACACGTACCTGTAGCAATGCTCGGAAAAAATGATGTTCAAAAGACTTTAATGTTTCCTCCTGTTTATCTGACCACCGTGATGGGGTTTGACATGCCAACATGTGTGCTATCGATCCCATACGATAATCCAATTGATCCTTGACGAATCCAGATAGCGGGAACCCTGCTGGTATCGATGAAGATGGTGACTCGTTGTTGCGCGGTTGATGTTCTTCCGTCAAAAAATGGTAGCAACAACCGACATTGACAAGGGATGTGATGGCATTACTTTTGATAAATAACCGCAACATTAAGCTTGACAGATCGCCACAGGCGTGTAAACCACACACGAGCCATTTCTCGTCCTCTTGCTGTTTACTCCATCTTGCCAATAGGGTAGATACGTTCTCGGGCGTCACCATATCTGTAACATGGTTCAGCTCACCATCCGAGGGTCGTGATCGTAATGCACGTTGATCGAACCATTTAGCACCGCAGGTTTGTACTTCTGATCCATCGACGGCAAGTACATGAAGCTTGTGTTGAAAGGCAAGCGTCCTTGACAGATAGCCTTGACCTGCTCCCAAATCCATGATAGATCCAAGTTCACGACGTGAGGCAACGCGTTGGACGACCGTGCTCATTGGACCTACCTTTTAAACATAATCTGTCAGAGTCTCTCTTCCAGAAGGTTTGTAGTAGCACACTAGAAACCAAAACGAACCTCGTGTATCTTCTTTTCTGACATTCCTAACCGCAAGACCTTATCAATAGTAGTGTACTGCTTATCATCTTTAGATCAGAAATTCAGCACATGAAAAAATATAAATATGATGAGTTTAACAGGATCTAAAAAACAAAAAAGGTGGGATGGATCACGCATACTCAACAGCCAAATAAAGGTTTTCGAGGTAATGCCAATTTTTTGGCAGTTTCAACATATTCCTTGAGCGACTCGGGCCAGCCATCCTATTATCGTCGTTCACGTTACCCCCAAAAGTTATTATTCCCTTATTCCTACCCTTATTGCATAACCAAAAAAAAAACGCCAATGGGCTTACCAGACTCGTGTTCTCTGAAGCCAGGCATACGAGTGGCGAGATCCAGTCGTAGTCGTCGTTACGATTGCTTGGTAGCAACGCTTCTCGCCACGTCGCAGGTAAAATGGACCACTGATCATGACCGACAAAGTTTACAATGTGCATGTTGATGAGTCGATCGAATTTTGACGTAAAAGAAACCAGCGATTCGAGATAAGCTTGAGGATCGGTAAAGCCATCGGGCAAATAGATCTCGCGATCCGGCAGATCTGTCAAGTTCATGGTGAACAAGGCGTTTTTTTGTGTGTTATGGGGAAGAACCGACAAATTTTCCCTAATTTGGCGGCAAATAGAAGTTCAGCTTGAACAACCCTACTTGATAAAGCTGCTCTTATTCTATAATGATCCCATTTTAAGCATAGAATCTTGGCACGGCATATAATATACGGACGGTTCTAGACGAAAAGATTATATGTAAAACTTAAGCTGTCAGACGCACTGCAAGGAGGCATCTTACTGTTTTGTCAATACGACTACTTTCATGACAGGTATCTTGCCAAGTTTACATCGCCGACATGACGATTACAATTATAGCATCAGCACCGGGCAGAACCTCACTTTTATAGATAAAAGCTAGACATTATTTCAGCTGCCAACGTCCGAAGCCATATTCAAAGCAGAGCGCTTCTTACGAATTCCTCTGATCTGTACCAAGAAGTTGTTGTTCTTTTTCCTGGTTCGGATGTTACGCCATTGCAAGTCTACTATTGGTGGCACGAGACTTTCAACCGGGAATACCACCCTAAACGACGATCAAATGGTTTCCTCAAGGCTTATTGTTGAAAAATATAGCAATCAAGGCTTTCGCGAGGTATGTATAACAATATTTCACTAACAGAAAAACATAGCCTTTGCTTCTTGAGCTTGTTTTGCTTTATGAGCGTCAAAAAAGGTATTGTTAGTTAGCATATAGTATATATTATCTTTTAACGACAATAAATACTAGGTGTTTTGAAAGTATACATTTGAAGTTTGTGCATTTGGTTTCGTTACGCCATTTTCCCCTGTGTTGGTTGAGTGCGAGTATGTGGAGGAGTACTGCATCGATTCCACTTACAAACAAATCGTGCTGGGTCTGAGTTGTTTGGTATCATAGCAAACGTGAACGGTGTTGGATATCCAATAAGCAAGACCTTTGAGCAAGATCGAAACTCTTACAGAGTTTTTCGGACAACTAAAGGAAGACGGATTCGATCCATTGTTCATGTTTTCGGATATAGACGCGGCACAGATGAATGCTATCGAGGGCGTATGGGGAGAATCACGACTGCACCTTTGCCTCAGGCATATGCAACGGTCAGTGGATAAAAAAACGGCATACAATGTCCAACAAGCACGAGAAGATTTTCCCTTTGTCTATATGCATTTTACACCATCCATCGGCGGTCGTACTGGGATCATTTGTCGAAAAGAGGATCGTCAGCATATTGTTTCGCTCATGACAAAACATTATCATCAACATCCTTTGATTCCAGATGGTAACGTCTTCGCGCTTGTCTCACATCTTTGACCGAATTACTCTGTATATATAATATGACTTCATAAATCATGTGTAAGTTAATCGTAGCGATTCTTCTGTATAGGTACTGTACAACGCACAGCCGAACAAGTCCAGCTACATGTTTTGCGTCACAAAGAATTACATAGATGCCTGGATATACAGCTGGTGCTACCTATATCAAATCAAACCTCAAAGGTGTTTCTAAACCATGTGGACGTATATACAATGTGTACTACCAATGAAGCATTTTAAGTCTTGTTGTGCCATTAATCAAAAGCAAGATTATCATAGATATAGCGTATGTTATCAAAAAAACCAGTTTATGACTATGCCTCTAGTATCAACGCCGTTATTACAGGTGTTGCATATGTGTAGCAGTGACACATGCATTTGCAGATGTAGGCACTCGTTGAACAGCTTTTTTACTATGATACGTTCTTCGATAATTGATGATGGTGATGGATGTCGTTTTTATAGCTGTTTTGCATTGAAACAAAATAATGAATTTCTACAAGTTGGATGCACTGTGGTCAGTTGCCGCTCGGCAAATTCTTAAAAGTGAACATCTCCAACGGCACGCCAGAGATCGCACTTCTGGTTGTATTATTAGTAAATGGATCGCTCTGTCCACGGAACCACACCGGCAAATGCACAATTCATCATTTCCTTTCAGAGATTGGCTGGTCTCGTTTCCTGCAGCAAGCTGCTCCTCGAAAAGCATTTATTATAAGAGTTATTTAATCAGCCCATGCTCAGGATAGTTAGAAACACTTCTTCAAGAGAGTAGAAACGAAATCAATAAAATTTATTGTACACAAAGACAGAAGAAGACACGTTTATTTATTGTTGCTTGCAAATGACCGGCTTGTATATGAATCCTTCGTTCCTCAAAGGAGAGGTTGCTCTCCCTTGGTCTCCTCAAGCCTCAGTTCCAAAGGAACCTACACCTCCCAATAACAAATCACTACAAATAGAAGAAGATGGGTGAGAGTAGTTTGTCAAGAGGGGAATTACGTGTATACTTACTTTGTGAGTGCACTGCGGTAAAGAACTTTACGGCATGTAGTGCGCTCACGGATAGGGCTCGCTGCAATAGCGACTCGTGCACTGCGTCACAAAGATCCTAATGAAAGTCGCAAATGTACGCCGAAAACAATAACGAATACTGATTCTGCACGTACACCACTCGGACCCAAGTAGTAGAAGACAGCCCTCAAATAGAAGAAGATGGGTGAGAGTAGTTTGTCAAGGGGGGAATTACGTGTATACTTACTTTGTGAGTGCACTGCGGTAAAGAACTTTACGGCATGTAGTGCGCTCACGGATAGGGCTCGCTGCAATAGCGACTCGTGCACTGCGCCACAAAGATCCTAATGAAAGTCGCAAATGTACGCCGAAAACAATAACGAATACTGATTCTGCACGTACATCCACTCGGATCAAGTAGCAGAAGGCAACCCTTCAATAAAGAAGCTGAAAAGGGTATCGTTCAATGAAGTGGAAAAGGTGGAAAAGATCTTTCGACAGTGAGGAAGAAGAAAGAGAAAGGGAAATGCGCAATCGAGTCCAGTTCTTTTGTAGGCGTCACAGTTTGACCTGTTTGACCATCCGATGTTGCACAAGGATCGCGAACAACGGATGACAATCTCTCAAGGGCCATGCTTCACACCGATAACACCTGCACATTGTAGACGCTCCAGGCTCCATGCACACACTCGTCCCATCTCGCTACTTGGCGATCACGATGAGTTTCGTTCTTTTCTGTTCACTGAAGCTTGCCTCTTATCGGTGTACCATATGCATAAGGGGCAAGAGTCGAGTGGGAACATTTCCGAAAGTGTGTGTAACACCAAAAATCTCTTATGATTTCATGCATGAACGGTGCTTCGGAAAGTTTTTCCAGGGCACCAATTCAATAACATGGAAATCGCTACCAAGTTCACTCCAAGTAAGTTTGACTTCCAAAATCAAAATATGTCACAACGGCCGAGTCAAAGAAAGAAGTGGTAGTGACGGTCAAGGGACACAGCCGCAACAACCAGGATGTCGATGAACAGAAGGAGTAGAAAGAAGAGCCAGGGAGCGACAACCTGTCGATGTGACGTTAAAAGAAATTATAGAGCGCGTCGTCACCTGGCTGCTCTTGTCGGCATGAGTTGCTCCTTACATCCACTACTCGATATATTTAGCGCATGTAATTAGCAAGGATGGCTTTAGCTTTTGTTCTAAGTTTGAAAATAGCAGTCAGGGTATACAGGATGACTGGCAGCAGATATGTAGGCAGTAGCAGGGACGGCAGAGAAAAGGTTGTAACCTGATGCTTTTTGAAGCCTTCGAAAGCCTCGGAAAGCTTTCCAGAGCATTCAAAAATCTCAGAAAGCAAACATGAATTTTCGACGTAAGGCTACCAATGAACGTGTGTCAGACCTCCAACATCTGGTCTTTATCGTGAGCGGTCGAGTACCTGTACTGTACCAGCCAATGACCTTAGCAAAGATGTCCTCGCTTTTCGCGCTCCATGAAAACCCTTCTTTGGTAAGGCTTATGAGTTTGCTTTATTGACAACCAATTGCTGTTGCCTGCGGTGTGAGTATTTCTGCTGCGGAGACATTTTGGTATAACGAATGGTATCGTAGCATTTTTCCCCGAGAATCCTTAAACGCTAAACAACACTCGGCAAGGATTGTCGGTATCCTTATACCCCCCTACTACTGGGCGTTAATTTTCAGTTGGTGACATTCCGTACTTAGTAGTGGTATTAAATGCGTCTCTTCGTTCATTTTTTGATTTATCCTGAGCGTCGTAAGATGTAAATCCAATGTGGAAGCACGGCAACAAGCTTTATGCATCTTAGCCATGACATTCGGAATGATTTCTCGAGTAATGCATCTACTACTGGCCGCGACGAGGCCAAACCAACGAATATACGCGATAATCCCTTGTATCCATCGGACACTCCAACGGTCTTCACCACCAATGAATGCTTTAGTCAGCACGTCACAACAGTTGGGAAGCGACTTTAGCGTCTAATAATCAATCCTGTGCCTGAGTCCCCATAGTTCTCGTGGCCCATTCGCATGCCTGATGACTTAAGTTACTGAAACACACACTCAAAACACACACACGGTACGTAATCAGCAGAAATACGGCGACGTATCTTTTGATTTTATACAGCGCAATGCTGCTTTTTTAAAAAAAAATATGCTTTATTAATCTACATACTGCTACTACTACTACTGCCACTGCTGCACTGCGCTACACTGCTACTGCATGCCACTGCTCCACTGCTGCACTACTGCCACTGCTGCCACTGCTGCTACTGCTGCTACTGCCACTGGCTGCTGCCTGCACTGCCCACTGCCCACTGCTGCTGCCACTGCTTCTGCTGCTACGGGTAGTCCTGGCTGAAACGACAAACTTTTGGACGCGGCCATCCCGTTCATCGTTATGCTCGTCGACACTGTGCACGGGTACTTTTTTGCATTCGAAATCTTGGTCACAATTTTCATGATTCAAAGAAAAGAGAGAGAGAGGAAGAGAGAGGAGCAAAGTAGCAGAAATCATTTCCATGCAGTGCTTTTATATCTTATCTGTTCGCTTGGACAGCTGATCCAAAAAAGGAAAAAAAGAAAATTGACAGCGTCACTTGCCAGCCCAGGTGATGCCATGTTACGCCGACAAGCAGTGTTGGACACGCCGAACTATGGGTCTGTCATCTCCCGAGGCATTCGGAATGCAACCTCACTGACATTCCCCTTTACAATGTGCTCACTTCAGGCTACACGTACACACTAGTCTTGTCTTTCTACATGGCTCTCACGAAGTGTCTCCATGTCGTCCATGATCCCGCTCTCTTGAAAACATTTTGCTACAAAAAGTGCAAGGCTCATTCTTCCTACTTCTTCTTTCGGGGTCGTCCGATGCCACTGCTGTAATTGATGATTGTACCACAGAAGTTCTAGATCGTTTGTTGCCCCTAGTAATATAGCCGACTGTTGCCAATGATGTGTACCACTAGTAGGAATATGTAAATGCGTAATGCGCTGCTTTATTATTATATATAATACGTAAATCAGCTGCATCAAACGTCGCATTCCTTGTCTTACTGAAAGTGCCGCCGCCACCATCAAAGAAAATGCTTTGCGCATCAGCACTGGTAGGGCTGGGTTAAGTCTTGTAATCGCCAGACACAGCGGCGCAGCGAAAATCCATCGGCAAAGATGAGCTGCCAAACGCACGTGAAGTCTCACCATCACCGTTTGCTCGGTTTCCGCTTCGCAGTTTCGTTGACACGGTAGCACCCATTGATGAGCTTGGATAAACGCAGTAATTTGGATATAGAAAATACATTGTTGTTCTTGCTGCACTTGTTGTTTCTTGACTACGACGTGCACTGACGATGGTGTGCCTACCACCGAGTTTACATGTAATTGTTGCTGTTGCTGTTCATGATGTAAGAGAACATTGATCAGGATTATCTGCCGGATTTTTTCCTCATATTTGATATACACATACCCGAGACTGACCAAGATAGTAATCCGCATTAGGTGATGATGAGAGCAAAGCCCTGATTCTGACTCTTCTTCCTTCTGTTACCTCGTGATGATAATGTTAACTAGGTTGGAGAATTGTTGGCGAGATTCCCAGAGATGCTTCATCATTGGTGATAGAGTTCTCTCGTTGGCCGTTTAGCAAAATTGAATACTGTAAATCGTCCTCCTGCCCTACTACTACTTCGGTGCCACTATAGCAGTAGGCTCCAAAAAAGAAGCAATGTGCAAAGTCTGAATTGTCAGTGCCACCATCATAGTATGTAATTTTTGAGCGGCAATGGCGTAGATGATGATGTTAACGGTAGATGAATGGGATTCAGCGTATGATAGATTGGTTGTTGTAATTATAAACGGACCAATGCTATTGCTAGCGTTGTTGCTGTTGTAGTCGAGCAGTTATAAGAGGCCGTAGATTCGTAGCTATTCTGTAATCGGTTACTCCTACTGCTGCTGCTGCCCGTGCGCGTACCGAATACAGGCATGGATAGTTCACATTTCATTCTTTCGCTACTGGAGGTGGCGGCGCAAAAATGATTGGCACTATCAATGGAAGACGTATTGTTGGTTCTAGGAATTGTTACTGACTGCTGTCAGCTACATGTCTGTTTCCATCAGCAGACTCGACATGTTGGATGCAATTTATATTGAAAGTTTAGATCAATAGTGCAAAGATGAACATATTTCTCCCAAGATTGCCATTGAACATTGATTTGCTTCTGACACAAGTTTTAAACGAAAGTTGAATTAAAAAGCAAACGTAAATTAAATATATAATGCCAGACACGTTCTCATACAATCCGCATAAAATAATTGAAAGCATCGATATAAACTGCTTATTGCTGTGCAAAATATAGATAACGGCGGTTTTGCCATTAACAAAACTCGATGGTACTACATACGAAAATATATATGGAAAAACACTGAAAACATCATCATGAATATTATCATATACCTTGTAGTACTACAACACCGAACTTTCGCAATGGTTATTATTGTAATTTACAAGCTCACAGATTTCCTGTCAACTTTACCAGCTTCCATTGTAAAATTTACAAGTCCTCTATTTAACAGCTGGATTTACAAGAACCGTTGTGAGAACAGACTGGTAAAAATAAAGTTAACAGACCATTTACAAGCGTGCTCTTAATAAGTGATACGTTTTCTTCCTTGCTTATAAATAATTTCAACTCTCATCATCAAGTATGCAAAGCAGATTTCGCCTTCAAAATCATAACAATCAGCGCAAGGCATCTCCTCGAGCATCGTCCCAGCCACCTGTCTGAAGCTCTGTTTGGCATCAGCAACAGTAATTTTACCTCGAGAGTCTCGACTAAGATGCAGGATCTCAAGAGGAAATGGGAAAGCGAAAGCTTCACTGCCAACCAATCGAGTGGTCAAGGAAGCTTGATTGAAGGGATGACTTAACCTGGTACGATAAGTGTACTACGTGGATTATAAGTATAACACCTAAGTGACACTAACAAATGAACATGATCTGTGAAATAGAGTATGGGGCGCACACTTGGCCTCGTCTTACCCTTGGTGATGCCATCTGGCAAGGTCGCGTTTCAGCAGACTCGAATGTTGCCTTTGACAGCACCGCTGGGTTAAGCTTGAACGGGCAACCAGTGGATGTCTCCACCATTGTCCCTACCCCCAGGGGACTCATCGGCGAACAACAGAGCCACCAAAAGACAAGCATATGTCGACGATGAAACGTTAGTAAACAAAGAGTTATAGAGTCCGTTTTGAGGTTTTGTTCAGTCATCTTTACAAAGTCTAATTGCTTGATAATCATCATTTCGACGTTAGACTTTCTCAAGTGGAACCGTTGATCATGGGCCGAACTCAGGCAGATATTGCTAAGCAGGAAAGGGTGAAGGCCTTTTACGAGCTGAAAAAGGCGCAAGAAGATCGTCAAGCGGATCTGGAACGTGCCGCAGAGGCCAAACGCGCACGTAAACACGAACGCCAGATGGAGAAGGCCCGTGCGATTTATGGAACAATCCAAAGAACATTATTTCTTTTACTGATTCACCTGAAACAAACGTAATTATAGTATTTATAGTATTTATTTTCAAAAAAAAGCAAAACATTATGAACATCCAACTAGATGTGAAAAATATGATAAAATCAGATAGCCCATCAAAATTTTAACTTGCTTGCTCCGTACCTCGAACTGAAGATAATTTTCTGTTAAATGCTGCATTTTCACCTCGTTTTCTGGCTTCTCCTTTGTAAGGAGTGATAACGTGTTTCAACAATGTGTATGCTGCATCACCTAGAATATACTCACCGCCTTCCAGAAACTGACCCATATTCGAGCCCATGGATGTTTTTCTGAACGCGAGAGAGTCGTGAACTTTGCCAGATTCACCAAGACCAAAAAACGAATATTGTTGTTGATATCGCAAACAATTTGGAAACCTAACTGCATGTCGTTTTTTGCGATTGTAAAATTCATTGGGTTGATATAAAGGTCGTCTATACTCCAACACGATGTCAGTTCCATTGACGATCCTGACACATTCATTGAACGCGAGATTCTTGATGTCCTTGAGATCTTGTTTGTTGTTTCAGATGTATCTTTTCTTATTGATCAGGTCAGTACACATACGAATATACATACTTGTGCAGCGCCTTGAGTACACAGCAGTGTGTGCGATTAATAGTTGCACCTTTGGAAATGCCACATCTAGTAGCGCTGTGCATAAGATCATGGCATGTGTGACTAAACCGGTAAAGAGCCATACCACGGTATATAGCAGCAGGCATTTGCTCTGGGGTATATATCGATGTATCGTTTTCGATAAGAGCAAGAACACTATTAAATGTGCTTCTGTACATTCAAACTCGCGACAGAGCTCTTTAACATCATTTATTGTTGAAAGCTTGATCTGCAGCTAGTCGCATGTTTTTGGCTTTGGTTCAGTTCTTGGGCTAAATTAACGAGCCTGAAGGAGTGTCTGGATAATATCCATATCCAATCTTTTGACAAGGTCGTCATCGTTTTGATAATCTTCAATGAGTTCTTCTTCTTCTTCTATTTCCATGAGTTCATTATCAAAATGTCTGAGCGGCAATCGAGTTCGTTCATGAAGAGATGAGTTCCTTCTGAGATTCTCTGTGAAGAGTAGACATAACTCGAATATGTAAAAACCATTTTTTCGCATTTGATTACATTAACTTTAGGCATTTTAAGAGTTTTTGAAATCAGATGAAAAAAGTGATAGAAGTAAAATACTATAAAATTGTAACTGAATATCTGAAGGTCTTAGTCAAACTAACCTTTACCTTCACTGTGATAATTGGCCTGACTTTTTTATTGTATGACCTTCAGATTTGAAGCTTCAGTGTTCAATAGCCTTTGACCAGGCTTGTAATATATAGTAGGTGTCGTGGCTGACTTACAGCAGTTTCGATTAGAAACCAGCGTCATCAAGAAAAGTACTAGTCAGGTTGCTGAGTGGGTCTATCATTTATCTGGTTTTTCTTTTCATCGTCACAGACCCTAGTTATGTAATAGCTGTAGAAAACAAGTGAAGGATAGATCATTCATTCTTTTGAATTAAACAGCAATCTCGAAGACTTTTTCTAGTCCCTTTCTATAGTTGAACACTACAGTAGGAAACTATAATTAGAGATTCGCACAGTTCGGTTCGGTTCCTCTCAAGAACCGAACCGACTAGAACTGACGAGAACCGTAGAACCGAATCGAAGAACCGAACCCATCATGTATATAAAAAAGGCAAGATTTGGTATCTTTAAATGAAAGCTGATGTGTGTGTTCAAATGTCGCGGTATACTTGAATACTGCAGTAAAAAAGAATAGTTTATTATTGTACATTGAACAGCGATCTCAAAATGAATAAGAGAAACAGAATGTAAACATTCTTATACGATGTGGGTCATTGCATGGTTAAAAGATTAAAGCACAGTTTTTACGAAAAAAAGTGGAGCTTATAGTACTTACTTAGAGCGACTTAGTATTACTAGTACAATATGTTATCGTAACATTAGAGGAATTGAACCACAACTGGCAGTACATACAGCTGCTGTGTCTCTACGTGTGTATAGTGTATAGTGTCTCATAAAAGGCAAAGGGTGAATGGGTAAGATAATTCTGTTATGAGCCCCAGAATGCACAATCTCAAACGGAATGCACAAACTTGATAAAACTGATCGAGAAGCCATAATAAATCTAGTAAAGTAGTACGTTATGGAGAAAAATGCATTGTAGGTAGCAAAGTAGAGGAACAAGTAATGATGTGTGTCATGGGGACCGGCCATGGTTACGATGATTTTAATGCGATCTAGTAACCCTAGATGACTTATTAGCTAAGATATATCAGGATAGCCAAATTAATTTTTATTGAATAATTCATGTATGAATGTCTTGGCATGCATATATTTAAAAATTTTGAATAAATAAAAATTGAATTATTTTTATTATATAAAAATAATACCGCATAATATAAAGCAAAACATATTTGTTATATTTTTTATTTTATTACTTCAACAATCGAAATGAACCAACTCAACCTTCTTGCCTTCTTAGCCATTATGGCTGAATTTGTTCCTATTTTAGGAATTACATTGACGCTCTTGATTGAAAGAGCAAAACACCTTGCTGAGAACCATCAGCATATTGATTATGAACCTCTTGTCACACAACTGAGGTCAGAACTGGAAAAAGACCTTACACAGGCTAAAGTAGATAAAGAAACTAAAGATAATGCACGCAATAAAATCATTGGAAGAATTCGAGCATATGTGAGATTCCTCAAATCCTCAAATCCTCAATTTTCCGATGCAATGTTAGAAAATAACACCTCTGGTGCAGATTCCTCGCAGGGCGGCAAAGAATTCCGATTCCAAAATACTAAAGGGCTGTTCACATATATTTGTAAGGACTTCCATTTAACAAAAGAACAAATCATGGAATGGTTTATAAAACATGAACGTATTGGTTATCGAATCGAAAAGGCAATTGTATGTGATGAAATTGCACCAGAAACTGGTGAGAAACATGTTCATATATGGATACAAATGAATGAGCGGTTCGACACAAAAACAGCACGCAAATTCTTTACTATCGATGGTGTTACTCCAAATATAAAACCAGGTGGTAATCCACAAAAGTCTATTAGCTACTGTATGAAAGGAAAAGATTATATTTGTTATAATATGGATCCAAATTATGAAGTTAAGACCAGAAAAATGCACCAACAGTTACTTGGATATCAATTAATCACGAAGCAGCTTAATATGCGGAAGGCTACCGAAATATATCCAGAATTGCTATGGAAATATGATACTGTTAAATCAAATTTAAATTCTTACTTTCATGATGCAGATATGGAAAATAACCCTGGAAATAAATTACATATGTGGTCTATGTTTGGTATTGAAACAATGTTTAGTGGTAAAAATAAGATACCACAATACTGGATCGTAGGTCCATCAAATGTTGGAAAAACATATAATATTGATATGTTAGAACAAGGTGGACATAGGGCATATCTAATGAGTAAAGAAAATGATTGGTCAGATTATAAAGATGATGATTATGACTTTATATATAATGAAGAAACTGGTTCTGATTTCAAATTAACATTTTTAAATCAAATGTTAGAAGGAACACGGTTAAAACTTAATGGCAAATTCACAAAGTTAATAACTAAAAAGAAAAATATGCCAATAATACTGAATAGTAACTATATGCCGCACATGTTATACAAAAATAAATCAATATATGAGTTAGAACCAACGCTCAATCGTTTATATATTATCTATGTTGATAAGAACCGTAAAGGTCATATAATATGGAATCCATACACAATGAAGGTGAAGGATTATGAAAATAAGTTCATGTATTATGAAAACATGGATATGTATGAAGACTTATACAAAGATGAATTCGAAAACGAATACCAAGATCAGCATACATTTATCCGTTATGCACATAACAGTGGTCAGGATGGTATTAAAAAATATACACCGATGGATAAAACAGTAGAGGAACTGCAAGAATTAGCTGATACAGAAGAATATATAAAGGAACAAGAAAAGAAACATAATAGTAATAATAAACAGAACAATAAACAACATAAAACACCTCAACAAAATAATAGAGGATGGTCAACTGTAAAGGCACCCCTACCAGAAGATTGTAGACATTGGGAGGATGTATTAAATGATATAAAATGTGATGAAGTTATAACTGATAACATCGATTGGGAAAACCCACCACAAGACACAGAGAAACATAAATATATAGATGTCAGTACATCTGAATCAGAGCAAAGCAGTGACTGTAATATACCTAATACTATACCAAAACGTAAAAGAAAAAAAGACAAAATAAAAATAAACGGAGAAACAAGAAAGTAGTAGAAGAAATAAAACCAAAAGAATATTTTAAAAAGCATAAGGATATAAAACAGGCTATAATAGAAGATATAGATATAACAAAAGAAACTGACGTCAAAAACAAATCAACAGGTACTAATATAAGTACAAGTATAACTAATGAATGCATAAAACATAAATATAATTGGGCAAGTAAACGAAAGGTTGATGCGGTCAGTTTCAATATGAGGTTTTTTAATAAGCAAATAAATAAGAAATTAACTTAGAGCTGAATACCATGTGTGGCCATATATTCATGTAGCATTTCCCGGGAATTAAACTTATCAACTGTTAACCAACTATTATCCTTTACACTATATCCAACCCACTTAACCTCAAATATGTACTTATTATCAGTATACACATGTCCTACAATCTTCTCAATTTCATATGAATTACCATGTTCTATATTTCTCTGTTCTCTTTGATTTTTTCTCTTGCGTTTAGATGTATTATTTTCAGTTTCTTCCTCACTATCTATAGCCATATCTATTGATTGATTAATATTAAGCTGTAGAAATTTCTGCTGCATGTCAACCATTTCGTTATATTCAGTATTTACTTTTTGCTCATTTGAAAATACCAAGTCAAGTTTGTTTTTCTTACTTGGGAATTCAAAGTCTTTTCCATACCATAATTTATGATGTGGTTGTACCTCTATATTATACTTATTTACAAATCGCCATATATTAGTAAGAATACAAGCAACACGAAACTGAATATTATAATATCTTATATCAGATATTTGCAATGCTGCACGATTATTATTGAATCGTTCAAATTTAGAGCCTAACATAGAAAACTGTACTTCTATTGCTGAACGAAATGATCCAAACTTGTTATTAAAGTATGTCTCATTGATTGTTAACTTTTGTCCTGGTTCTTTTCTTATGGGATGTAAAAAATTACGATCATAAAAACTATATCCAGCATCGGTCGCATTATCTTTGAACTTTTGTATAAATAAATTATATCCACCATCCATCCCTAAACAATCTGCCTCACTTATTTTTTTATATAATTTCATATTAATAAACATAGTACCATCATTTCCGATAGCACATTTTTCAGATAGATGAATAAATTATAACAATAAAATGTATTATTGATTTATATATAATAAATAAAGTACAATTTGATATTTAATATAAATATTTTGTTAGTTTATATTTATAAATTTAAGATATTAAAAAAATAATTTAAAAATATATAAAATTTAAAATTATTTATCATTATTTATTTATTAAAAAGAATATTAATAATTTTTACCATTGTAAAAAAAAGAAACTAAAACATATTATTCATAATAAATAAAAATTTGTAAAATAAAACATAAATAATTTTAATAATTGAAAGTAGCGGAATGGTAGTGAGCACCTCCCTCCTTTACATGAGGAACTTGTGACGAAATGTAACTTGACAATGAGATTTAGAGGTAATGGGTTGGTGAGGGTGTCCAAGCCCATTACGTGTTTTCAATAATAAAAACTTTCCTTAAATTATATATAATTAATAGTTTAAAATTAATGATTATTCATCATACTGAAACATGTGTAATTATTTCATTCATATCCTGTATAACTTGTGTACGTACAGCTGGCCCTTTTAATTTATATGAATATAATTGTGAATGTGACTCATTTGGTTTATAATACTTTATTTTACTATCATGCCCATCAATAAATAGTGTAACATTCTTAAAACCATCTGGATTGTTTATTATTGCTGATAGAATGCGAATACGTGGCGATGAGAACATACTATCTAGATCTTGTTTTACCTTTTTATTCAATTCATTATAGTTAGTAATCCAGAACCGCTTATATAAATCATAAAACGTTGCATATGGCATAACAGTATGCATATCCTTTCCCGATACACCTGATACCATATGATATAATAATGCAAGTCCTTTTTCAATCTCACGATATGGCCCTGGATATTCAATATTTCCATATAAAACTGTAAGAAAATAAAATACAGGTATAAATCCAAATCTATTAAGTAATACATCCTTTATATCATTTATTGTATTATTCTTCATATCTTTAATAGCTGTTCTATGATTAAATCTATGTTGCATTTCAGGCCAAGATTTATCAAGAAAAGTCCATTTATTATCAATTAAATTTTTAATTTCAATATCAAGTTGTTCAATGTGTTGTGTTGTGTTCATTTTTATTTGTTGTTATGTACTTTTAACGATTGCTCTTTTTTTTCTCGTGGGGGGCTACCAATATAAATAAAAAAAATTCAATTTTTATTATTTTTATTGTAAATAAATAAATAATTCGGCCACTGATGGTTATACTGATCATAGCAATTTTATTATCTATATTACAGCTAGTAGATTATAATTGGTTAGACAACTAATAGCAGGACGCCCATGGGCGGAGAAAGCAAGCTGCTGTCTGAAGAAGTGTTTTTTTATTTTTTTCTCTTCTCTTCTTTACTATTTTTTACTCCCTTCTGCTTTTGCAGGTTTTGTTAAGTTTTTCAATAAAGTATGGCCTGCAAATACACTACTTCGTGGTCTTTTCAGAATAACATTGTTCGTAACTTCCATTATAGCCTACTTAATACTAATTACCAAAATCGCTGATTGCAATCTTCTGCCTCTCGGTTCTTCGGTTCTATGTATACAGAACCGGTTCGGTTTCGGTTCGGTTCGGTTCCGGTTCTACAGTTCTGATACAGATCCCTAACTATAATATTTGAAATATAATAAAAGTAGTATTGAATTCTACTATTTATTAAATAAATAATTATTTTTAAGTATAAAAAAAATATATACAGCACTATGAGAAGCAAATTATTATGCTATGTGAAGAGTCGATAAGATGATGAGGAAAAGTATGAATTATATTATTTTTTAAAGAATAAAATTCGTTGTGTATAACTTTTGTTTTAACTACGACATTCAACAAGGAGTTGTAACTCAGTGGTAGAGTGGAGGATTGCAGATCCTCTGGTCACGTGTTCGAACCACGTCAGCTCCTGAACAAAAATTGATCTTCTCAAACTGAGAAAATCATTGTTTTAGTTTTTTTCTGTCAAGTCGCTTTTTGGCGGTGGATCCGTAGCCAATGGGAAAGGAGAAGAACAGGAGATGATACGAGGATAGAGGGTGTCGTAGCCAGAAATGGCTGGTAATTCCTTTTACCTTTTTGGTTCTCTTGCCCCGTTTGGTGGAACACTTCTTTAGTCACACAATCCGCAGCTATGACTTCTTCCTCTTATCGCGCAGTCGACCATTACATCATTACTCAGCAAACACTGCTGCGCAGCTACTCTTTGTCATCGTTATTAACACAATTGTATATTATATTATTATCCATCATTACCGCAGTAGCTTAGACAAAACATCTGAATATCCCTCCTCATCGCAAACAATAAACAGTATCAATCATCTTCTCTTTATTCTTTTGTTTCCCTTTTGTTCCTCTCTCTTCTCATTGGCTACGGATTGATCCGCCAAAAAGTGACACGACAAGGGTTGTTAAAAGATAGTCTTTATTGCTTGTAGTGGAGTGGAATACATTTATATCCTTTTTCTCTGATAAAACACGTCGGCGATTGTCATATCATACAACATTATAATACGACACAATTACATTGCTGCCGAATCCCGCCTGGCTATCTTCTACGTTACTAGTGCGCTCATTTGTATGCTGTCAACGTATAGTAGCGCGGCGGCATTCTGTTGGTAGTAAAATTATTTGTTGCCTGGCAAAAGTAACGGAATAACTAAAGGCTGGTCATTTTACTACGACATTTTGAACACTGTGTCACAGTGTCGAATCCTTTGGGGGAAATACTGTACCCAGGGATAAGAGTAAAGGGATAGAAAAGAGCATGTAGGTAGTTGATTGATGTCGTTTTATTGTGATCGTTGATCCAACGTGCTTATACTAGAATGATATCTATCTGTATAAAAGCCTTATTAGATACACTACTACTTGATAATCCTTAACTCTCTCGTGGGAAAGTCTTTTTACAATGGATTCAGACGGATGGAAAGGTAATTGATGCTGTGGTTATTTATGGAGAGGTGATCTTCTATAGGCTTCCCTTCCTTACTCGGTGCTGTTATGTAGCATTGTGCTAAGCCAGCATGCATGTAATAGACATTTCTGTGCTCTTTGTTGCCTAGATTACCAGCGATCCTACTGCTCCTTCCAGCATACACCTTTTGGTCGTTACCACAACAACAAGCCATAGCTGGGGCCAACCCAGGATGCTTCCTGTCATTAAGCATCGGCAAACATACTAAATTGTTTCATGCACCAGACATAGCAGATACATAGCACATACTGTTTAGGGGAGGGCGGCGTTTGGCATCCGAACTTTGAACGAATTTGCTTCGCCGCTATTGCCTGCATACACTGGAATGCTTTTCTCGGCTTCAATAGTTCGAAACTGCCGAACAATCACCGAGCGATATTAAAGGTGTCAGTCTTATCATGATCCGCGCAGTAGTTACCAAGATCTATACTCTATAACAACAACTCACTGCTTCTGGAGCTTTCCCTCTTGCCTATCACAAAAGATACTCAAGAAGAGGAGTGGTGTTCATAGCACGAATTTACTTCTAGCGCTAACACAAGCAGGTCATCAATAATTCACCGGTTACTATTTCAGTGAAATTAATATTTCTAGATACGTATCGTTTCCTTGGCGAGACGAACAACTCACAGGTATTATAGGAGAGCTTAGAAAAAAGGAACATACTTTTAAATAATCATCAATTCGTAATCGTAGTTTGCAAGACGGCAATTTTGTCTATACCCAGCTTTGAATTTTTGTACTTATGCTACGACATGGATAGCAGGATCAACAAATCAAACTTACTGGAGCCGTTTGGTGCTTACCTGTGTTCTCTCCACCATTCATTATTATCCAATATGCATCAACCAATCACCCCCTTCTTTTTTACAAGAATGTTGTAAGTGTCATCATCCCCTGCTATATATAGCCAGAAATACGTCTTTCAGGTGGCATACCACGTCGATGAGTATATAGTGGCTTACTACCTATGAGAATAATGCTTTGTAAGGGATGTAGTGCTTTTGACCGTAATACCCGGACGAGGAATCATTCTCTGATGACCAGAATCTCTAACAGCCGTAGCACTTGCTACACTTGCTATAAAAAGATGTTGTGATATGCTGCAGTTTGGGTTAACTACACAGCGTATAGAACATTGTGTGAGTGCAAAACATCGCAGTGGTAATGTTTATATTGAGCATCAGTGATGATGATTCCTTTTGGGTTAGTTTTTATTGCTCTCCAAGTCACATTGCTTCGTTAGACACTAACCTTTTGCCAAGAGAGAACATCTGTAAGATGTAATAATGTCTCGACTCAAAACAGCAGCAGCGTAAAAGCTTTTTGCTTACCAACACAATTTCTAGTTGTATCATGATTTCCGATCTCTGTTATGGAGTAAAAAAGATTTTTGAGCTGTACAGTGTAACATTTGAACCTATTAGGCTTAAATAAAAAGTACTCACCATTTATCCGTTTCATATCACCAAGTAGCGCATGTATAGATCGTGAGTATTGGTCTTGGTGATATTGATGGTGTTGTTGACATGGATTCTTATTGAGTTTAATCTCAAGGAAAGGAGTATCCGCCTGTTAATCTTCTTCCCTCCTGTCTGTATAACTTCATAAAGGGGTTGTGTGGCTAAAGCTACATATACATTTCTTTTAGTCTCCTTGTTTCTGTAGTATATCAAAGGGATTAAAGAATTAGAAAAGCGTTGACACGATTTATTAACAATACTGATTGTCGTAGTGATTTGTCGCCACGTGACTCTCGTGAAGTATTTAATGGAGCGACAATCTCATTAAATTATCAGCGGTGGGAAACTCTGAGAGAGAGAGAGAGATATCTCTTTCGTTGGCGACGTTCACACATAGCGCACCCTGCATATCACTCTTTACTTGCTCCTTCCCCCCCCCAACTCTAAATATCACGAACAAGGAGATAGTAGAAACTAAAGCGGCATAGATCTTATTTTAAACATATAATACATACAAGAGAATACCATGGCGGCTATAACAGCTTACAATAGTGAGCAAGACCAAGAGACGACTCCTCTTCTTCTAAGCAATCGTCACCCTACCGATAGTACCACCACACCAAAAGAAATGAAGAGCCGTAGCGATGCAATCTTTGGAGCTGCCACACATGTAGGATTAGCTCTTTTTGTTGGACTGATCATTTCTGTCCTGGTGCGCATTCCGTTCAATGTGTTTACATACCATCCCATTTTCATAATGTTGTTCATTGTGTTTACAACCGAAGGTATTGTTCTTGCTACTTTATTGTTGAACTTTCTCTTTTGAATAATGATACAAGTTGAGAGGTGGTTGTGATTTTAATTGCTTATCAGCAAATTCTTCCAAACTCACGCACTGTTGCTGATTTGTTTTTTAAAAAAGGTGTAAATCTTTTGCAAACGACCAGCACGGCAAAGGAAAAAGCAAAAGGACTGAAAAAGCACGCCTTTATGCAAGCCTCAGCATACATTTTCGCCATTGTTGGCTTCAGTTTCATAGTGTATAACAAAGCGATGATGCATAAGGAACACTTTACATCGTACGTGCTATCATACATCTTATATCAGTGTAAATGCACATGTTTAGAATGGAATAATTTAACGGAATGACGTGTTATAGAAACCACGGCAAATTCGGTCTGACGGTCTTCTGCTACCTGTTTTTCCAATTATTGTTTGGCTTGACGATCGCTTACATTCCTAGGCTGTATGGCAATGTTACCAAGGCAAAGCAACTATGGAAATTCCACCGTATGACCGGATATATCTTGCTCGTACTCATCTGGATCACTGCCCAACTGGGTGTCCGAGCGGATTACATGTACAAAAACCTATGGTCACCCAAGCTCATCATCGGCCATTATATTGCCTTGGCGCTTGTCGTGATTGGCATTGCCGGTCGCGTACGCCTTTCAAAATGGGGATTGTCATCATCAACATCACCACCAGCAGCACTACCTCAACAAGCTGAGGTGTCACGAAACTAGTTCTGTTCCTGGATTAACCTCACAACAACACTGGGTGCTTGAACCTTAATATTGCGCGCCCGTACTTAAATCAAATCCCGCAAATTTTTTTCTGGTGCTTAATAAAAAGAACCCTTTTTACAAATATATTTTTTTCAGGTAGGTAGAGCCTGTGTTGAACGAGAAAATGCGAGCAGTTGTAGTATTCACACGAGGTTCTGCGAATTGTGCGAGTAAACTTGACCGCTGCTACGTCGTGTGGTTTTTCTCCTGCCGTCAGCAAGTGTTCTGCACACTGTATAAGCGACAATGTTGAAAGCATTATTCGCTTTGAAAATCCGAGTTATTTACTGAGATTCCCCACTCCCCTTGACATAGCTCTACTGTTGTATATCGCTTATATCCACTCTCAATATCCCGAGTTATTGCATAATGGTAGCTTTTCTTCCACCATCCTTAATAAGAAGATTGACAACATTCTTAGTTGTCTTCTTTCAACCACTCTCTTATATCAAGCAGTGTACTAATAACAGCAAGACCATCATCATAAATGAAGGGACACGACGGAAAGAAGAAAGCTTGTTCAGGGCTTTTAAATGACCGTTTAGTTCTTCTTTTTTTAAATAAAACTAATCAAGAAATATGTTGATGGAGTGTGAGTGTGTGTGTTGTATAAGTTGCAAATGACTATTTTGGCTTTTTAGTAAAACTGTAAATATTAAGGAAACATATTTGGATTGTTGTAAATGTCATGACAAATGAAAGAAAGAAAATGACGTTTCTTGGCTGTTGTATATGATGTAGAGTGACAGGTCTCGTAGAAATCTTGCTGGGTGTTGTATGTACTTGTACTGGTATAATATAGATATGTTACATTGGCTGCGGCGGACTGTTCTTCTTTTTGTTTTCAGACATGTCTAGTGACCATCGCCTTTTCCTATTTTCTTCTGTGGATGATGCTGGTGAAAGATCATTGATGTGATGGTGCTGATGATAATGAAGATGGTGTTGGTTGCTGTTGTATGATTGCTGTTGATGATGATACGAAGGGTGATGATGGTACGCTGACGATGGAACAGGTGACATGAGTGTACCAAGTGGTAGTCCACTCGTGGTAGCAGCAGCAGCAGCAGTATTACTGGTACCGATCACTTTGTCCTTTGTTGTCATAGATGATGGTGGTAATAGTGGTCGTGGTACGATATTGACTGGAGGAATAGTAGTGCCTTGGTGACGATGTTTGGATTGTGGATGATGGATAGGTATGATGGTATGAAACGCGGATGATGGTCGCATAACACTGCTCTCATTATTCAGCTAGTAAAAGAGAATCATCTGAGAGTTATAGACACATCCGCTGATAGCAATTCATTAGCTTTGCATCCACTTTATATTACCTCTTCTACTTTTCGTCCTCCTCGATAATACGGCATGACGTTTCCATGATGATAATTATTGTAGTATCCCAGAGGTGACAACGGCTGCTGCTGCTGTTGCTGTTGGTCGTCACCACCACGTTTCCGTTTATTATATGGCAATACTGATGGTGTAGATGATGGGGTTTCTCTTCCATTCACTTCCTTTTTTATACGTACAGGACTCGTCGTTGCCGCACTAGTGTTTCCTTTCTCCACATAGCGATAATGCTGCTCATTTCGTTTATGCAATTCATGCAATGATTGCTGCGGATAAGCCGTCATCAGAGCAGTAGTGGGTGTCGCACTATCGCACTCCGGAGACGCTGATGATTCCTTTCCTTCTGAACCAAAATCTGGATCGCTCAACATCTGGTCTGCTAGAATACTAAGGCTGTCCAATGCCGAAATGGGCCGGTTCCCAGTCGTCGTTGCCTGTTTTTGCTGTTGTTTCGGCTGTAGTACTGGTGAGCTCTGTTTCTGCAAGAGATATGCCGAGGGCGATAGTCGCCCTACTATTGTATCGTTATTGCTTTTATCGTGTTTATGAAGTTGTTCGTCATCATGATCATCATGATCACCCGTATCGTCATCATCGCTCGGCTGATGTCGTTGCTGTTTCGACCATGCAAGACTATGCAAATAGTTCAGCTCGGCATCACGTGCTCGTAATCGCAGCTCGGTCAAATGTAACTTGCGCATCAACACCCTGCGCTCCTCCCGCAAGTCCTTTACATCCAGTTGTGCGTTCTACAGAATAAAGTCAGATCAGTATAACCAGGGACGTTGTTACAGCAAGAAGAATAAGGCACTGGAGGAATGTCATGGTAACTGATTTGGCTCTTAAATGTTATTGTTACCTCAGGCGCCAAGCCCATCTTCTCAATCCGCTGTAAGGTGCACGATATCCGCATGAACTTTTTCGCCAATGTTTGATTTTCCTTTTGCAGTAGTTTCATTTCGACCCGGTGCTGTTTTTTTAATTCGTTCACCTAAAGAACAGAGTCAACAAACACGAGCAACAACCCTTAAACCAAGAAATCAACCGACAAACTGCTGTGCTTACCATAGTCGTGTGGATATTTTGGATGGTATGCAGCGAGCCATTTCCTTGTGGCTGCCGTAAGCGTTCGTCTTGTGCACGTACAACGCCTTCAAGATACTTTACTTTGTCAAGCGCACTTCGTAGCTGTAGCAGTAGTGACAAGGGAAGCTGTTAGCCGTAGGCACATTGGTTTCATTAGAGATTGTATATACCACTCACGTTGTGTTGAAGATCAGCTGCATAAGGCATGCTCCACGTTTCCGACTGTTGTGGCCTCGTGATATCCTGTGACGATATATGATTAACAAGACGTCCTTCTCTTTCCTTTTTTTCTCTCTCTGAAAAATGTCTTTGAAGAGGCCATGTCTTTACCTGCTGGTGCTGGTGCTGGTGCTGATGCGGCTTTATGGACCGAGATATCATATTTTATATCGTGTGTGGAGAAGAGAAGAGAAAGGGGGCGGAGCAAGAACAACAATGAGTCAATGTAGAAAAGGAAAGAGGAAGCCCCCAACTCCGCCCATGATCATCCCAAATGTTCTTGTGTACCCTTCCCTCCTGTCATCCCCTCTTCTTTTTTCGCTCACTCCTCCCATATTCTCTTTAGCACAAACCCTCCCCCTTCCCTCTCTCACTCTCTCCCCGCTCCGAAGTTTTACGCGCGCGCGCAGTATTTTACTCCATCCTTGAAAAAAGTTGTACTTACATGACTGTGGTGTTGTTGATGATGGTGCTGGTGATGCATTAATGGTGGCGGTGGTGGTGGTGGTGGCAACAAAGAAGCACCAGTGGTGGCGGTGTTGGTGGCACCAGTGCCAGTAGCATGCTGATCACTCAGAAGTATCAACTCGATTTTCCATTTTGCATTTTCGCCCCAGCGTTCGACCTTCAAACACAGCAGCAGCAGCAGCAGCAGCAGCAAGCACGTACAGTATTAGTACTTACTGTGTTAATGCACAACACTCCGCAGCATGATTGTGCTCAGAATAGAGTTTCCCCACCCCACCTCACCCCTCTCTCTGTATACCACTTACTTGCTGTCGTACTGCTTGAAATATATTGTCCAAGTGATCTGATGGTGAGAATGCGACTGTGGATCTTCGACCGGCCATGTTGTTGTTGCTGTGTAATGAACCATCATTGCTGTTGCTGTTGCCATCTCGAAACCGCGAAGAAGGTGCTGGTGCTGGTGGAAGCGCTTGTTGCATTATATAACTGTCTCGGGATTGCTTATGCGTTTCTTTACAGAGTGCTGTGTATGCTACTGAGAGTGTTCGTTGTTATGAGTGAGATCAGCAATTGCCCCCAAAGACACAAAAGCGGTGTGCGCAAAGGAAGAAAGAAGGAAGGAAGAAAGAAAGAAAGAGAGAGCGAATGCCCGGCTCTTTTCGTCAAGGAAATAAGGGGATTATTAAGAAGAAAGAAGAAAAAGTTCAGAAGAAGTTGTGGGCTTCTTCACAATATTAAGAGCCACTTAAACAGAGGAGAGAGAGAGAGAGGGGTTGGGGTATATAAGAAAAGAAGACAAACAAATATACAGAAATGTAAAGCGTGCGCTGCTTTCGTAACGGGGTCCGTCCGTAGTCTCGCTCTATCGTTCGATTCGCTTTGTCCGTCCGTACCCGTAGTATTATTATGCGCCGGTTAAACTGAAGAAAACCCGATTCAAAGGGTTGGGGCCAAAAGAGATGGGCACTTGAAAAATAAGAGGCGTTCAAATGACTTTTGCGAATGCTGCGTACAATTGAACAAGAGCAAGAAGTGCAAAAAATTACAAGAAAAAGAAGAAGGAAAAAGAAAGGCCTTTGTATGTCCTGCAACCCGCCTCCTCGCCCTCCCCGGGACCCTACTATTACTACTACTACTACTAAAACCAGCTGAGGCTGTTGGCATAATTAAGTGTCCTCTTGGTTTCGTGTCCCGCCTACTTTACATGCAGCCATAAAACCGCCGCAGCGGCGCACCAACGCCCTTCTTTGCTTTTGCAACACGACACGACTCTTTTTGCCACGGCAACATCAGCAACAGCAACAGAACGGTGTTTCGGTCAGCTGATTCAAAATTCAAGGCGGTGCGCAAGTAGATCGCCTGACACGACATCCTAGTAGAGTAGCGGTTTGGAAGAATATTAGTACTTTAAATACAAGAGGCGGTTCAATCTCCTTCTCCTGTAAGCAGGAATGGAGATCGGTCATGGTAGTTTTACAAGTCGCGATTTGACCAATTCCAACTATTGCTAGTCGCTATAAAAATAGTATACAAAGCCTTTTATGGCTTGTTTATAAGCGCATATACATCCATTGTCGGGGCAACCTGACCAGCGGACAGTTATAAGCGGTTTATGAGCAAGTGCACACCGCATTCGACCAAATGCCTCAAAGAAAAATTTCAACATGGAGACGGACTCCAGATTCATGTACACTACAGCAATACAATACAGTGGACAACGATGGTGAAGAGCTATGAGTGATACAACATCTCGTATTGAAGAATGAAGGTGGGATGATAAAAGCGTCCATGTATAAAAAGACACGACCATGCCGACATATGATAACATGCACGCGACTCTGATTGTTGCATGAATAATTTCGGGCTCCATTAAAACCAGTGTCATCCACACATGGACGATGCTAGTGTCTATTTCTCAGATGAAATGATTTCAAAAGTCGATGAGGCCACTGGATAAAAGGAAAAGGATAGACCATGATGGCAAATACGACCAGTAAGACGACGAAAGTTCAGAATTCAAAAATTATATTCCGCGCTACAGTGCCAAATCCGTCCAGTTTGAAGGCCTCAACGGGCAGATATACAAAGATATCGGGAACAACTACACTTGGTACATTGGTCAGCACAGCCAAGAGGAAAAACAACGCGAGATACAACCAATGCGTAATGTACCATTGCGCTGATGCCAGAACTAAAAACCATGTTTATAAAAGGATATGAAATCTGCCTACTACCTGTAACCTATCCAAGTAAAGACGTTCTTTTGCTGCTTGCATCCAACTGGAAGACGTATATGTGGACTCTCAAAGAGGCTTTGATGTCCCAGAGGCTACTGTTCGTCAATCGCAGTTTACACACGTTGTAGTCTTCTACTACTGCTATTCCTGATGTGCTCTGCTCAAATCCAACACATTTAAACGCCAGTTCCAATCTCCATCATTGTACATGTACACTCATGCACCAAGGAACACGACCGAATCTTTGCCCTAACCAACATTTTCCCCGATATATTGACCGAAATTACGATTAGCTACGATAGGTCAATATCGGATGGTCTACCGGCAATAGAGGATCTCTCCATATTGTGCTTTCATGAATACTTTGCATATACATGGATAATATTGGGGAACGCCTCTCGCCTTTCAAACCTACCACACTACGTTCCTGCATTAAAGTACAATGTAACATCCTGGACACTGGATGTTACAGGTTGTTGTATATTATTTGGTCGAACACAGAAGCGGATAGCCAATCCTGACCTATACATATAATAAAAGCGCATACGCTGAGAAGAGGAAGAGAGTTTGATCTTGCGCATCGGCAACTTCGTTTGCTATCAATGTTCATTTGTCTTGGTACGACCGACATAATCCATCCAAAACATATATATAGAGCTCACTCATATTGCTACCTCAACACTCATTAGTAACACTGCAACGTATATGCTTGTAGCTCAGCCTGTCGTTTTCTCCCCGAATCGACAACAATCTGCTTCATAGTTCTTTAGCACAAAACTTACTAGTGCAGCGCACGTTTGCTGGATGCAACAATGGCAATAGATAGTTCGCTAACTTTTCATAGGCTCTGTTCTGATCCAGTGGTAGCACATCTGTCAACATTATAAGGTACGTTGGTACAAAAAAGAGGTACAATTCTCCTATCCGACATCATGTTGTTCTCTAGGCAACAAATTTAGACGATGATCCTTCTATCAAACTCTTTTGATCAACTGCTATACATAAATCGCATCATGCCGAGCATATATCCGGGGGTGACCGGTGGCAAAATGAGCTGGCGTTGCTTACAAAGAAAAAAGCCAATATCATCTGATGTTGATAGCAGTAACATATTTATAGACTGGAAAAGGACATGATCTGCAGCAGAAGCAAAGCCCTACTTGACACACTCTCAAGGCAGGTTCTACAAAAGGGGTGGTTAAACTATTTATCGTGTGATGTTTAAAGGAGAATTATCTACCCCGCGAAACTTTGTAAAATTCATTCGTTAACAACGAGAACTGACCACTTCTGCACGACGTTTCAAAGGCCGGAGTATCAACATCACACCAACAGCTTTCCCCCATCACGCCACCTAAAGTTTGATTCTGAATATTTAACGGCGCGAGCTTGTCCGTGGGGTGCTTTTTTTTTTTCGCTTTTTTTCTTCTACCATTTGAAGGAAAAAGGTACCATGCTGTCCGCACGACTCACGCGACCGCTTGCGAGCCGCTGTACGTTATATATTTTAAAACAAAACTTTTGTCTCAATGTCAAGTTCCTCTCCACACTCCATTGAAAGCATATTGAAAGTACTAAACGCGTCAATACTTTTGTGTACGATAGTGCAACCACAAACAACACACGCACTACGATCACTGTATGTATAATTACGCTCTTTACCATTTGAATGCCACGTCCCCCTTTAAGCTAATACTAACAACTTGGCCATGAACATTACACAGATCGTCAGGGTGCCAGTGTCGGTCGCTTGCCACAGTAACCACAGCAACTACGGGTCCCCGCCACCGTCGACGAAACATTGGATATATTGCCTCGGCTGCTGCAGCGGTGACACTGTCCTACGGTTTATGGCGCCAAAACGAGGCACATTGTGATGCTGTCTCGGATGACAAGCAGCGGGTAACTCTTGTTTTCTTTACCTTTAATTGCATTTCATCATGTAGTACGGGTCTATTAAACCATCTAAAATGTGTACGTGTGTTTAGCGAGCAGAAGGTCCCATTACAGACAGCGATCCCATGCGTCTCCGTATGGAATCCTTTGTCAAGGGCCTACAGAACCGAATCGTGCAAGACGTCGAAGCAATTGACGGCAAACAATTTTCACGCACAGCATGGCAACGCTCTGAAGGCGGGGAAGGAATCACATGTGTATTACAAGATGGCAATGTCTTTGAAAAAGCCGGTGTGGGCGTCTCGATCGTGTATGGCCAATTGCCCAAGGCAGCCGTTGAACAGATGCGCCACGATCGAGGTAAAGAAATCACAGCCGATGGTCCCGTCCCCTTCTTCGCTGCCGGCATTTCGCTGGTGATGCATCCACACAACCCCAACTGCCCTACTGTGCATTTGAACTACCGCTATTTTGAGATCGAGAACCCAGATGGCACGCCCAAGATGTGGTGGTTCGGTGGTGGATCTGACTTGACACCCAGTTATCTCTTTGAGGACGATGCGATCCATTTCCATCAAGTTCTCAAGGATGGGTGTGACAAGGCGGACAAACGGTACTATAAGGATTTCAAGCAGTGGTGTGACAAATACTTTTACATCAAGCATCGTGGTGAAGCACGCGGCATTGGCGGCATCTTTTTCGACGATCTGGATGACAAACCCGCAGAAGAATTGTTTGGATTCATCAAGGACATGGGCAACCGGTTCTCCCTTTCCTACTTGCCCATCGTCAAGAAGCGCATGAACATGAAGTTTACTCCCGAAATGAAGCGATGGCAACAGATCCGTCGTGGTCGTTATGTCGAGTTTAATTTGGTGTGGGACCGTGGTACCAAGTTTGGCTTGCAGACGCCTGGCGCACGCATTGAGGCGATCTTGATGTCTTTGCCGCTCACCTCGCGGTGGGAATACATGCATGAGCCGGAGGCAGGCACTGAACAGGCCGATTTAGTAGAGGTGCTCAAGAACCCACGGGACTGGGTTCCTTTGGATTAAGTACATAGCCGCATATCTAGATTTGAACAAAAAAAGCCTCTTTTTTTATTCTTTCCATTTTTCTTCTAATTACTGCCGTAGCGTGTTTCCTTTTGTATTACAGTACGATTATCATGTTCTACCGATATGCACTGCATTTTACTATTTTGGTTATAAAGTAGAATCGGTGACATCGTTCTTGATTTGTATATGACTTGCATAACACACACCGCACAGCGAGGCGGTTTCAGTGTCCCCAGGCACTCAATTGGGCTTTTGGGTTTGCGGACCTTACAATCATAGAGCACGCTACAAATTTTGTTTTTTTTTTTTTTTCTTAAAGTTTTGTTGCCAAAATAATAATACCCACTTGAGCATGTTTGAAGACGACGAAGAAGAGCTCGAATTGCTTAGGCAATATGAAAGTAAAAACAACTACGGAGACAATCACGTCAGTGCATCAGAGTAAGTTAGAAAAGAAACGGTCAAAAAAGTAGACCATCACTATCACATGAGAAAAACAAACCTCTGATTGTTGTTTTATAACTAGGGAGGAACTTGATAGCGATACAGAAGACAAGATCTTGAGTTTGATTCACTACAGTACTGGTCTCAAGAAAAAGAAACAACAGCAACAGCAGACGCCACAACAACAGCAACAGCAACAGCAACAACGTGCCGCATCACCAACGTCTGATCTCGATTCTAAAGTACAGCAACAAGCAGTGACTAATCGATCACAACCTGTCATTAACGATCCGTTCAACAAGAGCAGCATCAACAATCACATTACCTTTTCTAGTGGCAGTAATGACGATGATAGCAGCAGTGACGAGAGTAGTGAAAGTGAATCTGACGATGCCTTTGCAACTGCCGGTACTTCCAAGTTAACTAACGACGACAGCGAACACGAAGAAGGTGCTTTAAGCACCAGCGACGAAGAAGAAGACTCTGATGGATCATCATCGTCTTCATCTTCTTCTGACGAAGACGACGAAGACGACGACTACGATGATTACAAGAGCGCAGTTGCTTCGGACGATGATGGCAATGCAGCTGTGCCTGCGGTAACAACGCGGTTTATCAATTTTGATACGGATAATCCGAGCTATTTGGACGAGCAGGAGGAAACAGACGAGGAACAGCAACTTAATAGCAAATTGCAGGATTTGATTCAGGATCAGGTAAATTTCTAAAAGACTGTGTGTGTGTGTGTGTGTGTGTAGGGAAGGCAGTATTTTCTAAAATCTTGATTGTTTAGATCGACAATCGCGAACGAAGTCGGAGAAAGAGAAAGTTCACAGGACACGTATCGATTTGTTTTGCTTGTAACGCTCCAGGACATGAACGAAAGGATTGTCCAGTGGTAAGTTTGTAAACCTAAGTGGAAAAAGGCTGGCATAATCGGATATATACTGACCAAATGGGGATTTGTCATTCACTGGAAATAGTGTGCAGAATGTGGCGAGTCTAAACATGACTACCGATGCAGCCCGGTGATGTATTGTATTCGATGCAAAAGACGAGGTCATCAACGACGTGTAAGTTTTTCAAAGAGGGGCGGGGGGGTGTTGAATGGAGATGACGAAAAAAACAGCACACAGGGACTGAGATAGGGTCTATAGGATTGCCAATACCCCGCAGAAAATAAACCGTGCCGACGATGTCGTTCTCGCGATCATATTTCAGAGGTAAACAGGAAAGCGCGCTCTGGGCATTAATAAGAGGAAACAACAAAAAAAACTTACCAACTATATACAGCAATGTCCGTTGATTGTGCACACGTATACTCCATTGGATAATCCAGCACCAGCATCTACACCTATCGTACGCTACTGCTACAACTGTGGCGATCAGAACCATTATGGCGACGAATGCCCGATATTGCCAGAATACCTGCAACAGTTCCCGACGGTGTTTTCAATAGACAGTACGCGCTCTGACCAGCGATTCGTTTTGGATGTTTCAAAGAAGAAAAGACACAGAAACAGTAGCAACAATAGCGTTAGCAGTGCTGCGTCTGGATATCGACGAGGCCATTCGGATGAACAAAGGAGTAACGACCGGCGAGGAGGAGGAGGAGGAGGAGGAGGAAGAGACAGGGGTGATTTGGATCAGTTCTTTGACAGACCGCGATATCAAAATAACGGCAACAGCAGCAGACGTAGTAATAACAGTAATAATAATGACAATAACAGACGACCCCAGTTTATTGGACAAGCATTTCAACATCAGCTGCCACGACCATCACAACAGCAACAACAAAATCATCATCATCATCATCAGCATCGATATCAACAACCACAAATGCAACAGCGACGCCAATCTTATTCTACCAGCCGGCCACAACCATCAGCGCCATCACATACTGTGCGAGGATTACCTCCATCACAACAAGGATCCACACAGTTACAACGGGGCACGGGAAGCAACAACTGGAATTCGATTCCGCAGCCGACGCGGACAGGCACGATGAATGTAAATAATGCAGCGAGACAACAACGACAGCAGTTTGGAATGGATTTCCCGCGGGGTACGAACAATAACAACAACACTAGTAGTAGTAGTAGTAGTAGTAGTCTGCCTAGACCCAGCTCGAGTGGCGTGATTGTGCCTCAAATGAATAACCGTCAAAATGCACCTCGATACCGTGGAGGCTATAATAGCCGTAGATAGTAATAGGTGGTCTATTTGGCTACTACTACTACTACTACTAACACCCAACCCCCCCAAAAAAAGGAACAAAAGTGCTGTGTGAAATTATTATTGTACAATAATCATAATATGAATAAAAAGAGAGAACGGTGCTATTGTTCCTTGGTCTGGTGTCTGTGTGTCTGTGTGTGGGTGGGTGTGGAATACAGGCTGATTCACGTATATTACGTTCACATGGCCTCCGCCTTCCTGTTTGCTTCGGGGATGCTCTCCTTCCTTTTATAGGTTTTGCCTCTCTTTTTGTTGCGCACTGTACAAGCGTTTACTCCGCGTCGTTATATACTTTTCGAGTCTTGGGGTCCATTTGCTCACACTCCGGTTTTCTTCTTCTCTTCTTCCCAAACTTATTTCTTTCTTGGCCCAACCCGCCTTGTTCAACCTCTTTTTTTCTTTTTTTTCTTATATTTATACTTTACGTTACGAAAAGCGCTTCTAAACGAAAACGAGCCCATTTTACAAAAGATATAATTCACCCAGGTTTTTCTCTCAATGGAAATCCCTTGTCGACGTGCCGAGGATGACAACCTTGCAAATGACAGCAAAAACAACATTGTTTTCGAAGACCGTTCGTCAATGGTGACCACACCACCTCCGTCGTATCATTATGCTATTTTAACGAGCAAAAATCACGGTGGCGGCAGCGGCGACGCCATAACCATCAGCAAGAACAACAACAACGACAACGACAACGACGACGACGACGACGATGTTGCTGATCCATGGGTGGCCCGAGTAAGAAGCAAAAAAAAAAAACAAGATTATAGTTTTTTTTTTTTCATAATTAATATGCATTCTTTTCCCTTATTTTGCGCCACGTATCCGTTATCATCCAGCCATCTCTCCTAAAAAACATGCTAATGTAATGTATATCAATATTACAACAACCATAGATGAAAAGTCTAGATGAAACGGTGCTGGAGATGCGACGGGCGGTCCAAGAAACGCAATATATTATGAAAGACATGCAAACCAGATTCGAGACTACCAACCACTTATTGCTGCGAAATTCTTCTTCGAGTACACGACAACAACAACGATCCTTACGACCCTCAAAGTAAATGTTCCTGCAAAGAAAAAGAAGAAAAAAAAGTGATAGATTGTGAGATCTTTTGATCAAATTATTGATGTGTTTGTGCAGATCATTTACATGTCCTTCCTCTATACCGTTCTTGTCCGACAACAACAAAGACAGCGACTACGGCTTGATCGACAATCACAATTATATAAACATTGACGCCACAGCAGCAAACATTGATGCTGATGACTCGAACGATGATGATGACGACGACAACGACGATGATGACTTGGATAGGATTACCCAATCACTTCAACAACTCATAGACCAAGCACAATCCAGTTTAAAAACGCGACTGGCAATTCGCGACCGCAGCACCATGATGCATCGTTCAAACTCATGCCCACAAATGTCGACCATTTATTCTGCACAAGGAGGACGACGGCAAAGCGAAACGGATGCACCATCCACGCCGCAACTGTTCGACTGGAACGATCAGCGTGAGCGGTTTTTTGACAGTCAGTCGCGCCTTACCCAAGCAATACAAGAATTAGCAGCGGTATGTGCTGACACGACCAGTCACCAAGACTCTCTTGGCATGTATTCTCCTTCTCATCATCAACAAGCATCATCACCGCATATCGTACATCATCATTATCATCAAGAGCATCATCACCACCATTACTACCACCAAGGAGAACAACAACACCAGGAACAACACAAAAGTCTTGGTAGTCATATATTCAACTATGCATCTTTGCTACGTGCTATATCCAATTCGTCTGCAGTAGCAGCTGCAGCACGACGCTTGACAGATAGCATCCACTACGGCGCCATCAGCATAAACAGCATGGACAACATGAACAGTCTGATACCCACCACCACCACCAACAACAACAACAACAACACGAATAAACCCTTAGTTATCCATCCACCCCGCATCTCCTTATCCAAATCCAATCTTATCCGCCTCATGTTCTACATTACCCTGTTGATATTCTCGTTTATGAATCAGCAACAATTGCAGCAGCAGCATTACTTGTCCAAAAAATGTATTGCCGCCCGGCGCTGTGTCGGGCAATTCGTTAGTCATGCATGCGACAATTTACCCATCTCGACCTGGATTCAACACTCCACGTTGTTGGTTTATATTGTCACTCTTCTCTAAAGAAAAGCGCGGGGGTTTACCCTTCATACCACACGACCCTCCTCCTTGAAGAACATCACCCACCATCTATTGTAACATCCATTCTACCACTTACAACCTTCCCAGCCTTTTTATGTACAAAAATCACCACCCCGCGTTATATGTTTTGTAAATTATACTTTCTCTGCTTTTTCTTTTATGTCCTCCCACTGTTCTTTTCTGCTATTCACCATTACGAGAACCCAAAAATTGCTTTTTTTTTTCTTCATTACTATAATACAAAGATTTCGGCAAAACAGTTTTTGCTACCGACGACATACACACGAGAGAACAAGTCTTGCTTAATTAAAACGAAAACACATTATGTACTACTACTCGCAGCACTTCTTAGTAAGACAGCACGTTCTTGCTTTTTCGCTTGCTGTTTTTTATATTCCACCAACTTGTCGCGTTCCTTCTGCCATATCTTGCGCTGGCCCATAACCATTCGAGTAATCAAATCCATGGCTTGGCCTTTTGTCAAGCTTTGCTTTGGTTCCACGTGTTGGCGTTTCAGCATTTTTATTTGTGCGTCCGTGGCTGGATGGCGACGGTAAGCTGCGGTTCGTCTCACCATAAATTGCTGTTGTTGCGAAATGTTTTGATTGAGCCAAGTATCGGCTGCGCGGATCGCCGTGGCTCGAGTGTCGGCTGTCAGCGGTAATTTTTGGCGTCGCCGGAAAACAGGCTTTTGTTTTCCACTACTGTTACGAGTCGTAGTAGTATCATTACTACTATCACTACTAGCACGAGCGTTTCTTGTTTCACGCGTCAATGTGCCTCGCCAGAGCCCATCTTTGTCCGACTGTTCTAGTCTTACAGTGCCAAAAGACAATATGCTCAACGCACATTTGTTTTGGCCCACAGTCACCCAGCTGTTTGGAGTGACGGCATGGAGTTCAGGCGATACAGATGATTCCAACATGAATTCGTTCAGGTCGTCATACTCAGTGATCTTGACACGGATATCTTTGTGTAATAGTAAATGGTTTTGTTATATCAGTTACACTGTTCTTTTTTTTAGAAATATTAGGCAAAATTCTACCTTGATGATGTTGATCATCATCATCTTCTTCTTCTTCGTCATCAGCATTGGCGGCAGTAGCATCTTCTTCTCCCACGTGTTGTTGATTGGCCTGTGCGACGGCTCGGCGTTCCATATCGAGCACGTTTTCGTCTAAAACACACACACACACACACACATATATAAATATAGCATAGACCAGGAAACACAGACAACAATAAAGCAATAATAGTAATAATAAATAATAATATACAAATAGTACTACTCTGAAAAGTTTGTATTTTGTCATCAGAATTAAATAAAACAGACTTACCCCGCACTACCTGATTGTGGTCGAGCCCCATCAACGTGGGAAACGTGACCAGCCCTTCAGAACCAGCCTTGCTAAAATTATCCACAAAGTCAATGACCAAGCAGTCCTGTTTTTCTGGATAGAGTCGCATGCCCCGTCCAAACATTTGCTGAAACAGGACGTTTGACTTGGTGGGTCGTGCCATTAGGATACAGTCGATCCTGGGAATGTCTGTGCCTTCTGTCAAGATACCTGGGGGGGGGGGAGCGGGTCGATCATCCGTCGTTTCGTTATAAAGAAAGCTTTGACGTAAACTGCACAACAAGGAAGAAATAAAATAGACGTTTACCACAGTTGACCAATACTGGAAATTCACCATTACGGAACCGTTGTAACGTCTCATACCGGGTCAGCGTTGGTGTTTTACTCGTCACATAGTCTGCATCGACCCCATGGCTTCGAAACAGGTTACACAACGCGATGGTATGTGCCATATCGACCGCAAACACCAACGTTGACCTGCGTTCTGTCGTGGCCGCAAACTTGGTCCAACTCTGATAAATCGTCTTGTTACGCTGCTCCACATTGACCGCACGCGCCAGCTGACTCTGCATAAAATCATCATAACGTGTATGGACCTTGGAAAGATCCACCTGGGTTTCGACGGTGGTCACCTTGATGGGACATAGCCATCCAGCCTCGATCATGTGTAATAGGTCCATGTGATAGACGATCTTGTCGAAAATCCCTTCGAGTGCAATGCCGTCGTGCCGTCGCACTGTGGCGGAACAGCCCCATACAAATATGTGGTTGTCAGCTGCAAATGTGTCAAAGTAGTCCAGAATGTTGGTGTACGTGTTGGCTGCTGCGTGGTGGACTTCGTCGATCATGATCGTTTTAAATTGTTGCGGGTCGTAGCGTTCGAGTCGAGTGGTGGCGGCCGAACGGCCTAGTGTTTGGACGGATGCGACTACAACATCGGCAGCGTCAATGTCGGGTTTTCGGTTGCCTTGATCCACTACCACTCTCTAAACATCGTAGTGTCCAAACCCTTTTATTATCAATTTCAAGCTTTCTTTCTCTTGCTCTCTCTCTATTTGCATGATTTATGTGGGATATCTTTACCCAAGATGGATTGTAGCGTTGGATCTGTGCTTGTGCCTGGTCTAATAGCTCTGTACGATGGGCAAGAATCAATGTCTTGCGTGCCAGTGGCGCCGGATCGGGTATCTTGGCAATCAGGTTGGACATGACAACCTACATACACACACGTACGCGTGGCCCCTTTAGTTGTCAAACTATGCTCTTCTCCCCTCCCTTTTTTTTTTCACAATTCCGTCATTACCGTCTTGCCACTTCCTAAAACAATGAGGTCAGTTTCTGTACTTAATTATTAGGACAAAAGAAGTCAAATGGAGTACGTCGTCGATCTTTTTACCTACGGGTAGTGACACAATTTGCTTACGATGCCCTTGCTTTAATTGATTTAAACATGATTCAATGCATTCGTGTTGGTAATTGCGCAAGGTCGGTATGACTGTTTCCGCAGCTGTTCTAGTCGCTGCTGCTACGGTTGCTGTACTATAGCCTCGTCGAAGGCATAGCAAGGAACACGCAATCGTTGTTGTCAGTCGTCGTGGCATATATTACTTCTTTTTATAAAAAGGGGGAAAGAAAATAAAACAAAACAATAAAAATTCAAAATGGTATTTGTGCTTTTTTCTCTATTTTGCGTATGTGCAATGATAATGATTAAAAGTGTTATTAGCTACTACTACACAAAGTCTTTACAATGGCCCGTACTTCATCCACTTGTTCCAACCGCTTTTGCAATAACCGAACCCCTTCTCTTCGCTTTTGTCGAGCCGTATCAAATCCGGGTGGACACTCTACTCCATCCAACGTAATCAACGCCTGCATCAGCTTTTCAGATAAATAGATGCCCTTGTCCTGCATTGTCTTTTTGGTTGTCTCGTCAACAGCCGCGGATGTACTTTGTTGTTGTTGTTCGTGGACAAAGGATCGAAAGTTGTCTATATCTTGTTCCATTGTTGCCTTGATTGGGTCTACAACCTTGCCGATACGTACAATCAGCCCATATTCTTCTGGGTTACCCGATGCCGTTTGCTGTTCTACTGCTTGTTTCTATAGAAATGATTGGTGATAGTATATCCCATAATATAAGTATAAATTCTCTGTCTTGGTTCTTTCTGTAAGGGACCGTTGCTATCCATTATATCCACTATTCCGCCTCTATAGCCACACAGATCCTTTTGACATCATCTTCGTCGTCACTTCTTACATCCACTTTTTCGCCAGTAAGAACCACGGTTGAGCCAGCTCGTATCCCGCAGCTATATAGCGTAGCCGTATCGTCTTTCAAATTGGCTGAAAACAAGTCAACACACGCCATTTTAGTGATTGAGTTTCTCATACATGTAAACCAATACCACTACTACCAATACTACTCGCCCACTCAGAGTTTGATACATTACCACCAGAGACAGACAGTTTCATGGCAGCCACAGGCACACCTGTCACTGTTTTACACTTGAACTTCAAATCCTTCAGCACCGCTTGGTCCAAAGTTGGGTTTTTTAATGTGACCTCAAATGTTTTCACAGCTTGTTGTCTCGTGTTACTGCCATCAATGATGCGCCATTGGACATTAACTGTGTTCTGGAGTTCCTTCTTTGACGGTTTCCGCCATCCAAAAAAGGATGCCAAGGTTGCCATGAAGGCTCTCCAGAAAATAAAGATTAAAAGTAGGTCGAGTATGGTGGGAGCGTTTTAAAAGAAAACGATCTAAATATCGAGATGATGGGGAGGCAGGAACCGTTCGTCGTCGACGTCGTTGTGTATTTCGAGAATAAAAGCAAAAAAAAAGAAAGGAATAAAGGGTGTGTTTTGTTATTTCACCCTTTTCGTCTATGTGGTATATATAAAAATATGTATGAGAAAGGAGGGACAAAGGAACCTTCACTCGACCCGAAGAAAGCGGGAAGGGAATCCTGAAACCGCTGGGTTTTATGGTGTATATTTTCTCAGGGGGGAGCACCTTTTCGATTACAAGAATAGTGTGTGGTACCTGATCATACTTACTCAGGCTTGTCCTATCTAAAAGTAATAGCATTGCAGACATGGATGTGCTCGTATGCGGATACACCCTATCAAAAGAATGCGGCGCAGTACTCTTTTGCTATGTCATGGCTTGTCTTGATGAAACTGAAGCCATCAACGCGTTTCGTCGGGCGTGAAAAGAAAACGCGTCAAATTCAAAAAATTACAAGAAGCTCAGTCAGTCGCGCGGGGAGGTTTTTTTTCTTCTTCTTTACACTTTGACCCTCTCTTTCTCCAACAACCCACACCCGACAAAAAAAAATGTCTGAACACAGTGAACAAGACATTGTGATTGACGGTGATGCCCCTTCACCCACCAAAGCTACCATAACTACTGAAGCTACTCCACCTGTTGCCGACGAATACAAAGACATGGACGAAATCGACACTGATGATCTATTGAGCGAAGCAGAGATCACGCTCAAACAACCCAAGAAAACGACAAGTAAACGAAAAGCCAAAACTGCGGCTAATGGTACTAGTACTAGTACAACGACGCGTCGCAGTACGCGTAAATCGTCAACAACAACAGCTAATGATAACGACGACAACGACGAAGGCAACACCACCACCACTAAACGTAAATCAACACGTAAAGGCAAACAAGTCCTTATACCACCACCGGCGTCTTTGCAAAAACAAGAAAAGCCGAAAAAGAAAAAACCAGCAGGCTACGATCCAGAACGATGCAAACAATTAACTCATGCCTACCCAGACACCTATTGGCAATTCCATGCCGACACTGGCTACAGCATGATTAACACAATCAACGACAACGCCTCGCTCGAATCTGTTCCTTGCAACATTAGCGATCAAGCAGCCATTACTTCAATGACCCTATCAGCCGACGGCACACTTTTAGCGACCTTTTCCAACATTGGTGCGGTCAAGATCTGGGACGTTGAAAATGATTTCAAGCTGGTGCGCAAGTTGCGGGATGTCGAAGAACCGAATATCGATGAGTTTTATTGTGGCAAGTTTGCTTCGCCTACGAGCCAGGAGCTACTGGTCACCGGTGGCAAACTCAAGGATCGACATCGATGGTCTTCGCAGGATGAAGATAATCATATTTTGCCATGTCCTATCAAGGTTAATAACATTATTGAGAGAGAGAGAGAGGGGGGGTTTGTGTGTATCTTATCAAAAATTGTATATCACTTAACGATGGTGTATGTTTTAGATTTTCAGCATTGCAGAGAACAAGGTTTTGGCCAAGCTTGAAGGACATAGTGAAGAAATCCTGTGTATCAAATCGGTGACGTTTGACAAGGGCAATTATTACATTTCAACAAGTCAGGATGGATACATTATCAAGTGGCATGTGGCCGATGACTGGACGTGAGTGTCTTTTGAAGGGGTTGTTATGATTTCAAGATAGCTGTTAAACCCTCCTCCCACTCATCCTCTACTTTAAAAAAAAACAGAACACTGATAGAGTCGACGACAATGGAGGACGGTGTGACATGCATGGCATTCACCGTCTCATTTTTACCCAACACCGGCAACAAATATTTCATGGCAGCATGTGACGAACATTTGCGACTGTATGATTTTGAAGAGGCTCAGCTATTACAAACGTTCGAGGACATGTATTCGTCGTATTGTGATTGTGGCAAATTCATCACTTGGTTGGACGAGGGTGCTGCTGGTACACCAAGCGGGGAAGCAGAAGGAGTAAAGAAAGAAGAAGATATCAATGTGGACAAGATGGATGAAGATCCAGCAGCACCCTACAGCTATTTTATTAGTCGTGGTGCTGAAATGTGTGATGTTGATGACGGCGTGTGTAAGTGAAATTCTTAAAATAATATCATACATCTCATTAAACTAACCAACCTGGTTTACTCTAGCATCTATACCAAACACTTGTACATTACACAAATTGGTATATCCAACAGAACCCGCTGGCAAATTCAAGCTTGAAAGTGTAAAGAAGTTCAAGCATGAAGAGTAATGTATCACTACTACCCATCACCGTCATCGCTCCTGAATATCGTATTTATAGGGTAGACATAGATTGAGAAAACTGACTCTTAGTTTTCTTCTAAATTTAGTTACCACGCTAATTCATGGCTAGTGAAAATCACATCCAATGGACGATATATCCTTGCACCAACAATTTATGGTCAAATCTTTGTATTTAACATACTCTCGGGTCAACTGGCGGCGATTCTAAAGGAGCATGAAGGTAAAAAAGAAGACCATCGCACAAAAGAAATATGGGAAGAAACGTAACTGATTTGAATCTCTGTTTCTGGGTTTGCTAGATCTCGAAGTCCGTGATGTGATCTTCCATCCTTACCGTCCGTTGATATTCTCTAGTGGTGACGGTAATATATTGTCTTTCTTTCCAGTGATGATGTTGTTTCTTGTAAGAACCCAAGCAGCTCACTAATATATATCAAATAGACGGCTTCGTCAAAGTGTACACGTACAAGTCCTTAGAAGAAGAAGAAGAAGCGGACCTGGATGTCGGCATGTCGTCTTCATGAAAGCACAAAGCAGCGGCAAGTAACTAAAACAGTCAAACGACACTCAATGATAGTACCCCTTCCACATTCATCCCCATTTTTTTTAATAAGAAAGATTCACCGACAATTCCATCATATACACACACACTCACTCACTTAACAACAGCACGTGCATAATCATAGAAAACAAAGAAAAATAATGATAATAGTAATAATAAAACTGTCTAACACCCGTAAATACACATGGCCAAGAGTCTTGGAAGTCTTTTTTTTTCTGTGGTCTCTGGTACATGCATGCATGTAGGGACGAAACATTATTATTCATTAAATTATTATTGTTATTATTCCAATGCTTTAAGGGCCAAAAATGCATGCAAGCCCATGTAAGCTTTTGACCGTACAAGGAGTGCCCGCGTGTCGTCTTGGAGTTGTCGAAACGCGTCGTCTGACATGTCGACAGCACGTTTATACCAGGGCGCTAGTCCATTGATCTTTCCCATAAACAGATTGAGGGAAGCTGTCCCGATAGGTCCGCCCCAACCCAGCGGCACTTCGCGGTATTCGCTTTGTACTATCCGGAGATCAAGGTCGGAAAGTCGCATGTCGAGTTTGGCGCCAGCTGCTACATCCAGTCCTTGCATTGCATAAAATTGTTCGACTATTGTTATTTGTTGTTGTTGTAAATACCAAGCTGTGAGTGTGAGTCTTGTATATATACATGATAAGCCTAGAAGAAGGGAGGTGGGGGAGGAGAGCGATCTTACAGTTTTCAATAAGTTGTCGTGATTGCGACGCGTCTTGAAGCGTCACCTATTATATTTTTAGTAATTATATAGCCAAAACGTATTCCAATATACAGCTCTCTCTCTTTAAACAGCCGCATTTCCCAGTACTTTGGGTCTGATGTGCGTTTCTTCTTTTGACTCCCTCCTCCTGGAGCGTTTCAATTGCACTGTAATTATCTACTTACTCGCATGTCTAGATCAATACATTGTAAGCATCCACCGGGCTTTAATATTCGTAGGAGCTCATTCAAAACTTTTCGCCATTCGTCTGAAGTGAACGCCAGCACCACAAATCTGTTAATATAAAAGCGGAGAGAGAGGAGGGGGGGGGGGCGTTAAAGAGTTCAGATATTAAAAAAGAAGGTTTTTCTTTCTCGTCTTACGGACACAAAATCGTGTGCAACATCATCAAATTCGAATGAAAGTAGAGTCTTACCGTATTTGTATAAAGTCTGAGATGTATACACATAACCACACGTTTAGTTACAAGAAGTTCAAGTCACTTAATGATGGTAACAGTAATTGATTCCATATAGTGTCGATCGTTTAAAGAGGAGAGAGGAACTCACCAAAGGATTGGTCAGGATATGGGATGCCCTGCAGGATGTTTGCTCGACGAAACTGTAGGTTGACGGGTCGAATATCCTTTGGCCAGACGTCGGACATGTCGACGCCAGTAAACTGGGAGTTGTTGTATTCTAAGCTCGTTTCGCATAACCAAGTGGCTGGCCCGCAGCACACGTCAAGAATGGCCAGCCCTCCGCGTTGAAAGTTGAGATGCTGGAATGCTTCGGCCATCAAGTTGCTATGATTTTATGATTGTTATGCAAAAAAGGTTACTGAATCTGTTGTTGATGTTGTTGTTGGGAAGTTTTTCTTATTTTCGAGAATAGGATCTCTATGTTGTGTAACCATAAGAACAAGAAGCTGTAGCAAGCCTAGGATGCTTCCATACCATCCAAGCAATTCTTTCGTTACAAAGTGCTGTTCGTGAAGACGATCTGATTCTTGCTCGTCGCGTGGAAGCATGTATCGACTGCCCGGTTCGTCGTGGTAGATCCGCCCTTCGATGTTTCGTACAGCTCCATCTTTATCGTCATGGTGATGGTGTTGTTGTTGTCGAGATAGCAACGAGCGAGGGTGGTTGCTACTGTGCAGAGACCGGCCGTCGTCATCTGGGCATGATGAAAGGCAGCCACCCATCGAGAGTTTAGTTAGAAAAGCAAAAAAGAGTGGAGGATATGTGGAATGGAAGACGAAGAAGGGATAGGAGGAGGAGGAGGATGGCTGAGGTGGATGTGACGAAAGAAAGAGAGAAAGGGAAGGGAAAAGAGAGAGAACAAAGAAAGTTAAAAAGAAGAAACGCAAAAAAAAAGGAGTGTACAACCTAAGCGCAAAGAAAAGAAAGGCACTTTTAGATTGGATGTAACACAAGCAAATCAACAATGATGCTCCACAACTATGGGAACCCTTCCACGTTTTTCGTTTCCCGAGAAAATGGTCCCAAACATGCCACTGCACCACACCCGCAACATGTTAAGTCGTGTGCATCGTGCAACAAGAAGCCATGATGTATTTACAAAAGAGCAGAAGATAATGTCAAGCGAAAAAGCTACGGGTTTCGTAATGCGTTGGTTGCGTGGAGGAGGTTAAAAAAGCTATTGGCGGGGATGGTGGTGGGGGTTAAGCTTTTAAGGTTGTATCGAGTGGTCAATCTGTTTATGCAATGGCGGTGGCCAAACATACTGTTGCAAATCGGCCGACGTCGCCATGGTTGTCAACATGTGGTGATACAGATCCCGAAGCAAGAAGCCCTGGATCGCACTATAGAACAAGACATCGCTCTGCAGCCTTTCCTGATCCCACGGTGACGCCGAGAACTTCTTTTTCGCATAGTATTTCTGGGTCAGTTCGTTATATATGTCGCGATTCTTTGAGTTTCGCAACCCGATATCCAATGCTTTGCCGAATGTGACTTGTGCATCCGCACCACCGTGAACGTCGCTATACGCCCAAGCAAGGTCTATCACCGATCCCAATGTGAATCCGAGACGTTGCTGGAACTGTTCATGGACCACGGGCATGCCCCATACCACGCGCGTCACAACACCTGGATCTTCTGCGGTCAAGATACGGCCAAGCACAGACTGAGAAATTTCGTTGTGGCGATTCAACACCCGGTCGGTGAGGATAGTGTACGATTCCTTGGTATCCAAGATATAGATTTGAATGCCCTTCATAATGACCTCGAGGGAATCGTCCCGGCGGATGACTTGGCGTAACAAGGGAGTGATAAAGGCCATTACGGGTCCTTGCTTGTCTTGCACAATCTTGTCGATATCAATATCCAAAGCGCTCAGTTGAGCAACTTGACTGATGAGATGCACGTGGACACAGTCGTTGTCTTCCAAGAACAAGTCGTCCTGATATGTATCTTCGACTTGGACACCTGGGGCATTGTTGTAATTGCTGGCGTTGGGGTTACTGTCAGCAGAGGATTCAGAGGATGAATCACCCGAATAGTCACTGTCGCTTTCGTCAGAACAGCCACTTATATCAGGGTTCACCACGCGTGGACCACGCTGTTTGTTCTTGAGCTTGATCTTGGGAAAGTTGTGCATAGGCATCGACATAGATTGGGGTTGTTCTTCTTGCTTATCCCAGCCATCCTCAGCATCTTCACGCGCCCAGCTGCCAAGCTGATGATGTGATACCGTATGGAACCGTGCTGTCTTCTGTTGTTGTTGTTCTTGCGGTGAAGATGTACTTGTTGTTTCTTGACGCTCCGCATTTCGACGCTCAATTTCTTCCCAATCCGCCACAGTATCTTGGTTCTTATCCCATCCACTCAGTGAGCTCTTGGCCAGCTGATTCCATGACACATCCTCCGGTCGCATACTCCAATCAAATTCGCCCTGTGCATGCTTGCTGTATGCTTGACTGATGGCATTCTGGTATGTGCGACTCGATTGCGGTTGCGGTTGTTGTTGTTGTTTCTGCGACTGTTGTTGCTTGCCGCTCGTCCAATCGGTTTCTTCTACATCATCTGCGCCCCATCCACCCAGCTGTCCAATGTCCGTCTTCCTGGGGGTATCGTCATAGATATCAGCAGCAAAGTGCAGTTCGTCGCTTGGAGCCTCAAATACTGGATCCTCATCTACTTCTTCAGTAAAGTAGCTTTGTTGATCATTGATTTGAGCAGCACTACTGGCACCCGCACTGTGTTCGACTGGCATGTTGTCATAGTCGATGGTTTCGCTATGGAAAGAACTGTGTGAACCGCTGGCTTCATCCAACGTACCAATCACACGCTCCTCGGTTGGTCTTTGCTGTTCGTGTACAAGCTCCTTCATGGATCGTCGGATCGCTTCTTCCATATCCGCAGCATATTGCGGATTCTCGTCGTCCCAATCGAGATGTGTCTTGTTTTCTGTTGGTTGTTGTTGATTATGTAAAGAAGACATTCTCGCCTTGCCAGCCTTTTTTCTTGACTGCTGTTGTGGAGAACGTTGAGCAGCGGGGGGAACGGTAGCAGGTGTTTCGACCAGCGAAATATGATCACCGTCCGGATTGGGATCTTCCTGTTGCGCCATGAAACGTTGACGATACCATTTTTCCAATGCCTTGCGTCCGGACGTCAAAATCACCGTATGGGGCCAGTAATGGTCGCGCCCACTTGGCCATCCTTTCGTCTTTTCATGCAATTCGACTAAACTCACGACATCAAAGACGGCGTAAACCAAAGCCTCGGGAGGCAAAGGGTTGTTGAGCCAGACACAATCCGGACCCAAGAATTGGAACGTGTCACCCAACTGTTTGGCTTTGGAGAATTCCTCAGAGGCAAACCAATCGGGACAATAGCGGGCCATGGCGTTGCTCAGACTGAGTTGTTCAACCGCAGCGGCTTTCATCTTGGCCTGCAAGTCGAGAACATGGGCAAGCTTGATTCTCTTGAATGCAGCTTCGATGGCTTGTGCATCGGCTCGGAATGCCCAGCCCATCAAAACGCGATCTGATTTGCCTTCTTCAGCTTCTTCCAAGATGGGGCCAAGACGTTGGTATGTTGCTTCCCCTCCAATGTGGTTTACCATGATAGCATAGCCTAGTGTAGTTGATACGGCAATTTGCAAGACTTGGAGTTCTGGTAACGCCTTTTTCATGCCCAGAAACTCGCAGTCAAGCGCCAAACACGAGGCTCCACGGATAGTAGGCATGGCTTTGTCTAATTGCTCCACCGTAGTAATGGCCTTGCAAGTGACAGTTGCGTTGTTGTCGGAACCACAACGTACGTGGATGGTATGCTTGTCCTCAATGTCCCAGTTTGTGCGTGGATTAAAGTTCAACTGGACAGTTTTACGATATGTGATTGTCTTTCCAGGTGGGCGCATAAATTGTTGTGGTTGTTGGTGTAGTTGTTGCTGGACGACACCATTTGTAGTAGCATTGTTGCTACTGCTACTACTAATACCAATTATATTGTCGGATCGCGGTGACGCGTCGGATGTCATCGATGCTTGCGGTGGTTTATAAGCTTTCATGGCTTCATAATTTCTACCACGGCCAACAAGTTGTCGTAGCGGGCGCATGACATCGTCCACCAGGTAATAGCCTTTATGTTCAAATTGTGAAAGCAGGCTCAATGCAGTCTCGCAAGAAAAAATGGTCGACTTCCAATAGTCAGTAATAGCAATCGCGCCATTTGCACCATTTCTATCTGTCATGCTGACGGACGGTTGTGGTGGGAATAAGTGAGGTATGTTTGTTGTTGTTATTGCTGTTGCTACTGTTGGTTGCGAGATTCTTTCAATTGCAATAAAAAAAGTGTGTGTACGCGTACGTGTGTGTCTGGTGGGTTGAAAGAGAAGGTGTATAAGGGCGATTTTTTTGATTTCACAGGGGAGGCGATTGAACTGTATGAAGCTAAAATTGGCATCTTTTTCGTCATACCAGATTATTGTTGGCACATGAGTATCTTACGAATAGCTATTGCTGTATTGAAGCAGAAGAGAGGACGCGGTAGAAATGCTCCAGCAAAGATGAATACAACTGTAGTAGATAAACGAACTTATTGAGTTTTGGTTTGCGGGACCAGCAGCAGTAACAAATCATGAGCGAAATATGTAGCCCATTTGTGTATATTGATATCGTCGGCTGAAATTGCAGGTCTTCCTCCTCTGTTGTTTGCGGAACCTTTTTTGCTTCTTCGTTAAAGTGGTTAGCTCACGTAATAATACAGTCAAATCTGTAGTTATGCATGTTCGCAGCAGTAGTGAAATACTAACTTTGCGGGGCATCTTTTATTGAATAATGAAAGTTTGTTCAATACAATCACAGAAAAGGCTGTCTGGGTAAGTTCTCTATGTGAATTGCGCTACTAGCCTTTAAAATGTTACTATATCTCCTAAAGAAAGGATATACTATAGTCTTATGTTTACAATCTTCGTGGGTTTCAAAAGGTATCCCCGAAAGTAACATAAGACGAGTAGAGAAACTGGTTTGTTCGGTCAAGTAAAACGACATTGTCGTAGCTGCCTCCCGTGGATCGTTTCCGTCATCCTTTTCAAATGGAACGAGTATTGACAGCAGTTTGAAGTTCTCATTGAGGATAGCCAGAAATGGGCTTCTTGTCGTACAGGTATTCATATGAATATAACAGGATATGCGTTGAGACTGCCAATATCCAACAAGGACGGTATCCTTTATCCTTGTCGGAAGCGCTTCCAGGGCTAAATGACAACTCACTTTGTCATAATGATCATGAACTACCTTCGAGTCCAGGATCGGTTGCCATCAAGCCACATTTAACATGCGTGGATCGATCAATGATATTGTAATTTCGAGAAAATGTTCTCGAAAAAACCAGACTGTAAAAGCGAGTAATCTAATCATGGTATCGGGAAAAATGTTGGTAATTTTAAAAGATCCGGTCGTGTTCCTTGGCGTATAAGCGTATTTTTACATGATAAACGGATGATGTTGACATTTAACTGTGTCAGGTTTGGAGAAAGCACTTGTACATTGTGACCGACAACCAATATCTTTTGACATATACAAGCCTCATCCGCCTCATCCATGTTGACCCAAACACCAGAGGAGCCGCATGTGTATGGAGTCTAGTAGTAGGTAATTTTCATTTTTTTCTAGCGTGCTTTGAAGGTCCAACATCAACGCACCAGTACAATATGCGTTGCAGTGAGCTGGAATGCACTTGCTGTAATTCTCGTTGCTTCTCTTCTATGGTTGACTTGGTCGATGCTGGATAACACCTCCAATGGTTTGGCTCGGCGGCGGAATCGTTTTCGACCTCTAGGGTTTTACCTTACTATCTGTATCTGCCAAAATATACTGTGTTTGCTATGGCTGACTCTATTGATTTTCCCAGTGGTTTTGTCGACAGTAATATCACCAGAGTAGCACCAGGAGTATGACAGTGCGCAGTAACCTTCGCTTACATCTGAACCTTGTATCACTTGCATATCTCCCACATATTCTACACCCTCTATGTCTTTTTACAATGTCATTCTAGAGTTAAGCTCAACAGGGTCTTCTTTCCCCGCTGCTTCAGCCAAGCCCGTTCCCTTGACTGTGGTTTCGCTAGATAGTAGATAGGGACAGTGAAAATCTCGTTCATCCCATTCTGCGCGCCACACATTAGATGACGAGGCATTTTGGCTATGTATATCCGACGTGCGGACTAAATTACTTGGCATGAAAGTCGGTTTTAATGTCACCGAAAGTTTTACTGCTGGCCCAGCATGATATTGAAAACATTTCCTTTTACAAAATCGGCTTCTGCTCGAGAACAGCGTCTAGACTTATACGTAATATACGTTTTTCGGCTAGAATTTGGCGTCTCGAAAGTTACTCAGGGAGATTTCCATAGCAAAAGTGTTCAGTCAATTAAACTTGTACGTACTGTAGCAAAGAAAGAAGAATGTAACGCGTATAGTGAAAAAAAACGCTCAGTTTATGTAGTAAACAACAGCTACTCGAGCTGCTTTCATCTCTTTTATTGCTCATGTAATAATTAAGAAATTGTGATCTGGCAGAGTTGTTAAATAATTGTTTTTGCTTGAGCTGTGAGGATATACCGACCAAAATTGACGAGCTTAGAGCGAGATAATAGAAAAAGTAGTATCTTACCCTGGGATTTTGTGAAAAATACATACAGCTGCTGAGCGTGGCGCTCTATCATTAAATTCAGAGGAGCTCACTGAAGCATTCGGCACGATACCAGCGCTATCTATAACAACCAGACGATAGGTCATATCATGAACAGTCCCCTTCGCTCTGACACTGAGCTACCCTGTGGCATTTGAAAAAAAAAGCCCTGCCTGCGCTTATTCATGCCCTCAGAGAAATAGACCGTTTAAGTTAACCTGAAAAACACCAATAATGACGATGAAAAACCAGCTCCAGAAGCTGCGTTAAACCTCCTCCACTGGCTACTTACAGCCAAGAACACAAGTAACTCTCATATTTATACTTCATGTCAATCGTGTATACCGCTCTTCACTTCTTTTATCATCCGTGTACCACACATACAACTTCCCCTTCACTAGCATAACTTTTTCCCCACAGGGGGTTTTTCAGTCACTGCACCCCCTCATAATACATACAAAAATGTATACATCTCATATCATCCTGTACCGCATGGAAGCGACCACATGCCCATCGGCGCCGATTATAATTTAGTCTTCTACAACTACATATATATTTTAACGTATATATACTGCCGCTACTACACAGACTTGGCTGCATATAACGTGTAGTTTTAGTTTAGGTCCAAAGCAGTATATTGTAGTAATAATTTGGACTTTATTGTTATGTCCAATATAGTATTTCACAATTTGAGATCGAGCGGGCGGTGCTCTGAGCAAGGCAAAAGCTATATTTATTGGCTAGATGGTTACTAAGACGAAAAGAGACTTGTTGAGCAACACTATAATTACTAAAGGAAACATGAAGCTGAACAGAATCTAGTACTGTTTACTTTCTTGATGCAACTATCAGCTGCTGATTTATACTAGGAAAAGGCTCATACAATCATTTTGCCTGCTGTTGTGAGCTCGAATCCAAATAACTCTTTATAGAGATCTCGATGATAAGAAAATGTGAAGTATATGGAATCCTTAAGTAAAATAAATTTTTGGCGAAACGTAATAAAATGTAAGTGTTGCATTCTCATGTCATAATAAGTAGCAATCTCTAATAATCAGGGAGAAGCTTGCTGTCGTTATACAAGAACAGTTCTTCTTAATTCTATATAGGTTCTTGCCTAATACCATTAGTAGTTATTCACTTTAATCATTAGACAAACGATCGTCATACCTACCGTCGCTGTTATCATCTTTGTCGGTCAACTTAGCAAAATATGGAAGTCGGGTTGTTTTTACGACATATCGATTAATAAACAGCCACATCCGAAATCTTTGCAAGCTACTTAATTTGTTCGTCAGGCCGACGATAAGGTTGCCAAAAAAACCATAATTTTTTTGGGGGTGGGGCGAAAGCAAGAGGAGAATTAAGTGAATGAAAAGTGGTTCATGTACGACTCGGCAATATCGAAGAATTTTGGTGTTATGTTATCAAAAAGCACAACAACAGCAACGTGATTATTCCCGCCATGTTATTGCTGGTTGCAGTAGCACCAAGTTGCTGGGTCATGAATCATTAAGCTCAAAACGACATTGATCTTTTGAGGGGGGATAATATATATGTCAAGCGCAGGAGGGAGCGAGCAAGGATTGATCAACCAACGCACACCGTCATTACCCATCTTTCCGCTCCCCCTGATGATACTACGAATGATCTCTTGTTACATAATATGAGGCTCGAACGATGAACCGTAGTGCAGGTGCATCGATAATGTGAGTTGCGCGACTGGCGTGTTGGGGATATAAATGAGCCCGGAAAGCAAAGAGGGAAAGGACTATGCACACATGCACATAAAGAGAGAAGTAATATTTGGAGAAGTATGATGTGATTGGGATAAGAGTCAAAGTTTAAATTTGATTAAACAGTCCAAGTGCATAAACTCAAAATGTGTTCAATCTTGATACCGGGATGGCTATTAGGTTGTAGAAGCATAATACAGCTAGGCCAGTCCATCATCGTGGCTTGGGTATATACAACTTTTCCCTTCACCTCTCAGCTGTCATCGCCGCTCTCTGTATCTTTGCTAAAAATTTATAATGATCTTTATTGTTGACGAGAGGGACGTGCATTTGGATTGGTAATTTTTTCTCAGTGCATACCATAGTTAAAAGGCCTATGATCACGGTTTTCCACATAACACAGGCAGCATTGTAAACTTTATGCAACTTCCACCTGCACGATCTGGCTGTGCAGCAATTTGTGACGTTTATCAAAGCTTTAACTTGTAGAAGGTCAAAGAAAAGCTCTTGCTATACAATTTTCAGCACTATGTCGAGGAGAGGGATAGGGGGAGTAGCCAACACTAATGCATGCGCATTTTATTTCTACATGTCAGATCAATAAACGTCCTGTTCTGTAAATAATAGCAGCAGTACAGTAGCAGCAGTGGATAGCAGGTAATCGAGAGTTTATCCTTAATGCAACCTGTAACGGACAAGTCCACTGAAATGGTTTAGAGCACGCTATAAATAAGGGACAACTGTGGGGAGAGTAAGATTAGTAAAACTCTATGCGAGTATGATATGTATGCAGAAGCTGTCCCGTCATTCGAGTTTTGCATGTACACACATGTACATATGATACTCGCTTGTCGTCGCAAGCTTTCTTACTCTTCCGGAAAACGCCTTAAAATGAAGATGTAGCTTTTTCTTTATGCAGCATAGATTGTACCAATATGAAACACGTAAATCTCGTTGATACGTACTATTTAGACAATTCTCACTTTAAAACAATGATCTGGTGGCGGTAATAAGTACGTGTATGCTGGGCTGCTGCTGCTGCTTTGACTGGCTAGTGCTGTAGTTTTGCTGGTACTAATAATAATAACGTTCTTCTTATCGGTTATCTCTTTGACATTGCCTTTTAAAATGTGCCAAATAATGTAATTCTCTTGGAGATAGTCAAACTTTTACAAAGGTTCGTTTGACCCTTAGTTTCGAGGTACGCAAATGATGGTGTCAATCGGGTCCGGCCTTAATAATATAAAATGGTAGTACAGCTTTTATTTTCGAGGAGGTTTTACCTTTTTTTTTTGGGGGGGGTGGGGGTGGGGGAAAGGAAGGAGGAAAGAGAACGCTCAATAGTGCTTCTTCTTCAATGCTTATTGGTATATGCTCATAAAACACACATTGCATTCACAAAAACTTTCGAGACGCTAGCAATAACATGACACGATCGAACCTATCATCGAGGAATATAACGATGGATCTTCTTCTTCATCATCTCCCTGCTCGCTCCTCCATTTTTTTCCTCGGTCCAGTCAACGATTCAATTATTTTACTATTTATCATTACTGAACCCTTATTTGAACTCCCCCGCCCCCCTGGTTATAATCTCATTGAAAGGAAATTTGAGAAAGAGAGAAGAGAACTAGTTTCTATAATTTTCAAACGATGCCGAAACATGTTCGTAATTCTGGTTTTCAAGCTCTTTCAGTTCGTGTTGCGAAGCATTCCTTTCCAAACCTTTGTATACACACCCGACACACACAGATCATGGCAGCGGTCACCCCAGTTACTACTTTCCCTTGTCCCTCTCCCCTTGGAAACAGAAGAATGATAAATTACATAGCTGAACAACGACGTCCGGAATAATTATATAATATCTTTACTAGCATAGTAGCAATTTGCTTGAAAGAATGGATGCATGAACATGAGTTTTATAGTAGCATATAATGTAGACAACACGAGCTCTAGTGGATACAATTTAGCTTTTATCTTTCGTGCGCGGCCCTTTTATTACATGTTCATGCGAGAAGTCTAAAACAGAGAGTTATATTGAAAGTATACATATAAAAGAAGAGGAGTGGAGGGCCCTGCGTAGTAGGGCATTCAAGAAGCTTTTTTCCTCTTTCATTGCCTATTGCGGGGATTCGCCCGCGCTTTTTTCTTAATATTTACCCCAGAATTTCTGCTATGGCTATTGATAAATGAACACCTGGAGTACAAAAAAAGCGGGGATGGGAGGTTATTATGTGTATGTGAGTTGCTATTGCGATTATAACTATTAATTTTTCGAAAAGGGATAGTACTGTATGTTCTATATGCCTAAAGTAAGAAAGAGGAATGAAAATAACAACAACCAGAAGGGGGGGGTGGAGTTGGGGGCAGTGATTTCGTTTGAGAAGGACATTTATATACTCTCTTTGCTATCATACTTTACAAATATGATAAAAAAGTGGTGTATTTAGTTGTATTATAGTCCGAATCTAAATACATAGTGCGCACAAAACAACATAAAAAAAGGCGGGCAATAAGGATAGTACAAATGCATTCACATATGTCCCAATTGTATGGTCTTAACCTTAGCACCCCTTATTCTCCTCCCCTTTACCAAATTCTTGGCCTCCAGGTAAACAGACTTGTAAGTTTATGATTTTTATTTTAAAGTGATAAGAATTCAACCTGCAGAAAGAGACGGTTATTTATCTAATTCTGGGGGTGTAAATGTGTGTGGTGCTGTTTGAGTAATAAAAGCGAGAGGAGTGATTTGAAGTTGTGGTTTCTACCGATCGGCTTTTTGGGGGGAGGGGCAGGAATTGACTGATGCTATAAAGTAACTTTTTATTGAGGTTTAAACTGGATAAAGTAGGGCTTGCCTCTCAGACCCTAGAGGAACGTTAGTGCTCTTTTTTTATTTTATAATTTACTATGTCGTTCATTTATCTGTAATTATCAAGGGTTGTATGATAGAATAACATGGAATTATGTTGTTGTCGGGTTGGGCGACGCATCTAATATCGTCAGTGTATCTCTTCCCCCACTGTGCCCAGACAACATCAGTCAATTATGAAACAACCGCATTTTATATGTAAGTGTTTGAACACTCTTTTACTGCTCCCCACGTCTTTTCCAACTCAAAATAGCAAAACCGGGGCGCAACAATTTAACACTTTAATTGGTAATGTTGTTATACTCTATCTCCACTTCTGGTGTGTGGTGCAAAGATCAATACTTTTTTTCTCATCACATTACCAATATAAACCGGAATATGTTGTGTATGGTTTCTTTCATCATTGGTAACACATGGCGTCAGACACACATATGCTTATCAGAGTAAACCCTTTGATTGAGAATGATGATGGATATCAAGAAACCGTGGGGAGGAGAGGGGGAAACTCCTTTTGTGCAACTTATCACGTAACGATTGTAGTATCAGCAGTGATCCGTTATCGATCAATGATGACATATATTTGCGAGAGTACAAAGAAGTAAATGTTTATGAGATGATGTCCGTGAATTCTGACGTAACATTGCATCGTAAAGGGTAAGAAAAGGTTTAGAGTTGGTCACACATACATACGCATGGATCCGATTATGGTGTGCATCTCTTGTAAGTATTTATGCAGATGTAGATATGACGGGAACCTATTATCCCAGTCATGATGTCTATCAGCGCCATGTTGCATTAGAGATAGAGAAGGTTAATTTTTTATGTAACATGTGATAAAAACATTTGACATTATAAACCAACAACAAAGCATACGGATAAGGAGCTGAGGGGTCTCTCAGCCGAAAAACAACACACAAAATGCACAATGACCATTTGGGACACATATGGTAAAATGCCAATTGATAGTATATAGTAGTCACTTGATGAGTCAATGGTTAGCAGCGTGCACGAGAAATAAAAACAAACTATTTTGTCAAATGATTTCTAACTTTGTTACTACACCATCAAGGGACAAACCCCTCACGCCTTCTGTTAACACAGAAATCTGCATAGTTAGTAGTCAACCTTCTCCAACTTTTTGGTTTGTTTTTAGAAACACATGGTATGAGAGGGTTGTTAGGTTTAGTTTTTCATAAAACAACGTGTACTTAAAAACCGCTTCCAGACGAGATTTGGAGGGGGACAGAGCGTGTGTGTGTGTCTTTTTGTATGGTGGTTACTGTTACTATTTATGTCACTGTACAACATTTGACTAAAATGGAGACATGTACTCGGTGAAACACAAGAAATGATCGAATTACTTTGCAACTGACATGTAGCAAGAGAGAGAGAGAGCGACCCCCCCACTTCCCTTCTAAAAGAAATGTTATTTATCACACAAATTAAAGTCAGCCGGGTCACACCACGAGCATGGAAGCTTACTTGGAATAGTTTGGTAAGAAAAGAATACAAAATGAAAAGGAGTGTGTGTATTGTGTTTGTGTGCGTTGAAATCGCTTAATAGTGGGCTCGCAATTAAGTAGTTTACCGGTGCAACAGAACCATTTCTAACGAGGGGCCCGAACGTTTACTATATTTTTTTCTGTTTCCGTAGCTGAAAAGAAACAAATCGCGTGATATGGAGTGCCGTGGGTGGAGTGGAGTTTCTATCTCTATTTTTCAAAGATGTTGTTATAGTTGTTATTGATGTTAAATTGTATATAATTACAATGAATACCATCAATTATATCTCTCTCATTCTCATTCTTTCTATTTCTCACATATCAGTACGCGAGGCACATCCTAAAAGTGTGGTATAGGAAAAGTCGATAGTGTTCTTTCGCGACCGGGCCCCGTCGATCCTTTTTCATTTCTTTATATGGTTACTACATATACCAAGAAACTTAAAAAAATCTTGCACCCTAATTTAAACCTCTCTGTTCTCACCCCCCGACAACTCGGTCCGTCCAGTTAAACAGCGACCGACCACAACGACGTAACTCTTACTTCATCGATTTATCGGCCAGCATGAATCGCAATACTCATAGATCAATCCAAATCTTTCTATTGGGAAGCATGATACATCATTCCCAATGTGTAGTGAACAAATGCTACTGCTGAGTAGGTTAAATAGAGCACTCGGTACAGAATCAAAAAAAAAGCTATTATTAATCCACCCCTCTTTGATTGTGACACAAAATGGGAAAAATGAAATGTTTCTTTTCGTCTGTAGTATATTAGCTGTGAAGTAAGTAAATTGAACTAGCAGAAAAAATGATGTATATATATATATTATAGACTAGCATATTTTGATGGTGATGCATCATGTTTCATTATAAGAAAAGATAGAGCCAGAAAATGAAAGAAATCTATTTATGTATCCTCTTTCTTGCTTCTGTCCGTATATGTATAGCATGCACCGTTTACTTTCGGCAACACACAATAAACATTTTATATTGTAGCAGCAGCAGCAGCAGCGGTAACTAAGCGACAGCTGTAACATAGCGACAAAGTGGTAACTTGGTTACCGTAACTATTGGCAGCCGCAACTAGGCAACAGGTAATAAAAACGCTGGGTGCCACCGAAGTAATCATTTTGGCGAGACAAAGAAAAAAAGGATGATCATTAATGGCTAAAGTTTTTTTAAGGTTTAGCCTCTTTGTTGGACGTTTGTTGTTGATCCTTTTTTTATTTTATTTTTTTTGTTCCTCCGCCGGTAATCGGCAATGAAATTTAGACTTTTCCATGTGTGCTGCGTTTCTCTTTAGGGGGTCGCGTTGATGGGGGGTGGAATATATTCGGGGGATTGTCAAAGAAGAACCAAAAGAGCCTGTTTACTCACAACACACATATATACTTTAATAAAGCGACAGGAAGGTAAAGTAAAGGAGCCAACCCAGAATCATACAAGTATATATGAATGATTGAAAAGCCAAAAGCCTAGTACACTGTTTACAAGCACAACAAATGCTATTTAGAGTTGTAATATGATAATAAGACTGTCAAAGAACAAAGGCGAAGGGAACATGTATAAAACCCCATGATGCACGCCCTATGCATATAAAGTTTTTTTGGCTTGGTCATGTGTGCGTGCGTGTTATGTGTGGTTAAATGAGAAGTTGGGGGACGGGAGGGGGGGAGTCTTTAGGAAAAGTCTTATTTCTTTTTGTGATGACAACTGCCGAATTCATGCATTTTTATGTTTAAATGACGACGTGCCCCTTGGCCCCCTTTTATTTTTCCGGCCGATAGTGGCTGGTACTAATAGGAATTACGCTTCTTCTTTGGGTTTGGATTTGGGGGGTGGGAGAGGCACAAGGACTGATACATTAGGAGAGAAAGAGAACTTAATGATCGTTGTGAAAAAGAGAGAGAGAGAGAGAGAGAGATAGGTGTCGGGTGGGGGTGTCGTAGGGCAAAACGGGAGAGAAAAGCTTCGATCACTTTAAGAATGGATATTGTTGTTTCTTGACTAAAACACCCCAGAATAAAGGAGGGGTTGGTTGTTCCCTTCTCTCCCTCGTAAACATCGTCTCTCTCTTTTTTAAACAGCCACGGCTTCAAAAATTTGGCTGAAAAGGCTTTTTTCAATCTTTGGGGGAGGGGGGATTGTGTGGAGGGTGCGCACACCAAGAGAAGAGAACATTCTTCCGGCATTGTATACACTGCTTGGTACTTTACTACACGCACACGCTTAGACTACTATCGCTCACACTTGCCAACGCATTGGCACGGGTTCCAGGGTTTTAGGAATGAACAACAACACAATGTCAGATGGAAAAACAAAGAACAAAGAATGTGCCTTATTCTGTAAAACATGCGCTTTCATAATCTGATTATTATATATTTTTCATTTTAGTGTACCAAAAGTCTAGACTCTGATTTTTCCCGCCATTTCCGAGTGTCTGGTTATAAAGTTTTATTTAGGATGTGTGTGTGTAAACGAGCTAGCACAGTGCTAGTAGTAGTAGTAGTAGTTTAAGGTGTGAGCTATGCTGTTGTTGTTGTGGTGTCATGCAACCACTGATGAGTAAATAATTTGGCAAAGGTATAAATTGTATAGCACCCACCACTCTCCTCTAGGAATCCTCCCTTCCCCCCCCCCAAATTGAACCTTGATAGTAATAGTAATAGTAATAGTAATGGTGATAGTAATAGTAATAATAATAACAACGATAATAATGATGATAGTAAAGCAGCCCTTTCTATATTTCATTAATCTGTTGCAATACTAGCAGCTTACCTCTACTCTTGCTAGAGGCCCCCACCCACCAACATAGTCTTTCATAAACTTTAAATGGGATAAAGGCGTGTTGCGGTCTCGACTCCTACAAAAGGATGGAGAATCAAGATTTTTCCCGATTCGGAACTACCAAGCTTTCTTGGTGTCACTCCCCCAGGAATAGTTGCTGCCAAGAATGCTTTTTTTTGCTCATCGCAGCAGCATGCATGATGCTTTTTATGTTTTTGTCCCTTGAGATGATACGTTGATCATGGACTCCATTCTCCCTTTTATAAATAGCAGGGTCTCTGCTGGTCCAAATCCCCCACTTTTTTTCTTTCTTTCTCTCGTATTCTCCATCCTCTCTCTCTTTCTCTCTCTCGCCTTATCTCTACCTCTTTCTCTCTTTCTTGTCCTTTCTCTCCTCGCTTTCGCCACACCGCACTCAGCAACAACTGCCACAACAACAACAACAACCACAACTATCAACTATCAACAACAGCAACAGCAACAACACAAAGAACTTAGAAAATACATACGATGGAAACTTACATCGGCTACATCAAGACCCCTCAAGATGCACTTATTGTCTTTGAGGCCTGTAGACGAGGCCAACTAGATCGCGTCCAGCGTCGCCTTTCAACAAAAGAACGCATCCACATCCGATCCGGCTCTGTCTTTGCTTGGGACGAGCGGGAAGCAGGCATGCGCCGATGGACCGATGGCCGAACATGGTCACCCAGCCGTGTGCTCGGCAGCTTTTTGACTTATCGCGAGCTCGACACAAAGCGCCGCCCTCGCCGCTCATCGACCACCTCTTCATCATCCGTTACAACCTCCTCTGCTGCCGCCGCCGCCGCCGCTTCTCCCTCTTCATGCTTACCGGCTGGCAGCAAGGCCGCAGCTGCGTGCTCCTACAAACAAGATGGCTTGATCAAGCAGAGTTTCTCCATCTGCACCGCTGCTAACCAAAAGCTGCATCTCATCTCCTATTACACCAAGACCGATGTCCTCACTGGGCGTTTGAAGCAGCCCTCAGCCGATCCGATGCTGAGCCAAATTGTGGTGCCCAGAGGATTATATCCAGAGCTTAATCCACTGGACACTAGCGGAGGTCATTCTGCTACAATTCACAACATGCGCCAAGCATCTTCTACTTCGTCCATGGTTTCTTCTCCGCCCATGCATCATCATCATCATCATGCTCATCACAACAAGACTTCAATTCCTCCTTCGCCTCCACCATCTCTCTCCAGCTCACCCATCTCGTCCGATGAAGATATGGTCATCGACTCCTCCTCATCGCCGCATTATGACCATCACTTTTATACAGCAACCTCACAACCACCGCCACCGCCGTCAGCCTCGTTCTGTCACTCATTACCGCCTCTATCATACCCAACAACATCATCGTCTTCATCATCTGTTGCCGCTTCTCCACTGTTAGCCGCATCACCCTCATCATCGTCTTCGTCTTCAAACGCTTCGCCATTGCTGCCGATACAAGAGATCCCTATGAACCATCGACTACGATCGTCCGAGGACCAGCGTCAGCTCAGTGCACTCCATGGCCGTCTTCACTTATAAAACATATTGTATTATCACAACAACACCACCTCCTTTCTTTCAGCTCTTTTTTTTGTCACATACCCATCTCTTTTTCCCGTTTTATAAATCTTACAGCTAACTTTAAAGAACCATGCATTTTAAACAACTTAAAACACATTCCCAAGCACCCTCGCGATTCACTCACTTTTCACTTAAAGCACACACTTCTTGCGCACTCTCTCTCTCTCTCTCTCTCCATCTCTCTCACTCCTTATATACATAGTCACTGCCAATTCATACATAATCATAGTTGACGTCAGTGTAATAGCAAATAATAGTAGGCTCTTTGTTCATGTACACTTGTCTAGTTTTTGTCTTAATCATAAAGTTGCATTTTCCGATACCCCTCCTTTTTCCTTCAAACACGACACACTAAAAGGTTATGGTTTTCCTTCTTCTAATGCAATGTGTATGGGGTTGGTGTGCATATAAAACAAGCTCATTTTGGACTACTTGTTAGTAGAGGAGAGTCTCTCTCTCTCTCTGTGTCTGTCTCTCTTTTCAACCTAATATACCACCGTCACCCCCAAAACTTTCAACTCAACTTTGTTTGCCTGCATACATACAGTATTCATTATAAGAAGAATGGAAGGTCTGTCCGATAAGAGAGGGAGTGGCGTAAATGATAAACCTTTTTTTCATTATTTCCTCTTTCCGTACCTTTCTTTCTTTCTTCGCCCATCTCCTCCGACGCGCACTCTCAATAGTGTAATGCATCATTTCTTTGTGTTTCCATCAACAACAGCAGCAACCTTAATAATGAATCCGATAATCGTTTTAACACGATAACAAAAAAAGGTTTTGACTCCGCCAGAGTTTTGGGGTCCTTTCAACGCCCAAAAGGTTTCTTTGGTAGATCAATTCACACTGATCCGTGAAACCCACACTTAAGCTCTTTATGGAGTTTATTACTAACCAGCCAACTAGGAACCAGGAGATGCATCAAAAAAGAAGCATATAATAGCATAAATAGTAGTTTATGGCTGCCGATATTCTTTTGTTGTTGTTACATATTGTATTTTTAAACAAGCACCAATTTACAGAACTCAAATATACACATAACAACTTATAAAACAACAAATCTCGTTCTTTTTTTTCTTTTGGGGGGAGGGGGCCAAAAGGAGCATATATCATACTACGGGCTAAGATTTTGCTTTTTGGAGGTGGGAAAGTTTTAATGCAAGCGATCGACCTCATACCGGGCTCGTTGTGAATCCCTCCTCCTCCCTTATTCCAATCAGTCTCCTTTCTTCCATGACTACTAGTAGAAAGGCAGTAGTAGTAGTATGTAGTGATCCATGAGTGTGTGTGTTTTCTTAAAAATATGCCTAACTTTATATGTTGTATATCATCACATAGCATACAGACTCTAGCAAATTTTAATTTTGCTGGCCACTAAAACTGTGATTTCAGAATTTTGGGCTTTGGTGCATGTTGGTTTCCTTATATATCTAATACACTCTCCCTTGCCGCATCTAACGATCGATACCAGTTCTGTTTCAGCTGCTCGACACAAGATGGATGAGATAGAGTGAGTCGTTCTTTTCAAACCGGTAAATAAGCGAATAATGTATAAATCGTTCACACAGTCGTTTGAATAGCCTCATAAGAAAAAGACAGTATGCAGCACGGTCCATGAGAGAGATTGAGAGTAGCTACTACTACTACTACTATTACTATTATTCTTGATCTACGATTTACAGAACTGTTTATATTGTACCGAATTCTTGCATGCCGACAACAACAACATTCTTGTTGCTTCGTCAACATGCGTTGATATTCAGTTAGTGAAGCTATTGAACAATCCTATCAGCTCCAGGGTATTTTCATTCTTTTTTAATCAATGCAACCTAACGATGCATATACATGACATATCACTCTTGCATTACTTGCGACCTTTTCCGAGAGAGCAAGAAATAAGCAGCTACATGTGTATTTACTTGACCATTACAAAGTCAGCCGGCCACACCTTCCCCTCCCCCCCAAATATTGAAGTTATCTCTTTGTGTGCTAAAGAGATGTGTGGATCGTGCTCATTCTCTCATATAGCCCCCTTGCTGTCCTTCTTGTCATGCTGTGTAAAAGTTCGCCAGCGATGACCACGGACAATGATTGCACCGGTATCTACAACTCATATCTGCCTTTTTTCTAACCTATCCATTTTCGTACTATTATGTGGAATCAAATTCCCACTTATTAATAGGGAATGAAGGCGTTCATGGGTGTGTATTGGTCGTCGAAAGCATGTTACATGTGTGTGTAGCTACCCACAAATAAGTGGACCTTGCCCGTTGTCCTCCACCCCGCGGACTAGTTTCCTTAAACTTCGCTTCCACCCGAGAGAGAGAGAGAGTGTGTGTGTACACACATGTACGCACATTCCTCCCCCAAAAACCTGTTGTTCTTTTTCTTGTCTAGTAGGTTAATTGCTATGTAGTGGTGGTGACTTAAACACTTCAATGGAAACTGAGCGGCGGAAACAGAAATGTAGTTTGGCACAATGAGTGTTGTGTCGTGTTTTTGTGCAGCACAAAGTAATAAATTTATCATTAAAAAACCTTAAAAAAAAGGTTAAATTGCTGCCCCCACCCGTAATCATCGTCTGCTCGTTGTTTTGTCGCTTTGCCGGCCGGACCATTTATTAACTTTATAATGCATAGTAGTGAGACAATACAGCAATTCGATATAGTTAGTATATTTTTAAAATGATAAATTAGAAATGAAGCTCATTACATTATGTACAAATTGAAGGTTAAATGGTGCCATGATGATGATAGCGGTGACGCGGGTCCATCAGCCAACGCCATCGACAGCTCGCCCCTCTCCGTTGAGGCCTCCTCAGTTCACTCTCTCTTCCTAGATTGTTCTACTTCTTCTGTCTGAGTTACATGTTAGATGTACAACACAAAACTCCAGTCTTACACGAAAATGTACATTGTTACTGTATTTCAAAAAGAGGTCGAAAATTTTCTCTACATCGGACCCCCAAGAGAATGCTTAACCAATAGATCGGTAAAATGGAATCTACTTACTATTCGTGGGAATGGCAAAAAGTTATATAATACGAGTGCTCATTGTTTCTCGCGCGTTCTTGTTGTTATTTATTGTTGTCGCCGTTATGGCAGCTTAGCCATACAACATTGCATAATTATTTGTCACATTTATCATTTACTGATCATAACTGACTATCTGACGCCGCGACTTTTTGAAAAACCATCTCAACTCCTTGAGGGACCAAGTACTTGGAAAAGACAAGTAGTTTGAGATCAAGCTTGACAACGTTTTGGCTTAGAAAAGCTCGTTGAAATATGTAAAGTACACATGAATCAGTAATATTCTGTAACTGCACACGTGTTCTACTGCCCATCATGATGTTGTTGTATAAATGCTACAATGAGAGGAAATATTGATTGAAAGACTTGCGAACTGGCTTCTACCGTTGTTTGAGTATATCGGTCAGTATTGCCGACGCATACCTATACGTAGAGCAGCTCTTCACCGTTATTACGCTGAGGTACAGCGGAAAGCACCTTCCGGGAATGATTGTAATCCGTAGTGCAATATGGTACAATAAATCATTCAAGATCCTTCTGTTCCATGGTATCCAAGTGTGATTGCAACTTCCACCCAAGCCCAAGGGTTAGCCAAACCGACCAATAAACTACCCGTCTTGACGGCCGTGATAGCAGCCCTTGAAGGGCCTCTTGACAATGTGATGGCCAGCAATTTAAAATCAGGGTTGATATGGTGGGTGCATATGCGCATGCTACCTTTGTTTGTCTTGCTTGATCTGCTCTATCTAACTGATCGTTTATCTTCCATCCACTACTATTAGTCAGGTGTTTGAGTTTTATATAAAAACACCAGGAAGAAACCAGTAGATTAATATATGCACCCAGCAGGGAAGGAGGAGACAATTGTAATTTATAAACACCAAGGAGACTTTAACCCTTGGCTCAACAAATTGGATCTTTTAGTCATGGCCAGCACAAAGTTTCAAATGATGTTGCTTGCTGCCATTTAGTTATCGTACAACTGCACACTTTTTAAACAGTTTCGGTGAAGCCAAGGCAATGACTGTGATTTGGATTGGCTGGCACCACTGCCCCATGTCGTTTGCCACCGCATCGTCCTATCAGACTAGTCTACCATGCAAAACATACAATGGAGAACAAGATGGTGGTGACCTGAAGGATAGAATACACCTGTTAGTCGGCATGAAAAAGTGAGGAGTATTCATCATCATATGACGTAAAAAGAAGACTCTCAGTCTCATTACTAACGTATACAAAGAGTAATTAAGATCTTCTTGCTTCATGAATAAGAATCAAAGAAAAAAACCTTACGAAGCTGCATTACAAGGAGGATTTGGGGGGAAGGTGGTTGCATTTGAGAAAAGCAAGCTCTGTTTTACCACATGATTTTTGTCATAATAGACTTTCTTACTGCCAAAACAAGCTTTTGTCTGGCTCAGAAACAGATGACCTGCTGGGAAGGGGTTTGGGTCTTTTCTAGTCTGTCCTTGTCGATGACAAATACTTAATTGTATAGCGCATTAACAAGCTACCAGAGCGAAATGTATGCATGAGTAAGAGGGATTGCATGCCGGACATATCTCTTTCTTTTTTCACCCTTTAGTAAACAGCGGCGATCCTCGTTTGATTTCTTTAATCCTTCAATTCATTTTTACTGCTTTCGGACAAAAACCCATATTGCTGGTTCCTTAAAGCTCTCCCGTGATCTTATTAAGCATCGAGTGGTGTGTGTATATGATCATCCTGTATCTTCTCCTATTTGTTTATGCTGTACAGACACTAGCACATACTGAATTGTGGATGGCATCGACGTAAATAGCATCAATGCAGTTGCTTACTCTATCTTCTCTCTTACATCTTCCATTTCTTCTCCTTTTATGTACATACTCGTTGCTGCTATTAAAATGATCAAAAGAAAGAAGCATGATGTCGATCTCCCTCTCCGTCCAATTTTTTCTTTATTTCAAAACGATCGGCCGATAACGGTTTAAAAGAGTGATCGTAAAACACATGTATGATGATGATGATGATGATGGCATACGATGCCTATCCTTGGGGTGTTGCAATTAATGGAAGGAAAGTGATGCTCCTCGGGTTAATAAATTATTTCTTCAATAAACTTTGACGAAATTACTGTGTCGCAAAAACGCCCCGCATCTTGTTTAGTTGTGTGCCCAGTTCAAGACCGGGCGTGGCCGAAGGTATTGACGGACAAACAATCAATTACAATGATTGTAAATAAAGTTCTTGTCACAAAAGCCTCGCACACTTTCCGCGAGGAGGGTGATGGTGAATTGTATGTGGGTATACAGAGCACATATTCTCATACTTCCAGCGAATATCGATGCGGCGCTGCACTGACCATTATAAACTTAAATAAGAGACGCACAAAATAGAAGATACCATGCCACAGACCATCAGCCAAGAAACATATTCAAAGAAGAACACAGCCAAAATATAAAAAGACAATCGACAGAAAACAAGCATGATCAATATTCTTCTTTGACTAAATCAGAGTTGTAGTTGCCGGCTTAAACACATCGTCAGCACTCGCTCTTCCGGCAAAGTTCGACATGTTTTGGCTGTGCAATGGACTCTTCTTCATCTTTTTCTCAGTACATGTTTGATGTACAGGTTCAGCTTGGTTATTTTTATGGTGCCATCATCTCTTTCTTTACCATGTTTTTAAAATCATGCGCATCATAGCTGTTCTCAGACGCCACACTTTATCCGTTGGTTACTGAAAAACAAATCCAAATGTAACATATAATGGGATGACATTGTCGTATGCTCTGCCTGCTGGATCGACATGTCATGAGTATCAACACCAAACTCAACACAGCTCAAGAAAGGCAATCATCGGAACAGCATCATCAATGACAACAAGCGTATATTATGCGTCCGTTACAAAGAGTACAAAGTTTATCTACATGAACGAAAAGATAGATGACAGAGCCAAACAGTACGTACATGAAAAGGGCAAAAGCTGCTGAGCATTACTTTTGACATGGATAACAAAATATTAGCCAAAGATAAAGGTTGCAGTCGAGAGCGATAGTCGGTGATAGCATGATGTTGGCCTTTTTTTAACATTGCGCATCATAAGAAAAGCATACGTTTCATTTGCCATGTATTACGAGCGTAATAGCTTGTATAACAATCCTTGCATCTGTAGATCATTCCTCTTGGCATGTTCATTGTTTATTATAGTTTGGCATGGTAATAAAAGAAATTATAGCTCTTTTCCGTGTGTAAATAGTATTGACGCTAAACTTTTATAACATAGGAACAGCATCACATGTGGAAAATTCATCAATTGACCCGAACAAGCACAGTGTATTCTGTTTTAGAATAACAACCAGTTTTCTATAGATAGTAGCAAAAACGCGTACTGTTGTTGCATTTCTTGCCGATATTGCACCCATTGGCAGAAGTTGACGGATACTCGCACAATTAGAAAATGACATGATGACTCTCCCTTATTCAAGACCTTCAAAACCATACTAACAGTAGTATCATCATCTTATCTATCTTCAACAGAGAGAGCTACGGTGTTATTACATGAAAGACCATGTTGATTTTCACATTGATTTGTTCATACTTCCCCAATAATCCGGACAGATGCTTGTATCGATTATATTACACTATTTTAGAGCAAGAACTATAATCATAGGTTGTGATCTCGAAAAAAGAAGTCAAGTAGTGTTTATTAATTGTATTACACGGCCTAAACATTTTGCTTTTCCTTCCATGAACAGAATCTGGGCTTCATTGCAGAGATATTTAGGCTCATTCATGAATCGCAAAACACAACGACCTTCGCTACCGGAAGGGATTATTTGATCGGTGCTGGGGTGACTGCTGGAGTTTTGGGTTTTTGTTGCGTTGTATTCTTCAAGGTGTGCTTCTTTTGTTGTTGTTGTTGTTGTTGTTGTTGCCGATGATGATGGTGATGACGATGGAGTGGAGGATGATGACGATGTATTAGTGGTAGTGGAGGATGATATAGACACAACACGCGCGCGTTGCCGAACCGAACCAGAATGCACCATGCCGCAGGTGCCTACGGTCACTCCCGTCGGATGGTACAAAACAATGAGATCCACCTCAAACTCAAAGTAGCTACTCGGTACGTCTATGCCTAATAGCACCATGCCACGTTGAATCCGCCAGTTTTCAAGCTCTGTGGATTTGATGGCAAGTGTTGCTGCTTGTCCACAATGTACATAATGCGTCGGTACCCGATGTCGGTGTATTGAATCGACTGTGACTTTAACGAAAGCACCAGTACTGTCGGGCCCAAGATGATATGTCCTTCTTATTGCATCCTCGTTAATATTGATACGCCCTCGTCGCAATACGCCTCCTATGACTGGGCCGATGTCTATATTGCAACAGTAGCATTAGTATATTTTTCATCTTAGTAGAACAAGAGTGACGCGTCTGCGGTGTGTGTATAGCCCCCCCTCCCACCCACACTTTATTAAACAAGTTATCACAATATGTACCTGACAAGGAATATACTTCTTCTACTTGAAACTCGACAGGTTCTTCCAACAATGCATCATAATTTTTGGTCGGTCTGGGCAAATAGTTGAAGAAGCGTTCCAACAAATCAACATTGGTTCCTGTGACATTTGAGACCAAAAAGATGGGTATTTCAGGACCACCACGAGCCAGATGCGAAGCGCATGAACGGGAATCATTATCGTCACGAACAATAACGGGCACCTTGTTCATGCCTGGCGCTCGAAGCAATTGTACCAATGAATTAAGTGTCCTTCCAAGCTGATTGCGAGAAGCAACATCAACTTTGGTGACAATGACAAGAACAGGTACATCCAACATGACGGCCAGGGATAAATGTTCGCGTGCCATTTCCGATATACCGACATTGGTGCTGGCGGATATGACAAGCGCTGCATAATCGGGCGAATAGCCTGTCATACCCGAAATCGTGGTCCGCAAGTACTTTGCATGGCCGCAAAGATCCAGAAATGTAATCACCTTGCTGCTCGCCTCACAGATTTGTTCCCAAGTACTGATGTTGTGCGTGCTGGCATAGTTGATCAAATGACCGTCTGCATCATAGCCGATGATTTCGTGCGATATTGATGATGTCCGCCCTGATTCGATTTCATGCCGATGCCGTGCACAGCTGAGTCGTGCTCGCCCACGTCCGTTGTCCTGGATACCGTGGGTTATGCATCCGAGCAACGTTGATTTGCCTTCACCATGACCACCCAACATGGCTATCCGAATATCGGTGAATTGTTGCTGTTGATCTTTGGGTCGCCTTCGTATCAATGCTTCGAGAACCTTGTGTGAATTTTTGCGCGGCTCTGGTTTGCTGCCAAATTGATCCATCGTTAACTCTCGAATGATCGATACGTCGGCGTCTAATGCATCTGCCATTTGTCGCAACGTGTCCACAGATGCTGACATGTCTTCTGCGGATAGCCCTATCAACGTAGCGTATCGTATTTAATCTTACAAGCTGGAAGAAATGCGTTTCTCCATCGGTTCACATTTCATTTTACCAACTAAAGTGCCGTCATCGTCGACACCAAGCTCATACATTGCTTCTCCGCCTCCTTCCGATAATCTGTCATGCCATTATCGTGTCGTGCTTTAGTTTTAGGCGACATAAAGCTATAAGGGTTTCTGATTTGACATAGGAGGAGAGTAGGGGATGGAATAACAACTAGAGCAGTTACCTCCATTTCATTTGGGTTATCAAATGGTCTAATCGCTCAATCGATGGGTCTACTAATTTCAGCTTCATTGAAAAAATAAAAAAATGTGTGCTTGTGTTAGTTTTCTTTTTTAGCCTTAGAAAAAGCAAGCTTATGACTAGAATCGTGGCTCATTACTTTATATTCAACATTCCCAGCATCGTCAACTTCTGGTGGAAGTGCATCTTTTAGTTTTTGTAAATGGTTCCACGGTGATGACGAATATTGTGGGTCATTGTGCATTGTAGGGAAAAAAAAAGCAAATTTTGGTAATTTATTATGCCCCTTCGCTGTTCCTTCCCCTGCCCCACCCCCCCTCAAGGATATATAGCAAAGTTTGGAATGTGGTCAATATGAGTCAGAACAGAAATTAAGTCAAGCGTTCTCGTTATGTTGTTGCTGCGCCCTTCTTGTTATTCTGTTTCGCAACACTGACAGCTGTGGCGGGCGGGTATTGCATAACCTACCATGCGTCTTAGCGGTATACCTTTTTTAAGGTACTGTGAGAATCAATTTGTAGTGTTGTCTATCTACACAAGGGTTGCAGTTCTATATTCTACTGTAGTATTATGCGTATGCCCGAAAAAGATATTGTTGCTCGCTTGCTCATCTAGGCACTTCTGTAGATGTATTGGCGATATCCCATTTCCCTTCTATTCACTTGTGTATAGACATGCTCTGGGTGTCTATATGAATGTGGCAGAAATCAGACGCTGCCGTGATCCTTTGGCATACTTTAAATGTATCATCATCACACTACTTAGAAGACGTACTATGAAGATACACCTTGAAATCCTGTACAACATTGTACAACTTCAGGCTTACCAGGCCAAGAAACCCAGCAGCAACAAATGATCATGCTGCTCCCTCCATACGACGATGTGCTCTGAATGACGAGGAAATTTTTTATCTTGCTCACCAACAAGTTGAACTGCTTTCAAACTTCATTCCAATAGAGAAAGACAAAGTATTTTGGATTGACATATATGACAATTCTTCTTCTCCCCCTTTGGCAGCAGAACAAGTAGTCAATCGCGACATTCTTGTGATGCCTTTTGGAGCACGTTTTGAAGACCGTGGAAAGAACAAATACAGGAATATAATAGGTTTTATGATTAGAAAAGATGGGTCACATTGTAAAGCTACTGGCACAGATACTTTGGTAAATCCCGACCACCGTTTCCACCATCGATGGTGGGCACATTTTTATCAAATTCAAACGTTTCGTCAGACAACTGTTTTGCGCAATAAGGTATATCAAACTTATTCGAAATAGAGACTATTACCACTCACCAATTCTTTACATATACGATATACTACGTGTGTCTAGCATAAAATTGAGCATAACAGTCAAGAAGAAAGTGATTCGTATATAGACTATTCTAAACAAGTAGCGCTCTTGTCAAGTTTACGAAGAATCAGCTTTATAGAAAATGCTGCATGATGAAGCATACAGCCAGTGAGTTATTGTAACGCCTTGCCGTGTACATACAGCAAAATGATACTTGACATTTTCACACTCATTGAGGAGAGGATATAAGCCAGCCTTTTTGTATACATCGATGGGCTACTACTTGTGTGCACGGCTAAACCATTAGGAATGATTTAACTGGTAAAAATGGATATAGAGCAGCCTTTTCTCATTTACAACATAGAGCTACAAAAGCATATGATAATCCAATGCTGATGACAATTTTTGAAAGATCGACACCGGTTGTCAAAACTTCAATTTAAATAGCGAAATGACAAAACCCAAATATATTGGATATTCTTTTGAATACAAAAAGACAAACCCATGGTCGAGTTTATTATTTTTAATTAGAGAAAGATATAATGATCATGTCTAGTGAGAATATGAGAGAAGAATGATCTTTTTTGTTCTTTTAGGATGACTATTCACAAAATATGATGAAGTTGGTTGTTGAAAGATGTGTGTTGAATGTGAGATATGGTGTATATAGCGGATTGTTTTGTCAGATGGATATGTCTTTAGGCGGATTCAAGAGAGGAGATATATGGAGAGTGGTGTGTGTGTGTGTTTGTTGGCGAATTTACAGCTTGGGACCAGCAGCGACAGTCTCGGCAGTAGCACCTTCCTGGAAAGTCTTGAAGTTCTCGATGAACATGTTGGCAACCTGGTTGAGGGAGCCAGTGAACTCATCGGGGGTGCCCATCCAAGCCTTGCGGGGGTCGAGCAATTCTTCGGGGACGTTGGAGACCTTCTTGGGGACTTGGAGGTTGAAGACGCCGTAGTTCTCGAATTCAGCATTGGCCAATTCGCCGCTGTGGATAGCGTCCAAGATGGCACGGGTGTACTTCAGAGGGCAACGCTTGGCAACACCAGCCTTGCCACCGATCCAGCCGGTGTTGATCAACCAGGCGTTGGCCTTGTGCTGCGACATCTTCTCAGCCAACATGGTAGCATAGCGTTGAGGATGCAAGACCAAGAAGGGTGCGCCAAAGCAGGCAGAGAAGGTAGCCTGGGGCTCGACAATGCCGTCTTCGGTACCGGGGACCTTGGTGGTGTAGCCAGAGATAAAGTGGTACATGGCCTGTTCGGGAGTCAACTTGGAGACAGGTGGCAAGACACCGAAAGCATCGCAGGTCAACAAGATGATGTTCTTGGGGTGACCGCCCATGCAAGGGATCTTGGCGTTGGGAATGTGGTCTAAACACACACTGTCAGTAACTCTATTTTACCCCACATTTTACAATTTCCAATTCCGAGCAAAAACTTTTTCCTCCCCGCACACCCGCGCTGAATAGCATGTGAGACTTACAGATGGGGTACGAAGCACGAGTGTTCTCGGTCAAGAAATCGTCCGAGTAGTCGACAACACGGCTCTCCTCATCCAACACAACGTTTTCCAATACCGAACCAAACTTGATGGCGTTGAAAATATCGGGCTCCTTTTCACCAGACAAGTCAATGCACTTGGCATAGCAGCCACCTTCAATGTTGAACACACCCGAGTCGGACCAGCAGTGTTCGTCATCACCAATCAAGGCACGCTTGGGATCGGCAGAGAGAGTGGTCTTGCCAGTACCGGACAAGCCAAAGAAGAGCGAGACATCACCATCGGGACCCTCGTTAGCAGAGGAGTGGAGCGACAAGACACCGGCCTTGGGCATGAGGTAGTGCATGACAGAGAAGATACCCTTCTTCATCTCACCAGCGTACTCGGTACCGAGGATAACCATTTCGTTGCGCTTGAAGTTGATGGAGACAGAGGTGGTGGAGGTCATGCCGGTGGTGTAACGGTTGGCAGGGAACTCACCGGCGTTGAAGATGGTGAAGTCGGGAGTGCCAAAGTTTTCCAACTCTTCCTCGGTGGGACGGATCAACATGTTGCGCATGAACAACAAGTGGTAGGCACGGGTGGCAACGACACGGACCTTCTTGCGGTACTTGGGGTCCCAGCCGGCGAAACCGTCAAAGACGTACAAGCGAGGACGGGTGTTCAAGTAATCGATGGCACGCTCACGGTTGATCAAAAAGACCTTTTCTTCAAGAGGCGTGTTGACAGGACCCCACCAGATGTCCTTGTCCGAGGTCTCTTCGCGGACGATACGCTTGTCCTTGGGGGAGCGGCCCATCTTCTTGCCAGAGTAGGCACAGAGAGCACCGGCAGACGAGATGACGGTGCCTTGTTCGTAGGTCAAGGCTTCTTCGTAGAGGACAGCGACGGAGGGGTTGCGCTTGATAGTGACCTGTATTTGATAGAAGATACCCATCAGGAAATTAGTTTTTCTGTTCATGCATCACATACAACAAGTTCCAGTCATCCACGGATTCTCGACTTGAAGCAGAAGACGTACGCGATCATAGTCGATACCAGCAAGTTCATGCAATTCTTCCTCGACCTTGGTGCGGGAAGCAGAGCTGGAGGGACGGCCAAAGGGGGATCCGGGTCTAGGAGAAGCAACCATGTTGATGTGTTGTTGTTGTTGTAGTATAAGAGAAGAGTAACTAACGTAAAGAAAAAGAGGGTTCTGAAGAAGGAGGGGCCTCTATATATATGCATTTGGCGAGATTGAGGCCACTGCCAGTAAGCTCGTGAAAGTGCTGACCATCCTCGGAAGCGGAGAGGTACTTTTCTTTTCGTATAAGCGGGTGCTTCGCTCTCCCCCGCATATTGCTTTATGTCCATCACGGACCCTCTCCCTTCGGAGAAGGTCGGACTGCCCCTCTTCCGGGACTTTCCTATAGGAAACAAAATGGCGGTTGCCTTATATGGCACCCACTCCAAATGGGAAGCCAGTCGTAAGCCCTCCGAAGCTTTCAAACAGTTTTCATGACATGTGAAACCGGGGGACGGATGGATGGCGGGCAAGGGCTTGCTTCAATTAGCGGATGCACCATGTAATAAATATAGGGTTTTCCAGACAGTCTGTGTCTTGCATGCACTTGAAAACAAAAGATTGTAAAAGTGCTGCATGTCTATTTGTCTTTTTGATATGTTTGTGATCCGCGAGCACAGGCACATTCCAAATATATAGTCAGCCTCCAGCCCTGTCAAGTGTTTTCCTAGCCTAGATAGCAGCAGCAGCAGCAGCAAGCACGGGTCAGTTATGTACGCGCAACACAGGATGATGCTGCCATGGGAACAAAGGACTCCATGACATAATCCTTGCAACTCCGAAGGTATATCCTTCATCATCAAAATCACGAGCCTGACAAAGGAAGCATCTTTTTTTATTTTGTTTACTTTGAAAGTACGTTGTGTTTATTTATTTATTTATTTTTTTTTGCATAGCAGAAAGAGAGAAGAAGTACATGTGCATTGTGTTATGTGCTAGGATATCATCGTCGTCAGTGATTATTCTGCGTCCTTGACCTTTTGCCACAGACCATACGACTTGGTGGGATCGGACTGCCACAATCGAATCGTTCCGTCCTCTATAATTGTAGCGTACACAACCGAGAAAAATCATCAGTACATTCGTTGCACACACAAATTCGATTCCCGTTTTCTTCGTTCTTCGTTTCCCTTTTTATCTTACCTGATCCCGACGCATAAACTTCACCGTCAGGACTGTAGCCCACAGCATGAATGGACCCGTGATGTCCCTTGTTAACCTCTACAGATTTGGCAAAAGCGGAGGGAAAATCAGTTTTTATGGGTGACCAACACTCAAAACAGCGATGCAAAACCTACCAAGCTCTTTCGCCGTCAACGCATCATAGATTCGCACCCACGGATCAGAGTCGCTGCCAACGACGAACTTCTCGCCAGAAGGATGCAAGGCAATGGAAGAAACGCTTCTTGGCATCGTGTGCATCATGATTGTGTCCTCCGTTGGAGCAAGTCCTCTATCATATCATCGAGCACTCATTAGTTCTTTACGTGCTATTATGACCGTGTCACCATATCATCATCATCATCATCAGCTTTACACATACAGTTCCAGGGACCAAAAGCCTGCCTTGTTATCTGCTGTCCAACAGATCCGCTCACCATCCGGCGAAAGAGTCATGGACGACACAGGCCCACCTGCCGGCAAAGCAGCAATCTCACGCATCACTCGCAAATCCCTCACCCTGATAATGCCGTCCTCGCCGCCACTGAACAAGACGTTTTTCGTCGGGTGCCAATTCACCGTTTTGATCGTGCCCGAGTGATCATCGGCCTCGATGGGTGGCGCATCGGGTCGATACAAGTCGAAAATCCGCAACTTCTTTTCCTGGCCTCCCGTCACAATCTTGGTCCCGTCCGGACTAAAGTTGACAGCCCGTACAATGTGTTGGTGACCAAACGAATGGAGTTCCTGGCCTGTAAACGTGTCCCACACTTTCGCGCTAAAGTCGGCTGATCCTGTCACTGCGCGATGGGCTTCTTTAGATAGACGTGCGCTCCATACGGCACCCTTGTGGCCTAAAAATGTGCCAATCCAGTCGCCGGTTTGGCCGTCTCGGAGCATGGGGTTGCCATCTTTTTTATTTTGTGTGGTTAAAATTGTGTGCCATGTCAGTGTCATTGTTGGTGTTGGTGTCGACATGTCTTTCTTACATCTCCCCACCAGTTCAATCTCTTTTTTTTATATTCTTAAAGTTCAAATCGCGCATCTCTTGACAAAAGAAAAGAAGCATACCTTTGCATCCAGATATCAAATAATACTTATTGTCAGACGTCATTGAAGAAAATTGCAAATCAACCACAGGCCGTGTGTGGCCGGAGCATGTGAGAGGAATAACTCTGGTTTGTTGTTGTTGTGTCATTATTTCGTGTTATAGTTCATAAATTTGTTTTTTAGAGAGTTTTTTTTTACAGGGTAAGCGAGGCGACGGGTGGGATACGGTGTTTTTTTTTGCGAGTGAAGGGCGAAACAAAGAAAAAAGGGCGATTCTTCTTTTTTTGAGCTGCTGCTGCCTTTCGACTACTTTTTTTAAAGTGTTTTTGAGATGGGTTGGGAGGTAAAGAAGCAGGAAACGCGTCCCACTGAAGGTTTTGAATTACCTTTGAACCGTGCAACGTCATTTTTTTTTCCTGGTTTCTGCGCTGCATATTTTGGTTTGTGGTACCTTACCCCCTCTCTTTTTGGCACATCATGGCTGATTCGACACCACAACAACGACTACAAGAAAAGCAAGAAGAACAAGAACAAGAAGCCCTGTTGGAGCAAGAACTCAAAGAAAGACTGGATGTTTTATTAAAGGATGAATTGCTCGCTGATGTGCCGTCTTCACCAACCATTGAACAAGTGGATACGCTTACTGCAATCGAAGAAGGACGTGCCTATCGCATCACTGTCGACCGTGGACCACTTGAGCCTTTATGTATGTTGAAAACAGAAAAGTTACCGAGCCCAATTGACCTAAACCACCCAACACACACACACTCAACACAACGCCACTCGAAACTAAACAAATCTTGATGAATTTCTCGCATTGGATTAGCCATTGTAGTGAATCAAGCATCTTCAGTGAACGACATTAAGCGCTTGATTCGGAACGCTATTGATCGTGACCGCACCGCAACAACGACAAAGACAAAAATTAGCTGGTAATAGTCCCAAAAGAAAAAAAAAGTAACCAAGGGTAGTGCAATCGCCTGACAGAACTTATCTAATATGTGTAGGAAATATATCTGGCGATCGCATTGTCTCATGTTCAATGGACAAAGACTCTTGGACAATAACGCGGTTGTAAGCCAACTTGGTATTTCGCAAGGTTCGGTGTTAAAGTTCTCGCGGCTTGCATTTGAAAAGGGCAAACATCGGCGCGCTCGCCGAATACGTTGAAAAAAAAAACCACAAAGATGGCCTACGAGTGGAAGAGAGACAGAGACACCTCGGTGAACTCGCCGGACAACGACTGACGGACGGTTATGTCGATGCGTTTGACGCAAGAGAGAGACACGTCAGTGAAGGGGGAGGAGGACATCGGGGTTAAATTGCTGGATAATACATGCTGATGCGATATAAAACGTACGCACACGGTGTTGGGTATAAGAGAACACACGTATTATGTGTCATTCGTAAGCAAGTTCTTTAATAATAAATTTCCAATATGTTCTTAAACACACTTGATGACAAAGGGCGCCAGCAAATTATTCAGCCAACGTCGGATGATTACCAAATATGGAATGGAAAGTTCCAGCTGACGCTGGCAAAATTGATTCGGATTAATGCCGGAAGCTTCTCGCAAAAAACGGTGCACCATTCACTTTAACTTTTACCTGTCAAAAGTATAAATACCGACCAACTTGTCATCTTTTTGTTTTTCGCTACTCTACTCCTTTGTCTCTATTATTGAACACACAAACTACCACATATTCTTCTTCACTTTCTACACAAACAACAACAACAACAGTAACAATGGAAATTCACTTCCCTACCATCACAATCACCGAGCAACAATACCATTCTTATAGCCAGCGTCATCCTTTCAGCGTTCTTCAAGGAGGTTTCCCCACTATGATCCATCGTCAGCCGTCGTCGCATCAACAGCAATATGACGACCTTCGAGTTGTCTTTTTTGACGACGACGATGAAGAAGAAGAGGCTCACGATGTGTTTTCCTACTACCATCCTCATCAAAACCATCAACAAAGGCAGCACTTGGCTCGTCTGCACCAACAGCAAGAACAACAGCGAGAAATAGAAAAAAGCCGTTATATTTTGCAACACTTGCAACAACGTCAGCAAATGCAAGAAGCCGCAGCAGCAGCCGCTGAAAGACGTCGTCGTCAGCTCCAACTCCAACAGCAGCAGCAAAAAAAACAACAAGAAGAAGCAGCTCGGATCCGCTACTTGCAACGCATTCAAGCCGAGCAACTGCTTTACCGTCAAAAGGAACAACAATTGAGACGTCAACGCGAATTGGCAGTAGCAGAACAGCAACGCCAACGTCAACGACTTTATCAGGAACGACAAGCGGAATTGTATCGCCAGCGTCTCATTGAAGAATTACTTGCTGAACGTGAACAGAAACGTCGAAGACTCGTTGAAGAACAACAACAGCAACAACTATCCCAGAACTTGTTTACGTTCTTGTTTGGTGATGACGAGAGCGAACAAGATCAAGATGTCGAAATGGAAGAACCCCAACAGCAGCAGCAGCAAGCTTCGTCGTCCTCTCGTCCTATTGCTGTTAATGACCCATCACAACGACAGCAACGACATGATAAAGGAAAGTCCATTGTCAACAGAAAGCCAGAACAACAGTATTCACGTTCCATTCCAATCGACGAACCGCAACAGCAAGCCGCCCATTCCTCTGTACAAGAAGAACATCAAGTCGTCGAGAAACAACAAGAACAGACTACCAAGAAGGATGATATTGACAACGGCGAGCAAGCATCATCTGTTGCCACCAGTACCGACGACTATGACATTGAAATGCTCTTTGAAGAAGAAGAATCAGCAGTACCCAAGAGCGATGACGACGGTGATAGCCAAGAATCTATGCATGACGAAACGTGGGAGCAGATCAGTAGCAGCAACAGCAGTAGTGGTAGTAGTAGCAGCAATGAAGAAGTCGGTGACGACGACGACGACGACAACATAGAAACCAAGCACCTACAGCTACGTATATTGGGCGAACAATTGGCACAACTAAGCGAAAAGCAAGAATCAACTATTCCAACAACACGATTACAATTTGTTACGCCTGCTGCTGCTGTTGGCAGACAAGAACAAGACGACGATTCCACAACCTCTACAACAACGAGTGATCACCACCAAGACGTAATGATAACAGCCACCAGTCCTGAAAATCGACAGTTCCTTGGTCTAGAAGACGAAGTGATGCGACTCATGTTACAGTTAGATGCTATTGAATCGAACGGAAACATGGCTATTCGAAAGGAACGCAAGGCTTTGATCCGAAAGGCCGAACAACTGTTGGCCAAAATGGATGACCATAAGCAGCAGGAATGGGAACGGATATCTGTCACCAGCAGTAGTAATGGTTCTTCAACTTCTTCGTAGAATGAATATCCCTCCTCCCAGCCCCACCTTCATCCATTCACCGTTGTTCGCATATATATTTTAAATATATAGCAAATCCAAATCCTAAATATCTCATTGTTTCCTCATGTTATATACTACACACATTACAGTTTGCTCAAAGCAATACATGTCTCTTTATATATATTACATCCATATACAATTTTATTTATTTATTTATTGCGCTTGATGGGGTGCGTGAGTGTGAGTGTGTGTGTGCGATGTACAATTCTTGTCGTTCGTTGTTTGGGGATGATGTTAAAAACTTACAAAATTGAAAAAGAACAATTGAAAACATTGTGGAGTGGAATGGTTTTCTATACATGGTTTTTTTACTATGATTATTGTCGCGACTTGCTGTAGTTGATATTGTTATTATTATTATTAGCGTTGTTGTTGTTGTTGTGATGTTTCCGTCGTTGCCGCCCACCACCTCCTCCACTACGATGATGATTCTCGTTATTGTTGGATGTTGTTGGTTTAGACGACGACGATCGAATATGATGATGATGCCTATTACTCCGTTGCTGTTGCTGCTGTGATTGTTGCTGTGGTCGACCAGTAGTATCAGTAGTACTAGCAGTAGCAGCAGCAGGAATAGTAGTGGAAACAGACCGTTCTGGACGATGATGGTGATGATGATGATGATGATGATGATGGTTTTGTCCCTTGACAATATCCGCCATGGTTTTCTTTGGCGCATCATGTTTTACTGTTGACCAACGACGACGTTTCGTTTGTTGCTGCGGTTGTTGTTGTTTTTGTCGTGCCGATTCCAATGTAGCTGTAGAAGAAGTGGGTGAAATTGATGGCCAATCGATACTGGATTGACGCAAGGACACGCGTCGTTGATGACTTGCTTTGTTATTACCACCACCGTTACTATTAGCAGCACTATTTCGTCGATGATGAGGACGATTACCGTTCATGATAGTGGTAGTCTTTGAATAATCGACCGAGCCTCGTGTATGGGAAGCATAGGGTGGTAGTAATGGTGGCTTATTGGAATACCGAGCAAGTATACTATCGACTGTACGTGATGATTCACCAGCATCAGCATTTTTACTGTTGTTGCTGTTGTTATGCGACGCGCTAACATACGGTGACGATGTAGGCGGCGGCAAAGCAATGGTGATTGCAATAGGTGCAGACATACCGGGCACAGATGCTGCTGCTGTGCAGCACGTGAGTGGATGACTACTGTGGCGCACCCGATATGGTGATGATGATGATGATCCAGACATAGAAGAAGACGAGGTCGAGTTGAATCGAGGTCGGAACGTAGCTGGACCATCAACGGCAGCAGAAGACGCGGCAGCAGCCGGATGTAGATACGCATGGTTCGTCGAAGATAAGGATGATGGGTGGTGGACAAAAATGGGGGTTTCTGATGATCGACGACGACGATCGTGTGGATGATGTATGGATGGAGAAGAAGAAGAAGAAGAGTCGATATGAGGTGAATGATGTGGATGTACCGGGAGTACAACGGTGGCCGGAAGAGGCGAATGTGTCGTCGTCGTCGTTATTGTCGCTCGTCGTGTGGTAGCATGATTGATAGGTGATTGTTGTGATGATGATGATGATGATGATGCTGCTACAATACTGGATGGATCCAACTCCTGCTTTTGTTCCTCAGGTGATGATGACAGCAACAAGTTGTCGGTGGTTGTGAATGAAAGCGGGTGATACGGCTCACAGACCAAATCCAACGAAGCGCCTGCAGCCAACAGATGACAAGCACGACGAAACTCGATCAACAATCCTTGGACAGACGCCTGATCTGCCGAATTACCCAAGTTGCGTGACACGTTGAACGGTTCTTCCACACATAAACCTGGCTTATTCCGTCCCACATGCCATCCTTTCTCAACCTTGGCCAAATACCGTCCACTGCGTACCGACACGACCTGGTCCTCGTAATCAAATTCATGTGCATACCGTCTGAAAAATGCAAACAAGAGTCCTCCAAGACTTTCGCAATTGCCATTGCCAAATCCTCGTAATCCATCCACGTCCATGCAAAACTTGAACTCGTCATCATCATCGTCGTTTTCGTTTTCTTTGTCGGTCAGCTGATGTAGGACTGGCAGGATAGGTGGTTCTCGCATTTGTAAAAAGTTGATTGCCATACACGTCCACGTGTATGTTGACAAGGTGCCACCATTTGCTATTAAAACAAAAAAGTGCGTGTGTGAGTGTCAGAGAAAGCATCTTTCTCTTTCTTAAAACTTCTATGATGACCATCCTTTTTCTCCACAGATAATCTTACCTGCGTCATTGAGCCTGCGTTGCTTGGTCCAATGCTTGATGATCATGATGAAGGGCCGTACACGTGGATCAAGTGCAACATAAGTGCGGATCATCTTTGTGTTTTGCAGTGCAAGCGTATTATTGACATTGATGTCACATGCCAGTTCCCTTATTACCCAGTAATACCAAAAAAGTTGGAATTTTGTCAATATTTGATTTGTATTTCGATTCGTCGTCTAATTTGCTTTTCAGGACTTACGATTCTGGGTCAAATAAGCGCACAATGGGAACTTTTGCACGCGGAACACACACCACGTGTTGCATACCACCTATTATAATCATTAATATTATCATTCGAAATTAGAAAACAACAATGGATTACTTATTATTGTGTCTCCTTCTCCCTTCCCTCTCATCCTTTTCTCTTTTCGCTCGCGTTACTACTTGCATCGTCGAAACAGTTTTGCTAGTATCCGAACGTTACGCAAACCGTTCCATGGCGTGGCAATACACAAATCAACATCGGATTGGCTCGTTCCAAGGTCGTTTACCGAAGATCTAAATTTCGTGTCGATATGCGATTAATTTTTGGTATGTTTTCCAAATATATGCGCGTCAATTTTTATAGTGGTAGTAATAGATGATGTGGAATGCATACCCAAATAAATGAACATGGATATCTTTGTTTGGCCACTCTGTGTTCAATAAACGTTCAATTTTACGCACCAGTCCCATACGACGATCGTAACTTTCGCGTGTTGGTAACAGTTCCTGTGTGTATGTGTTTTGTTTGTTTGTTTATACCGGGTTGTGTGTGTGTCTGTGTAAGTCCCTCGTTTACATGTATATATATGTGCGTGTGCTTTTTTCTTCTTCTTCTGCGCGCTTTCTTACTTCGAACAATGTGAGCAATTCCACGGAAAGGTTATCTTGGTATATTCGATCCAACAACGTGACAGGTGACAACGACTGTGACGCCGACGACGAGTAAGAGTCCAATTCCAATTCCTCTTTTGATTCAGATGATGGATATTGTTGTGTGGTGCAAAAGGAATCGCAGGAATCAGCAGACAAAGTATCTGTATTGTTGCTTAGCGTGTCCGAACTATTATCGTTATAGTCGTCCGACTGTGGTGGCGATGAAGTGGAACTCGTTGTTGTTGGGAAACGTATCATTGACGCGTCTGCTTCTTGTTGTTTTTGTTCGTCATGGACAACAATGTCAGTGTCGTTTGTTGTTGTTGTTATTGTTGTTGTTGCTGCTGGTAGTACTGCTGTCATCGTTGGACTAGTTGTTGTTGCTGTGGTGACAGTATTCTCGGGTATTGTGCCATTGCTTAGTCGAGACAATGGGGATGCCGGCATCCTTTTACACAACATATAAAATAGTGGTATTTGAGCGTTTTTCGTGGAGTGGGGGTTGGTAAAGGGAGGGAGGGAGAGAGAGAAAGAAAGAAAGAGAGAGAGGTGGTTATATTTGGTGGGTTAGTTAGTTAGTTAGTAGTATAGAGTGGGTAATATGGAGGTGGCCAGAAAAGAAAAAAAAAGTAGAGGGTCGGGTTCACAAAAGTTTAAAAAAAAAGTTCTCGCGCAGAGTGAAAACACACACACACACACAGACAACGGGTCAATGACTTTCTTTTAGGGACACTAACAATAGTGGATTGATACAATACACACACAGTTAGAGACAGAGCTGAATGAAGGAGAGAACAAGACAATGCAAAATATAATAGATGCAAAGGTGATGCAAACAATGCAGGTTATACAGAATAAGTGACTATATTTTTCTATTGATGTTGTTGCAGCAGCTGCTTCATTTCGTCAATAATCTCTTGTGCCACACGCTCCTGCAGCCCTGTCCAATGAAGTCTGTCCATAGCCGAGCAGCCCCACCGATCGATGAGATGCACGTTCATATCCGGCTGTTCTAGCAAGAACTTGACCATGTCCACCTGGCCATGCGAGATCGCCACGTCCAGTGCCCGAAGCTCCTCGACGGGTTCTGCCCAATTCACCGACCAGCCCGCCGCGAGGCCGATCTTGACAAACTTCATATCGCCGTCCGCAATTGCCCTCAGCCACAGTGTGCCCAGATCTCTGCGTTCCGTCTCGGCCAAATGTGCCCCTGCCGTACGCAACATCGTCACCACCTCCATCCGTTTTTCTGCAACAGCAACAAACAGCGGTGTGTGGCCTAATCGGTCACGAATATGGATCGATGCGCCGTGTAACAATAGAAATTCGACAATCCTGACATGTCCTTCACGACTGGCGACATGCAGCGGGCTTCGCCCCTCGTAGTCCACACAGTTCAAATTCACCATATCGTACAACAACTTGATCCCTTCCAGATCGTTGCTGACAGCTGCTGAGCATAGCAGGAACGGTAACAGTGCGCGTTCGGCCAATTGTTGTTCTTCAAGGGGTATCACCGTTTGTTCGTCCAAGTCGGTCTTTTTGAACTTGCCGCTGGCAAGGAGATCAATGAGGACATGCACTCGGTTGTTTGTGGCAGAGAATTTCTGGTGTTCGGCTCGCACCGTCAGTTCGCCACGGATATTCTTTGTCATCATGCGACGCACTTGCGGTGGATCGTCAGGTGCTTTGCCAAGCAAGTACGAGAGTTTGGCAAGTGCGCATTCTGGGGTCATGTCAGCACCTGCTACGACGCCAATTGCTGCTAGTTGCCGGCCGGTGGCGTATGAGTCAGTGACTAGACCTTTGCGACATTGTGTACAATTGACAATCACTACCCCACGATCGCACGCTTCTTTGAGTGCAGCCAATAGATCAGGCCGTGCGGGTGCGTTGCCTGCGCCATAAGTTTCTAAAACAACGCCTTGGATAGGAGGTGCCAGGAACGCACGAACCGTGCTTTCGTTGATGCCAGGAAAGAGTCGTAATGAGGCAACATTACGATTCAGAACTTTGTGTGAGCGGAACTTTGCGATTTGTGTTGGACGAAGCACGAGCGGCCATTTGACGTCTTGCATACATAAAAAAATTAGATCACGGGGATCAGTCTTTTCCTTACATACTTGATCAACGAAAAAAAAGCTTGAAATATACTACTTACGGATATCGATGCCTAACTCCACAAGTGCAGGTAAGTTGGGAGAATCAAATGCGTCAAAATCTACTGCGCTGATCTTGCTCGTTCGATTGCCGCGGTATAGTTTTTGATTAAAGTAGAGACAGACTTCAGGAATCAAAAAGTGGCCTGCAATCGTAATCGCACCCAACAGATTGTCTATAGCGTCGTTGCGAACCTCGGTCAATGGGACTTGGGATCCAGTAATGATGACTGTTTTGCTACAGAATAAAGGTGTGATCTGATCATGTTAGCAAGAAAGGTTCAAGAGACAAAAAAAAAACATGTTATGTATATATATTACCCGAGGTCTTCTAGTAGAAAGCTGAGTGCACTTGCTGTATAGGCCATCGTATCAGTTCCATGGAGCACGATGAATGCATCAAAATATTCATAATTGGCTTCGATATCGCGAGCAATGCGCACCCAGTCTAAATAGAATACCCATTTTTAATAGAAAGAGCGGACATTTGTGGGCCATAACTTTGGATCATCGTTGAGAATAGATTCGCATACCATCCATTGTCATATTGCACGAATCTAAAAGCGGATCATACTCAAGGATCGAGTACCTGAATTAGATTCCATGCATCAGCCTTTGTTGCATGTACCCCAGTGAAGTATATATCTGTGAGGGAACACACACATACACACACGGTCTCTCTCTCTCTCTCTCTCTTTGCACACATGTTTGATACTTTACCTGATTCGTTTACCGTATAAACTGACAGGCGTAATCAGACTCGGCAATTCGTGAAGACCGACCTCCTTCCCGTCGGTAGTGCGGACAGTATTGGTAATGGTTCCGAGACGCCGCTCTTCTTCAGTCGGAGATGGTGCACGGGAATGCGTTGAATCGTGGAAGCGGGTCACTTTGGCAAGTGTTTGTGCAAAGTAGTTTGGCAGCTATTGTAGTCGTAATCATAGCATTGGTCAGTCAGGTGGTTAGTTGGTAATGAAAGCACACCAAGTGTATCCTCCAATTTGGGGTTGATGACTTTACCGGGATATAACCATGCTCTGTTGTATGCTTCATGCCAATGGTGCCTCCCGTATAAATGATAAGCACTCGGGAAAAATCTTTTTTTTCACAGCAGAAGCACGTCTATTATTACTATTATCCCTTTTTTGGGCAATTAAAAAAATCTTTCCGCGGTTCTCTTTTTTATACCTGGTGCCACCATTTCATTGCGATCGGCGTGGAGTTGATGTTCAACAGCAGCATTGTCGTAAATGACACTGTGACCATTGGAGAAATGTTCTGGTGTTGTTTCCCGTGGTGTCTGTGGTGGAAGCATTATCACCTGTTTTGCGCGAGAAGGGAGGATGACACCACACAAGAGAGAGAGAGAGAGAGAGAAAAGGAGAGAAAGAGGGAAGGAAAAGAGTGTAGTTGCTATATAAAGGCATCTGTAATGGAGATGCAAGATAGAGAATCAGCTCCGTTTTTCTCACGCTGTTAGCCACTCAAAAGGCGATCTACTCCGGAGTGTGTGGTGGTCATGTTTTTATCTCTCTATTCCCCTTGACGCTCTTGACGCATTCCACACCATCGGATCGGGTTTTGTACACTGGTATCATTGTTGCAGTTGGGTATAAAATGCCGCTAGGTACAAGCTCATCTAGCTCAATGACAGTTGCCCTTTCTACTGGACTACACTCATGCTACACTCATTGTTCGCAAGTTCATCAGTTATATTCGTAAATTTATGATTTTGTTTCCCATAAACAAGCAAAGTAAACATCAGCAGCAGCAACTATCCATAAACGTCAAGACGTACCAGCCTATGCTTACTTTGGAGTTGCAACAGACATCTAGTACGCATGTGCTCTCTATTTGTGTCATATCAGTCAAAAATAAAGTCGCTTATCCTTTTTCAGCCGGATGTCTTGTTTTAGGAACTTAGATAACGGGTACCACGTGACTCGAACAAGGAAAGAGAAAAAGACTCTTTCTTTTTTAATGATACTAACTACGTTGCTTCTTCTCGTGACGTTTGCTGTTTCAAGTATTGGATGTAGCCGAATAACAGAATAAGCCGACAGTATATCCTAAAGTTCAATCATTAATCCGCTGAAGACAATACATAATAAAAAGTATCTGCAGAAACAACTCGAGAATGTATAATATTATTGGATTACAGCGAACATGGAGCTTGAAGGGTGCTGGCCGCTGCCATACGGAAAGAGAGTGTGTTGTGCGCTGTACAAGCCTCAAATGACGACGTTCTCCCGAAATTACAACTACGACACGCTGTCATGATTGGTCGTGCTCGTCATCGTTACTACTTTTTTCATGCCTCTATCTTCTTTTCGTGATGAGATGTTTGTGAATAGTAAGACTACCGCTAGTACCCTTGTTGTAACAAAGCAGCTTTTTGCCCATAATCTCTATTGACTGACTGATTTTAATCAGTTAATTATGGTAGCAATTCTTTTTGTGCCAACGACATCCAAACCAGTGCCTAAAATGAAATGGTGATTGCTGGAGCCTCAGCGCAAAGACGGTACACAACACAGAACAGCAATGAATTCCAGGCACAGATGACGTATTAAGCGAGAGAAAAACCAATGTCTTGATACTCCGGTGCTGTCAATTCACTGAAACATATTTTTGATGGGGGGCCTCTGTCACAGGATCATCAAATGCAAACGCATAAAAAGAGAGCGTGCTCTTGACATCCATGTCCAAATCTCCTTCCTTCTTTCCTTCAGACCAAAAAACTTTTACTTCCAATCTCTGCTTATATATAACAATGACCACTGGAAACTCATCCATGCAAAGCTCCACTACAACTAGTGGTGGTAGTGGTGGCAAGACCAGCAGCACGTTCAAGAAGATCAAGACCGATTCCGGCAAGGCCGGTTTGCAATTCCCTGTGGGTCGTCTCCGACGCTATCTCAAAAAAGGACGTTATACTGACCGAGTCAGCGGTACTGCACCCATCTACCTGGCCGGCGTCCTCGAGTACCTGACTGCGGAAATCGTCGAGTTAGCCGGTAATGCTGCGCGCGATAACAAGCGGCAACGAATCACTCCACGTCATCTCAAGTTGGCCATTGGAAACGATGCCGAGTTTAGCAAGCTGCTTAGCCATGTCATTATCGCAGAAGGTGGTGTCTTGCCCAAGATCCACAACGAATTGCTTCCTGAAAAGTCGCGCAAGAAGGATGCTGTGTCTCTGGAGATTTGATCACACATGGAGGAGACTGACTGTCTTACTTGCTAACGCGCACTTTAGTAGCACATTTACTCTTTTTTTTTGCACACGCCGCATTATCTACTCCTTTTCGCTTCTCTGTATTTGCACACTTACACATCGATCGTTCTTTGACTACTACGTCATTGCTTCTTTGACGTCCTACACTTCTCCTCGTTTGTTCAGCTACCTGTTAAAAGCTGTTCCCCTCTTATACCAGACTTAAATCCTCCTGAAGTATGCATGTATGAAAAAAGCTTTTGAAACGCATCAAAATGAATAATAAAAAGAAAAGTGACAGCTCACTTTGGTTCAACTGCCTCTATAAACTCTGTTTATGTCATAAAAAAATGCGTGTTATTCGTGCACAGCTTCTTCATCTGTGTGGACTTCGTTTCCTTTTTCTATCCAGAAAAAACAGAACAGTTCATGAAGAGCAACGTTTCGTAGCATACTCGTCAATTGCTCCCTCAAAACTCCCAACACTAACATCTACCACTTGACATACCACAATACACATTTCCCAACAAGCGACTTGATCGAAAAAGTGTGCAGCAATAAGCAAGGGAACATAAGAGACACGACAAGCCTTTCATTGGTGCTTCTTTTCTTTATGTACCCTTTTGCCACTCAACAAGAAGCAACAAAATCTTTAAATTTTTGTGTATCAATGTCATGTCATCAAGAAACAACAGCAACAAGGAATTCTTGCTTTCATCCGCTCTGATTTTACCGCATTCAAAAGGCCATGCCCTGCTTTGGTGCAGGCCTATCGGCCTTCTGCATTAAGCTTGTATATGATCCAACACGATGAGTATACATACTGTCGTGGTTGCTACTGTTTAACACCTAATCAAGGCTCTGATGCACTGTACTACTATGATGTCATTGCATAAGCAATGATTATATTATGTATATACTCGAGTTCCTGGTCCATTTCACGCTTACATGTGATGAGGCTGAGGCAATCGGCTTTGAGATGTGGCTTAACTACAGTATCCTGGATTTCCTTTGCCGGCATGAGCTAAGATAAAGTTCTTTTCCGTTTTCTCTGTTTAACTTTATCCTTAAAGTTTTCTGCCTCTCTATACCCACAGGAACAGCAGCAGCTATGAGCAACAGAGGATAGAGATGATCAAGAAAATGACGGTAGCAGCTACTGTACTTGGTTTCCAAAGAAGGTAGCGTCTCTTCAAGTAATCACAATGATGCGAAGATCTTTGTGCTCTTTTAGCATTATAAGCAGCTTCTTTTGTAATAGCTCAAACATAAGCAAACAGCATATTCGATTTCTTATGGCCAAAGATTTTCTTCTACTGTAACATCAGGTTGTCTTTTTGTATTTGAACAGTTTGTCAGCAGCATAGTCGAAAAGAGGATGTATCTAGTTGTTGTCTGATTGTAGATGCGGCGGGCTATTATAATGAGTGGTCAATCGTCAATCATAGATGGGTCCTTTTGCCGGCTGCCACTGTTACTGATGATGTCGCAAGTTCATCTTTACTGGAATCGTCGTAGTACTGAATACCTTGGTAAACGGCATAATCCGCGTAGTGTATGCTATGATATATGATCATTCTTTGCCTTGGATAATCGATAGTTATACTTTTGCCTCTGTTCTTCTATTTGTGTCTCTGTTGTTGTTTTCGTCTGCCTGTTCGTTGTTTTAAAAGTCGATATAACTTCTATTCTACCCAGATTCCCCTAGTCAACGTGGGCTCTCTTCCTTCTCGTCTTTCAAGACACACGTCGTTGCACTGCTTTCCTAGTAGAGAAAGAAAATGTTCTGGTCGCGGACGAAGCAGAATCGGGACATTGCATTGTCGAGATCTCGTTTTCGAAGGCTCAGGATATATTTTCTTCGCTACGGTCGATTGTGGGTCCACTACGTAAACTAAAATCTGCGTCACCCCTGCCATTTTGACAGCAAATTGGGTACAGGGAACAATGGAGTCGACATTCAGAATGAGGCAGCCAGCACTAACCCAGGTTTATTTGTAAAAGGCTATAAACAAATAGAAGGGCTTCAAAGACACTCTCATTCTACCGTTACCGAGCTCCACCAATTGTCCTTGGTATACATTTTGCTTTGGATCACGCGTACTTCACGGTCATCAACTTCTGCGCCATTATTTCTTGGTGTATATGGCTTCTATTTATGTGAGCTTCTTGTTACAATATCAGTAATTTTTATTTTTTTACAATGTCAACCATTCCCAGCATCTGCCAATTACTTTTTCTCTAGGAACTTGTTGCTGAAATTCTGTAAACCCTGTCTGTGCGCGCCTTGTGGCCTGACGGGTGCACGTATCTTCCTATTCAAAAACTGGCGGCGACACCGTCGGGGCACGCCCTGCATGATACCGATGAAACATATTTCGTAGGACTATCAAAACACGCAGACCACATACGCCTTCTTCTTGACAGCTTGACCGTGTCTCTTCAACACCTCTACTTCACATGGTATCTTCCCTGCCATTTTACTTTCCCACCTGCTGATTGAATGACGAATTACAAGTCACGTGACGTGTTTTTGAATGACGAATCACAAGTCACGTGACGTGTTTTTACTAAGCGGCGGGTCAATCCAAAAAGCATAAATACGCCCACATTTTTCAGGCCATTTCGTTTTTTCTCTTCACTCTTTCTTTCCTTCATTTTTCTTTTTCCTTCACTCCCTTGGATCCTCCTGGTCTTTCTCTTGGCTCTTCCCTTGGTTCTGGTCTTTCCCTGGCTTTGGTTTTTCCCTGGCTCTGGTCCTCCCCTGGCTCTGGCTCTTCCCTTGGCTCTGGCTCTTCCCTTGGTCCTGGTCTTGCCTCTGTCGGTCCTGGTCTCAGCCTTTTTCCCGTGGTCCCTGGCTGCCTACAACCGATCCCTGCTTTGGGCTGTCTAGTCTGGCGTTCAACGGTGTTGGCCACAACCGGTCTTCAGGCGAGATCAGAGGACGGAGAAATCCTTTTCGGTTTTTCGCCATAGAAATATGGTAGTGTCCTTTCGGTTGGATGCCTTGTCTGCTGGTCTGGTCTGGTCTGCCATGGCGGGGTTCGCAATGAGGAGTCAGGTGCCACTGTAGATCGCGTTCGACTCTCAGGACTCGACTCTCGACAATCGACGCTCGGCATTCGACTCTCAGCGATCAACTCTCTGGCATTCGACTCTCGGCAATCGACACTCGGCAATCAGCTCCCAGCTTCAGTGTTCGGCTCCCAGCATCCGAGTATCCAGTAAGCAGCTCCTCCAGCATTCGACAACAGCAGCAAATGGCTGTTTTTTTTTGGGTGTTTCGAGAGTCAATTCTTTCCCCTACCCCCACCCCTTCCCTTTCCTCTTCCCTTTCCTCTTCCCTTTCCTCTTCCCTTCCGTCTACCCTTCCATCCTTCCCTCCCTTCCTTCCCTTCCGTCTACCCTTCCATCTTCCTTCCGTCCTTCCCTTCCCCCTTCCCCACTCACAGGCAATCCACAACCGATTGCTTGCACTTGACTCTCGAAACGTAGCGTACGTCATGGTTCCCACTCGTTTGTACCATGATGGCTGGGTTTGTGGTTGATTGACCCAGCCAAATGATTGGGAGACTGGGACTCCCAGGCCGAGGCATTGGTGGCTTTCTTTTCCTCCCCCTTTTACATACTTCTTCTGTTTCTTCTTGCTTTCTTCATGCTTTTTGTATAGCCTGCAGGTTGTGCGAACTGCTTGTTGAGGTCACTTTGTAAAATCGCGTTCTTATTATTTGTCTTTATTGTCCACTGATTGTGTTCTTTTAATAAAATTTGTACCCTTCGACTATTGATATTCATAACGATAACTTTTGTCTTTTATAAAATGTTTCTTTACTCTAATATTACAATGAATAAAAACCTGCTCTTTTACTTTATGTCCTGCTCAAACTCATTTACAATGTCTTTCCTTGTGAAGGTATTTACGTGTCGCTTGACCTTGCAATAGTGCATTTTCTTTCTGACTGTGTTCAATCGTCTTCGCCACTTCATCTGACAGTTAGGAAAGAACTCATGTTTTGGCGTGCTATGTCCCTGTTCTTATACAATGCTGACAATGCCATATGGCTTACATTAGATTCGTAATTACTTTTACTTTGCAATGACTTGATCGATTCTAAACATAATATCTAGGCAACTGTTTGATGCAAGCATAATGCACAGACCATGTAAATTGTTGTGAAACCCGTTGCGTAGCAGTGTCAGCATAGGACACATCAGACAGTTTCTTGCAACACCAGGGACTCTTTTGGACTTGGAACAAGTTGATCGATCTTTGTGTGCTTGAACTGTCGTTTCTCATAAAATCTGCACGACATGCATTCTACAGCCAAGACCAAATCTATTGATACCGAATACTGTAATGCTCATACTCAGTAGTAGAATTGTTCTACAAACGTTTCAAATGGCTTTCTATTAAAGCCTAAATCCACGTGGATGTGCCCATCTGTTTGGGAGATCGCCCGAGATTGAGCTGCCTTTGGAGCGCCGGATAGTTTTCAGGTGGAGGCAGTTCGACACATGTACAGCAACGCTTTTCTTTATTACTTTTCCGGATTTACAAATATATTGGCTACCCAGGCCAGTATCGATTGAGCGGTCTGTATACTTCAAAAGTACGATACCCCATTCCTTTGATGGATGATGAGGGGTAACATACTGATTCTTTTGTCAATCTTCTAGAAGACGGTCGTCAACTGCTAGGGGGGGGGGAGCTCACCAAACGGGCAAGCCTCAGTGGACATGGCTATATCTTGTCCTCGTGTACCAGTGATCTCGTTTGAAAACGTCGCGAAAACGCAAATTGGGACGCTATCGCGAGATTCATTCCAACGCTGTGAAATGGGTAAAGAGCTCGGATCATCCCAATTTTGGGTAAGCCATTGCCTGCCTATAAAAAAGAGACGTAAATCTGCTTCTGTTTTTTAGAGGGAAATTTATATCCAGACTTACAACCAAAAAACAAGCTTATAGACCGCGGCCTTGTCATCGGTTTTAACGACTTATATATCTCAGTCTCGCTAAATGGTCGTCTACACACTCCCATGGCTTTTCACTCCACGTGGTCATCGACACATGTGCTTGTCTCGAGAGCTGTAAGTATTCTGTGATCCCAATGTGTATGTCAAGCGCACAAACTTATACACTGCAATACATTCAAAGCGCACAATATTTATGGCAGCAACTCACAACAAAGTATACATAGAACAGCAAATTGTATATATATATGTATGTAACTTGGTAAAAATAGCCACTACTTCACTTAATAAGAAATTGAGAAGTAATTGATCAACACGGCGTCTCACATGTACCGACTCGTCTTGGTGTTTCACGGATTAACTAGGCTAAGGGAGAAGTTGGCATTATATGGATCACGCAATTTACATTAGCTACTATCCGAGGCATTAAGCCGGATGGATCCTTTACTCACGCGTCCCATATTACTTTATCCTATATGTCTAAGTGAAAAACTGCATCTGCTCAATGTACATGCTGTGTGATAATTACGCAGAACAAGACTTTGATCCAAAAGGTGAGAGCTTCTGGTATCATAATAAACCGGTTTTAACTCCTTTCGGGCCTCGTTCTCTTAGACTGCTCAGCGACTGCTTAGAACTACGCAATGTTATTTCGTGTAAATATAGAAAACATGGTCGTTATAGCGCGTGTACAGTTGGCCAAGGCGAACAAACTCACGAGGATTGTACTTTGAGTACATACACACACTGTGCTATGAAAAACGAGCTTCAACATCTGTTTGACAAGCACGTTTCTCTCTGGGCTGATTCGCGATCGACTTACATACGGTTTTATAGCACCAGTACTTAGAGAATGGCGTTGATAGCGCTGTGCGGTGCTTCATCGGACTCAAAACGTTGGAATTAGATTAGTGTTTCGACGTGCCTGATGAAGCTTTGGCAACTGTTTTATCCGATCTCAAGTCGTTAAAAGAAGTCAGGTTTCACCGGGTGGCCGCAGTAAGCGGACAAATGGCTCTATCCTTGGACTCTGTCAACATGGTGCGACTGTTGTCTTTGAGTATCCGTTAACGATGGCTCTCTCTGGAAGCTGATTGATAATTGGAGATTTTCACTAACTCTGTCACCACTAAGGCGACAACCAGTCGTTCAATCGTGTGGCAAAAGTGTCCACGACACTCAAAAAACTATAGACGCCACCGTCATCACCACCACAACAACAACAGTCAAGGAAGCAGCCATGTCAACAACAACAACAACGGTAGCAGCAACGCTGGTGACCAAGAACAGATTCAAGAAGAGCGAGCAGCAGCAAGAGCAACAACAACACCCGCATATCACATGGTAGTAGAGCTCGCACAACATAGTGCCGAGCCTTTCGATGTGGATGCCTGATTAACAGACATTTTTGGCGGCTCGTCATTTTTGTTTTTAAATACAACAATTGCTTTGATGCCAAGGAGCATATGAATACACAGTATGTGTATAGATTTCATCTCATGCCGCGATCGGGCCTAGCACGGCGAACGTTAACAGAGTCTGATTGAACTCAGTCGGCGTTAGAATAGCAAAAGAAAAGCCTAGTTGTGCATTGTTACGAAGTTCGACAAGCATATCACAACAGCAGTAGCAGTAGTAATTCGAATGAGTAAAGTCGCGTATTATTTAGTAGCGCGAACCCCATCCTCGATTGTCCTGGTGTCTAAAGAGGGCACCACCGTGAAATGTAGTTGTACGCGTCGCACTACTAGTATCCTAAAAGCTACTAATTATTCACCTGTTTGGAGTTTGTTTCAGCCAATGAAAAAGGTATATCACAGCCATAGCGCTCTTACATTATCGCTGCACGCTTTAAACATCGATGTACATTAAATTTCTGCTGTACAGATTCGTGTATCTTTCTTAAATCGGAGCAAAATAAAAGTTATTTTGAGCGCGTCATTGTGATCTTACAAATATGCACAGATCATCTGATTCAGAAGGTTTTTCCTTCATTTGGGCACAGTTGTGCTACGACGCGCAGCAGCAAAACAGGTCTAGCCATATTGAATGAATAACATCTACCAACAGAACTTATCGTAAACAATTAATTACTTTGCAAGCTTCGCTTGGTGTGACACTATATCATAAGAGTATAGTAACTTGACAGAAAAAACGAACGATCCAACGCCTGTTTGTCTGCATTGACGGCTGATGTATACCTTTAAAAGCCAATTGTCCGAATTGTGAAACATATTACATGGCGTATTTAACATCTTGCATTTCTGGTCGGTATACCCCCAATCTTTAGGTTAGCTGCTGGCAGATGATTAAGGGCGTTACTGTTTATATTCATCTTACCGTGCACCAAAAGCCAAAATAGCGACGAACAATCCAAACTAGACTTAATCTGCAATCAGTGTAAGATCGTGTTCCGCACAATCGGGTTCTCCAAAAGAACGCTGCTGTTCTACGATGTCGTGGTCGGTTGTAGCTGTGTATTAGGAGAGTGCTTGTACTTGAAGGCCTGTACATTTATTGTATCTGCTCTCACTCTTGCATCGGTTGATGATGGCGGGGACGGCTAGCAATAACAGCATACAAAGAGAGCGAATTCGCTGGAGCTGTGGTTACGATTCTATGATGTGAGTGTCGGGTTGATGGCGTTGCAGAATGATGACGACGCTTTGTCTTACCATGCAAGATGCGATGGTTACACAAAGAAAGACGCATATAATACCACCGAAATGTGCTTTTTGTGGCACTAAAGCACAAGAGTGTGTGTATCAGGCACCATACATCTGGATTTTGTTTATGCATGTGCTCCGACGTTTGAGCAATACACAAACACAGCAACAAGAAGACGGAAAGCCGAGACATTGTGTGAAACCACGCTCCACTAGATCATGGCCCGAATGGTCCAACAACGCCATCGCTAGAAGTGGGAGTTGCCTCGATGGATTCCCATTGATAGTATTAGTAGCAGTGTTCACAGCACCGTGTGAGTCAGGGCAAGTGGGCGAGAGGCAGAAGAAGAAAAAGGAGTCACATTTACTCTGTGCAGAGGCTCTCGGCTGCAACTGCACGACAAGGTTTGCTGGTGATAAGTCAGTCACATTAGTACACTTTACTACTCGCTTCACTGTGGCCAAGGGAGTGGTGTCTGCTATGTAGCGCGTAAGCACAGTACCTAGGTTACGCCTTCCAGTGATCTACTCTTTTGTACTGTCAAGTTCTCTGAGAGAGTGTGCTATCGTTGGATGAAAATTTAGAAAAAAAAAAAAAAAAGATGCTTATTCCGGAAGGTTCGTCGCGCGAACTTTGGGAGAGCCCAAAAAAAGAAAAAGAGGGGAGTTCCCCGACAATTTTAGTCGATCGCACAGATGGAAGCTGAAAAGAACACCTATTTTTTTTCTTTTTTCAATCACAGCGCGCGCCCAGTGGGTCGGGTCCCCATAACCGTTTTAGCTGCGCAGATCGTCCTTTCCTTTTCTTTTTAGGCCTTGCCCGCCCCACCCGTTCCCCCTTTTTGGTGCAAGATGCAATTCTCTCGACAGAATGGACGAAAAAAGAGACCCTACTTTCGTCATCTGACCTTTGTTTGGTAGCATCCACAAAGTGTGAGAGAGTGCGCATGCCCACCCCCACAGCACAGCACTTCTTTGTTGCATCTCCCTCTAGAACCAACCAACCAACCAACCAACCAACCCCCTGTTTTGTATGGCGTTGCCTTACGGCTGGGTCTCTCTCTCTTTCTCTCTTATTCCACACACACGTGATGCATGCCCATAAAAAGCTCTGCGTCCCAAACTCTCCAAGATTACATCATCGGGCATCGTCCAAAGCCATAGAACCTGGCTTCCTCTCCCCCCTCCCCCCTCCCCCTCCCCCCACCCCATCGCTTCGGAAAGGACTTGGATGGAGTGGAGTAGACCGGACCGGCGTGACTATCATCCAACAGCAACCCACGCTTTTCTGAGACATATGTTCTTTTAGCGTCTCCTTCAACAGTTACATAAGCTCAATCAGGATATCGGGACGCACACAAAAACAGCTTAGAACGTTTGCCAGGATGCTTCTGTTTCGTTAACTTTTTTGGCATGGTCCACACTAAAGCAGGATCCCAGGTGGGAGAGAGAGAAGGGGCACGCCCTGCCTTTACGCAATCATCCTGTGGGCTCCAGAGACTCGGTGCAAGCCCAATTAAAATTCCGTTTTCGCAAATAAAGTGACAGAGTTTGCCCCACCCCCCCTTCCTTCCTGCTTTTTCTTTTTGCTCTTCTCTTTCTTTCTTTTCTTTCTTCGCCTCTCTCCTTTTCTCTTTCTTCAAAACGCTGTTTCTTTGACATTCTGCCTCGTCAGATAGTCCATTCTGTCGTCATTCACAAAATCCCTTCATTGCCATTTAGTCCGTAGCACTGCCATTAGCGACGTCGTGCAAAAAGTATAGCGCAAGACAAGAAATGATGCCCTACCGAGTACCGCCGCCGCTTGGACTGTCCAGGCCAAGTCGCAGCGGCACGCATTATGAGCTTGGTAAGCATGCAATTAACCGGTCTACCGCAAAATAGATCTGTCGGGTCGAGTCGGATGGATCCGCTAAAGCTCTTTCTTGGACATGTAGTCGTGGTGCAGCAACCCATCCATGCGCGATGCTGTGGATTCGGTGAAAAGGATCGGCGGCTGATTGATCCTCCTATCATCTTGCAATTGTTTACTGTTGCACCAGACGGCGCCATGATAAAAGAAACGTAATGCATCCAGGCCCACTATTTCTTTTCTTGATTAATGCATCGACAGAAAAGCTCATCCGCAAAAAATAACGCACCTGCATCTATTACCCCACCTCTTCTTGATACCTTCATGAACCATGATTGTCATCCAACACTATAAATGATTGTAGAAATGCAGACTCAAAGCTTTACGTGGTGCACTGCGACCTGTATTGCGAAGACAAAAAGGAAAAGCGCAGCGTCGTTTACTTGCCGTCCTCCGTCCCACCCGACTCGAAGCGCAAGCGAGTCGACGACAACAACCCGGTGGAGGAAAAGATCATTTCGCTTCGACAGCCCAAGTCGGTCCGCAACCTCACCGGATCGCTCACCGCCAACGCATCCCATCTTGTCAACGAACGTAACGAGTCGGGCACATATTTTGTGTTCCATGATCTTTCCGTGCGGACCGACGGCAGGTTCACTCTGAAATTCATGTTTATGGATTTGGCTGCGGGGTAAATGCTAGTACTTCTTCTTGTCTTTACCGCTTTTCCATACAACCTCACCTCTCCGGAGATTCTTATAGGCGCTAACCATGGAGAAACAAATTGTTTCAATTTTATACTCTTTATAATATCCCCGACCACCGGACACGCATTGACGCTCCCCTTTTGCACCCTCCCTCCCCACCCCTCTTTGCATCCATCCACCCACCCTCCCCTCCACACACGTTCGTTTCATCATGGATGGTACGGAATGAACTCAACGTCAACAGCGACCCGTTCACTATGAGCACGACTGTGAGCGCAGAAGTATTTTCGGTTCCGTTCACCGTGTACACAGCCAAAAAGGTAGAATTTCTTGTGACACACACCGCCCGCAGTTCTGTTTCTAACAAATTATGATTCTTTTACGTTCTCTACACCTTCTATGCAGTTTCCAGGCATGACTGGTAAGTGCAATAGGATCTTTCTATCCGGCACCCTGATCTGCTATATACGATATACTGCTTACCCCGCAATCCGTCTAGAATCAACACCGCTTTCGCGAGCGTTTGCCAATCAAGGCGTTAAAATCGTGACACGAAAAGAACATTCGTATACCCGCGCATCAGACAAGTATTACAAAATGCCGCTCTCTTCTGTTGCTGCAAACGCAGTCGCTGACGCCGCCAGCAGTAGTTCTAGTAGTAGTAATCTCGGCACTGATCCTGGTAGTAGGAGTCAAACGAGTCAAGATAAGCAACCCGTCATCGAGAGAGATAAGGCCGCGTTAAACCTCAGCATTGCATCCATCACGCACCCTACCAACATTGAATACTACAAGCAACAACCGACCACGACGATAACAGCCTCCTTTGCTGCTACTTCTTCTGCGGCTGATGCCCCTTCTTTTCCACCTGCTCCTCCCCCGTTCTCTTTATCCCCTTCTCTTGTTGCTGCCGCTACAACACATGGTGCCCACAGCAACAGCAACAGCAATAACAATTATGCATTTTTGATACCACCTTTGCCATCATCGTCATCAGCAGCGCCATCCAGTGGCACCGATAAAGGGCGGTTAGCCATCGCCAACTTTCTTGCACATAGCACGCCACCATGATCCCCAACGCCCTGTTCTTTCTCCCCTCCCTTCTTTTCTTTTCCGTATGTTTGTACTTTAGAAGAAAAGAGCAGCCTTCATTTATTTTTAATAAGAAAGAGAAATTGTACATAATAATTAGCTCGTAACAGTAGTAGTTTTGTTTAATAATGAAAAATGCAACATGCAGAAATGTGAAAATGTGTACACACGATGATTATTGAAATAATGACTTTGTTAATGATAATAATAATATTAAATCCTGCTTTTTACCCCCACTCCTCCTCTCTCTATCGTCGCTTAATCACTTTGAGTGGATTTCCTTTCCGTTTCTAAAAATGGAATATGGCATTGGATTAGCTTTTCTTGAATGTACTATCTATGGAGTTCATAACAATAACAAACCTTATTGCCTCCTTTGCCATTCTGCGCCTTCTTTCGCTTTTTGTCACTATGGAACGGAACGTTATCATTGCTACGCGACGATTGTCCAACGGGTTTGGTCACACGGGGCATCAAGTACGACGGAATATGCTTGAGATGTTCCTTGACTAAGGCTGGTTTCACAGCCTGATCATGTCTCAAAAACTCGAGATCCTTGGGCTTGTCCTCAAAATGCATCTTGAGCTTTTCCGAATTCATAATCTCGCGTTTGATTTCCATAATTCTGGCTTCTTGGATCGCCGCCTTGTTCACCTGCTTGAGTGCGTCTTGCACACGGTACTTGAAGCCGTCCACGTTTTTCTTTTCAAACGAGTAAGGTTTTAGTTCGCCTCCCTTGGCCTTTTGTTGTTTCTCGACTCGGCCATAGACTGTGTCGTCCGCAATGTTACGGCCTCGACTCACGCTTCGTGCAATGTCCCTGTCGAGCTGTTGGGCTTTTTCTTTGGTCACCACAAATGACAACGCAATGCCTTGTTGTCCGCCCCGAGCTGTACGACCCACGCGGTGGGTATATGCTTTGGCAGACTTTGGGAAATCGAAATTGATCACCGCTGCTGCGCCCTTGAAATCAATACCGCGCGACACTCCGTATTCTTTATCGCCCTGTTGTTTCTTCTTGCTGTTCTTCTTGGTCTTTTGCTGCTCGTCTTCGTCTTCCTCGTCACTCATTTCATCCTCACTGTCCATTTCACCCTTCAACGTTGACTCGTCAGACGCAATCAAGTAATCATAGATACCACGGTTGAACTCCTCGACAATATGGTATCGTGAGTTGAGCGGAAGTTCTGAATTTAATACGCACGACCGGATCGAAAACTGTTCCAAAAACAACTTGAGCTTGTAGCATCGATCAATGTCGTTGACGAACAGAATAAGTTTGCCTCGGATCAACCGTAACTTGATAATGACAAATGTGTACAAGAACTTTTCAAACTCGGAACATCTATGTTTTCCTGACATTGTTAGCATTTTTCCTCTCTTTTTCTCTCTCTCTCACATGAAATAACTCCTCCCCATCTTCCATTGGTGTCCTGATACTCTACGTGATCATGTATTGGGTCAAATAATCGTTTTCGTCCTCCTCTTCTTCAAGGCGAAGAATGGCCGGTTTCCGTAACACGAGTTGCTTAAGGTTTTCAATGTCTTGTGTAAATGTAGCTGACATGAGGAAGCTCTGGTATATCTTGGGCAAGTACGTGAGGATTTTGCGGACATCTTGTTCGTAACCAAACGACAGAACGAGATCGGCTTCATCAATAACCAATGTTTCTAATGATTCTCGTAACACCATGTTCTATCAAGGGCGAAGCAGGTTTGATTGAGTCTCGACAAAATACACACATTGAACTAGACTGTAAAGCCCATCTATTAATTTCTCTTTTACCTCAGCCTCTAAATGAGCAAGGACTTTGCTTGGTGTAGAAACAACAATATCTGGCTTTTCAGCTAGCATTGGTCTAATTCATGTAGCATAAATATGATTTTAGTTGTCAACATAAATAGTAAAATTAAATAAAAAACTTCCTTACCGTTGAAGTTGAGGCGCCATTTGCCCGGCCAGATTTACCACGCGCACCAGATCTTTGGCATATACTGAAAGTTTTTGAATGTGTTTCGTAACTTGTTGCGCTAATTCTCGAGTAGGTACCAAGATCAAAGCTTTGCTTGATGCTTGTTGTTGTTGTTCTGGATCCTATAATATGCTCGAATCGATCAGTTTTCGTTCACCACCAAAAAACAAAACGTAAGTTGTGTATGTTTACCTCTTTCGATTGTAGAAGTTTTTGAATGATAGGTAAGGCAAATGCGGCTGTTTTACCACTGCCTGTCCGAGCACGAGCCAGAATGTCTTTACCAGCAAGTGCAAGCGGAATGGCCTTGGCTTGAACAAGCGTTGGGTGTGTGAATTCCAGTTGAGCTATGGCTCGCGACAGTCGAGGATCAAAGTCAAAGGATGCAAAGGTTTGCTCCTTTTCCAGGATTTTTTGATCAGCCATTTAAATGCGTGTGCTGTATGTGGTGTATGTGTGATTCTGAGGAATAAGGGCCCGAACAGTAATAGTGTAACGAAAAGGGGACGGAAAGGTTCGCTGGGTGCATGATAGAAGAATTTGTGACAGCTTTTCCTCATTGTGTGGCATTGGAATTATGCCCGCTGCTATCCTCACCGTGCACTCTTTCGGGACCATATGAGCGTTCCTGTAGGGCGTCGTCCGCATATAATAAAACGTCAACTACGCTTGGCACTGGTGCTTTGTCGTTGTGGAACCAATTTTTTGATTCGCAATGTTGCTTTGTTGCGGGTTTTTTGTCTCACATGAAGCAGCTTAATGTGTTGCTTTTATATGAGTGGTAGAATGGGGTAATTATGATATATCATGATGAGGGAAGAAAAGGGCTTAACTTGTGATTCCAGCTTCCTCTCCGGCGCATGCTATACCTCTTCCTAATTGGAAACTGTCGCTTATTTTATTTTACCTGAGGACCTGTTCCTTTTTGAAGCGGCTATGACCTTATGATGGCGATATACGATGTGCGAAAATCATAGGGCATAGCATATTTACGATATTAGTTCTTCTTTAACTTGTAGTAGCCATGGCAACCATTATGAGCAAACGGCCGAAAGCAAGGGTGCATAGCAAAGCTGTAATTAACCTAGGACACATAGTATGCATCAACAAGATTGGATTTTCATAGCAAAGTACACAAACAGTAATACGCTCTTCTATGACATAAGGGACACAGATAATGCCACTTGGATAATCAAACATAAACCCGGAGCAACATGTTACTTCGTGGTACAACTCTCCTTCAACATGTTGTTTCGCATACACATAAGCAACCATCTAGCGCATGCTATGTACTCGTAGAAATGACTTTAACATATCTTTTCTGTTTGATTGTTACTTGGAGAAAAAGGCACAACAATAGGAAGAGAACGGCGTGGTCGTTCACGCTAAGAAATCAGAAGTTTGGCAAAAATGATGACCCATGTGGACCGCATAACCAAAGTATTTTATTTACATGACATGCGAATTTCAAAAGATAAAACCGAAGAAAAAAAGACTAGCAGTATGGACAACATCGGCTGCAGAAACAGCACGAAGCTGACTCTTCATTCTTTCGTCGCCTGTGTGCATCTTTCGTCATTTCTATAGTACGCTCTTTTTCTTGAGGTACTCTTCTCAACAGTAGCAGCCGATTTGATAGAATACGTGAATGTTTTCTTTTCAGCTCCTTTGATTGCTGTACTTCATGACATATAATATGTCGATCATCGACGGTAAACCAGTTAGCCTCGTTGAAATTCAATAGTATCATTGGTGATCTGATCTATAGAAATCCTTTTAAATAGCAAGCCGCGAGAGCCATAAAGCATCGTCTTCTACTTGTAATAGTAAGAATACAATGTAAATCGGGTGAAGAATTGGGCGTTGGTTAGGTGTCAGGTAGTATTACGTGATACTGCGCTTCGCTTAACCTATGTTAAGAGAAGCTGCAGAGTATCACTGTGCAGAAATTGCACCTATAGATGTTTCAATTGCCCATATATACGTGGAATAATGCTAAGAAACTTATTCGTAACAGGAAATCAAAGGCTACTTACAGTGAGCAAATAAGTGTGTGATTTTTCATGGATATATTCGCACATTATATTCTTTTGGAGCAATACGTCCCCTGAAAATATTGTATACACACATATCTACCAGAAGGATGTCAGTACAAAAAAGAACAGGGTTATGGTGATGCTGGCATTACATACATTAAGAATTTAGTAAATCACATTAAATTGATATCAAGGAGCGATATTAGCTTGCAAGGATAAGAAGATTGTACTCACTGTTGCTTTCGGTATTGACGCCAAAATACATTGACAGCGATTTTCGTAGGCCAACCACACCCTCATGAAATGAACATGCCGATTTAGCATAACATTGTATCGTCGTTCGCACCACAGAGTGCCTAGTGATGGTCGAGAAAGAATACAACATTTGCAGCGTCTTTCGTCTCTTTCGTATCATCATCTGCGTCTCATATAAGTGTCCTATGGTAATGCATCGCTATTTTGGGGGAAAAAGCTTTACTGTTCTGCTAATTTGTTTTGCCTACACAGTAGTAATATACAAAAGTAAAGTTATTATAATTCGCAGGAACAATATTCTGAGTTTGTCTCCGAATCCTGCTCTTTGCTCTTTTATCTTGTCGCACAAAAAATCCAATGACATGGCTAAAGAGAACGAAAGCAAGTTGTTAGGCAAAAAACGTATGTACCTTAGATTAAGTAAGCTCATCATAATGAGAAGTATCAAGCTTATGGCAAAAAGAACGTGTCTTTAGGTCCTTTGCCGGACAATAACACCATTCCTGAAAAGTTTCCTTTTACCTTCGCACCACCACTTTTACCCGGTCAAAAGCTATTTGATCAAAATCAGCTCGACGCATCGTTCGATTCACAACGCAATAGCAACCATAAATGGAGTCCTGCAGCACTTTCCCATCGATTTCGGAAACGGGCTGAGCAGGGACGACTACAAAATGTCATGACGACGACGGATTCTACGACGAAAAACAATTGTGGCGGCAACAATAATAGCCACAGTAAATCTTCACTATGGTCAACATTGTCGTCATCACCCAGCAGCATATCAAATAATTATAATAATAATGGCGAAGGCGATCACCACGTCATTTATGCTCGACATCAGGCAGTTTCCATGGCAATGATCAACTGGCTACAGTTTATTTTTAATACATCGCTTACGGTTTTAATACTCTATATCCTTTTCATGGTATTGTGGACTTTACGGCATGATTTTCGGATCAAGACTGAAGAATACACTGCAGGTAAATCTAGCGACAGGAGCTTGTGGATAACGGAGAAAGAGCTCTGATGTTTGGGTGTCTATATTATGCATTAGCTATTTTGGATGAGATTGCATTATGTAATCGGAACTATGGTATCAACCATTGCGATCCGTCAACGCGTGTGCCGGCTATGGAGGAAAAATGCAACTTTTGGGAAGCATGTAAAAATCGGGATCCTCTGCTTATAACAAGGTAGGAAAAAAAAAGACACTGTTTCTTATATAAGAATGCAATCTGCTTTGTTGATCTAACCCACTGAACTTATTTGGGACAACTATAAGGAGCAAGGTTTCCGCAGAGATGGCTGCCGAGATTCTCAATAGTTTTGTGGAACCAATATCATATAAGACTTTGGTAAGGAAAACAAGTGAAGAAAGATGTGACAGCTGTGATTAAAGAGGTAGAAGGTTTATACTGTTATATGAACTAATCGTGTTTGGTTTGCGGAAACCCACCAGTTCTTTTTGACCGTTCTAGTCATCGGCTCACTTGTTGTATCCAATACAGCGTTCCGCTTGTATCGACGAAAGCTGTTACTCGAACGGTGATCTTTGTAGCTTTCATGATCAGAATGGCGATCTAAACTGTTGTGCGCTCTCTTTGGTTTACAAGCAACACACTCAAAATATGCGTATGAAAAAGAAGTGTCATTAAAAAATATACGGTCCTGCTATGGCTGTGTTATTGCACAACCAGAAGAGACCAGTACAAAGAATCATTGTAATTCTAATAGATTGATATGATCTTCCAACACCAATGTAATTATACTTGAAACAACAATAACGCAAACATACCCAAAAAACAAAACCCGCTTGAAACAGTAGAAACATGGTTTATCCAATAAATAATTGCACATCCTCATGCGTTATCCTTTAATGAAGTGATAGCATTTAAGATCGTCCAGTGCTAAGCTGGGGTCTATATCAGCTAAATGTAGCATGGAGCTCCAGTTACACCTGTCGCTGAAACTTTTCAAAATAAAGAACTAAATGCAATCTTTAACGCTCATCAAGTATTACACACAAATGTATTATAGACGACAAATTACGTTACGCCCAAAGTTTCATTAAATGACCCAGGATTGCACACAATCTTGTCGTGAATATTTGGAGCCGCGTTGTATCTTTTCACAGCTGGCTTAGAGTAGATTCGTTTATAGACATGTTCCACTAATAGGCTGTGCCGCCAATCGCTATTCGTGGCAAATAATCGACATTTGTGCCTTGTAAGCTGCGGACATCCATGTTTTCAAAGCCCTATGACGGATTGTTTTGCTTCCAAGGTTGGCATACTACTCGCAACCCGCGTAAGCCGCCTTCCGCAAACGGCGATTATTGAGAAGAAACGGTTCCAGCTTCTCGGAATATTCCCGTTGTGCGGGTAGCAGCGGATAAGACATGTAAGTGACAATGCAATTTTCCCACTGTGATAGCACATATCCGTAGTTTATAATAAATTGATTGATGATACCTATTAACATCAACTGGTGACTTGTGAGTTTCAAACGATGTTTCTTTATGACTGAGGGGTATTTAAAGGAAGCCACTCTAGCATCCATAATAAAATGTCGTCATGCTACATTTTTCTCCTTCGGCTGTTGTGCAAACATGGAAAACCCCGCAGGAATTCCAAATACAATCATTGCTGCCAGCTGGTGGGCTCGGAAGCGATATATCTTTGAACGCGCTGAGCACTTATCCATTGCCATGCATACGCTTTTTGATATTAGCAACGTATGATATTGAGATGTAACGTTGGAAGTAAAAAGCAACAAATTCATTGACGCACTCATTTTTATGCATAATTTGTGTAAAAAAAGGTCGGAAGATAATAAAGATAATGGAAAAAAGGGCGGGTGTACTTTATCTGTCTTCCACTGAGGCCATGAAATGTGCAGCATATCGATCACCCTGAGGAGCTGCTGCTTCAATCGCAGCCCGCATTTCAGCTTCCTCCTCTTTGGTTAAGTCCAACTTACCGCCATTCACATTCTTCTCGAGATATTTGACCTTCTTCGTGCCTGGGATGACGAAGAAGTCTTCGCCCTGGGCCAACACCCATGCAAGCACATATTCACTTGGCGTCACACCCTTCTTAGCCGCAAGCTCTTCGATTCTCTTGACCAAGTCCAGGTTCTTTTGAAAGTTTTCGGGGAAGAAGCGTGGTGCTTGTCGACGGTAATCGTCCTTTGGAAGATCGTCCAACGATTTGACGGCACCGGTCAAAAACCCACGACCCAGAGGCGAGCTACGATAGTTTATAATCGAATAAGTAATAGCTCGTTTGTCCAAGATAGAGTTTATCGCACACGCGTATTATTGCACTAATACTATGTAGAAGCAACCACTTACTATGCAACGATGCTTACACCGAGTTCGCGAGCCGCATTAAGCAAGCCATTCTGTTCGATGCCAAGATACCAAGGTGAATATTCGATTTGGACAGCGGCGATCGGATGGACCTTGTATGCACGACGGAGCGTTTCAGCACTGCATTCTGACAATCCCAAGTATCGGACCTTGCCTTCCTTGACCAGCTCTGCCATTGCTTTTACTGTTTCTTCGATAGGACTATTATCAGCGCAGCATATCATATACAGTAAATGGGATGTGTGAGCGAAAGGAGGATAAACTAGCTTGTAAGTGAAAAGAAAGCGAGCAAAAATTGCAGGAAGCTTACGTATTTTTATCAACGCGGTGCTGATAATACAAATCGATAGTGTCTATGCCGAGACGTTTCAAACTAGCATCACAAGCTTTGCGAACGTATTCTGGTGTACCATCGACGCGCAGAAAGGCACCGGTTTCGGGGTCACGGACATTGCCGAATTTGGTGCAGATGAACACTTTATCGCGGTTCTTCTTTACCGTTTCGCTCAAGAACCTTTCGTTCTGTCCGACCCCATACATGTCGGCAGTATCCCAAAATGTACATCTACAATAAGAGAGGAGCACATCTAAGTTGAGCTCCTTCTTTTTGGACGTATTCCGGTAGAAATAACATTGTCACTGTATTTCAAACTTCTCTTCCCACGTCAGCGTATATATGAATCAAGTGCTACATACCCAAGCTCCAAAGCTCGATTTAATGTGCGAGTACTTTCTTCATCGTCTGCAGCTCCGTAAACACCATCACACATACTTGATTTTTTTTGAAATGTAAACTTGTTGTTAGCTTGTGCTGCTGTTACCCTGCTATTCTCATGGGCACGTTATATATACTTTACTCACCCCATGCAGCCCAGACCAAGAGGATTCAGTTTCACTTTGGTTTTTCCGAGTTCTCGAAGTCCCACCATCTTTCTTCAGTTATTTAAAACGATCAACGAAAAGAGAAAAGAATTGTTTTAGTACGTTTATATATTGCATAGCGGTGTCGGAGAATGATTGTGGTGTGTAACTTACTGCCGGGAATAAACATTTCCCGGACGTCAACATACTCATGCAGGTCTTGCTTATTAATACAGCAGTTGTGCAAGCGGCTGTATTCTTTAGCCATTATATATGTCAAGATGCGTTTACTGCGCCATAGTTATGTAAGTGAGAGAAAAAGTATCAGGTGTATATTATCGCAAAAGGAATCCATAGTATCGTTTGTGGCGGTGTCAATCTCGGTATGGCCGTTTCCGCTCGCCGTCATCTTTTGCAGCGAATTGCTTTGATTGAATACATGCAGAGTGTTTTATAACGGTCAAAAATGAAGTACCTTGATATTGCAGAAGATACATATATTACAAAAAGAACGTTTCATTTATTTGTTTTTTATGGTGCAAACTGTAGCATGTATTTTCTACATGCGAGAGAGACAGAGAGAGATGACTGTAAATGATAAAAGAATTACAACGTTTCAAAATTTTTGACAGGTCTTTCGTCGTAAGAGATAAAATTGCAACCCCCTGTCAAATTAAACTTCGTAAGGCCCCGTATTGGCTTTCTGCTACATTTTTTACAAACTTTAATGCTCCTTTTGTTGTTCATGCTTCCTCCTTCGCCATTACCAACTTGAACTAATATTCGCACAAGTGTATACCACGTACGTCTTTCCAGCTAATAGTCATTGAATGGTCAGACAAGAGGATTAGGTCAAACATCATAAACCTCACCATTTGATAAAACCTATCCTCTCGTTCAAGTAAGACTTGCTTTGACTCTTGACATGTTGTTCCATATCAACCTGAAGAAAACAAAAGCAGTTTATTATCATAGGTTCCAATTAACTTATTCGATAATGCATGCCAAACAAGTAACAATCATAATCATGATCGTTCCAAGTATAAAATATGTGAGTAGAAAAAAGAATCTCTTGGGGACATCAGACGTGCCGTCAAAGTATACCATCTTAAGCCAAAGATGGTAGGACTGCGCCGCTTGCTTTTCTGGCAATATGATTGCGTAACGAACAGTCGAATATGTAATAAATCTATAACATTTTTGTACACTTTCTTGTGGTAGGTTCTTTTTCGAAATATCGCACAAAGTAAAACACTGATGACCAACTGACAACCACTGAGTCAAGCACATTATAAAGGGCATCACATCTTCATTAATCCTTCTTGTTATAACTACAAGCTTATTTAGTTATAAAGCTTTGTTCGACTTCAATATTGGCCAATTCGAGAAGTAGATATTTGTACAAAAAACATATGTTAAAGCTTTTAAAATGACATTAAATATCAACCATTTGTACTATGAACCGTCGTTCTTTTTCCTTCGCTTCTTCAGAGGACATACATAATAATGAGCTCGTCGGAGATACTGCTGATTAAAACAGTTTTCGTAAAGAACAAAAAGCTCGTTCCAATAATTGTTGACAAGGTATCTGCTTTTCCGGTCAGCGACATATACTCCACAGTTTCACCAGCATCATCTTTGGTAGCAATTTTTTGATGTTGTTGTTTGAATGGTGGTGATAGTGGTGCTTTCGCATTGTTGCCGTTACTACTACATTGCGTTGAGTTCTTGCTCTCCGTATTCTTTAGTACGAGGAGCCGAAGCGTCTCTTGTAATCGTAAAGCCCCACCACAGATGAGCGTTGGCTAGGGTTGTTACTGAGCGGTTTCGATGGCTATTCCACGCATACCAAGAATGTAGTAGTAGTAATTATTAAAGACATAGTACCAGCAGTAAAGTGACCTTCATTGAGCGGCCGTTGTTGCTGTTGCTGTTGATGCTTTTCCGTCTTCTGCTTGTGCTGGACCATGCGAAGCAGCAAACAATATGCTCATCTTGTTTCCAAAAATGTGCGAGATGCAGCGGCACGTTATCTGGATTGATGTGTCGTCCTTGATAGTGTAGCTAGGAAGCGGCGGTACAGGTGCTAGGTCCTCCATGACTAGCTGAGGCATGTCCGAGTTGGTCATGCCGGTCCATGATGGCAGTCCGGCAGCGAATTCTCTACGTACATCCATGCCTCGATTGTCAGAATAGTAATCGATACCAAAGAGCAAAATCCGAAAATTTATCTTGACAAGGGCGCTATAGAACCTTCGGAGCCATGAGGTCGCATATGGGCTGGTCATAGCTGAAGCTTATTCAGCGCATGGTTTCTGGCAATGTGTTGGCATAAGAAAATATACGGTCGTGCTCTTTGGTACTTTAACGTCGGTGCCCGTGGTAAAGTGCTGTAGGTGCTGATCATCTCAACGTTTTCAAGCATGTACATTCTATTGTGACAGATGTTTATATGAGGGAATGCTAAACCTTTAGTGGTGATAGTATAAAGCCGCTGTTGGTCCGGAGTCAATGCTATCCGACCACATGTGAACGTTCAGCACAGTATATCGATGCTTGGGACACGGTAATTTCTTTGAGTGTCCAAGCGCATCGAGCCCATTCTGTATAAATGCTAAAGTCGATGGGTGTTAACATGGTTAAATATATCCCCCATCGCCATCTTTGTCCCCTGCTACGAGTGACGAGTCATTCAGGGACCACACAAATGGTAAAAAACGAGTTTTTAAAGGCACAGTGCATCTGTTGTATTTCTCGCTTTTTCTTTTCAGGATTATCTTGATTGTTGCACAGCTGGTCATACCAAATGTAGCGCACGCCAAAATCCAAGCATATTCGTTGAACGAGTTGAGTAAACGTGACCAACGGTATTGTCGGCGTAAAACTGACCCTTTGACTCCCTCTGGACTTGTTTTTATGTTTCCATTCCTTCCTGCGGGACTGTCAATGGTTAGGTGCTTTCCTTGATCTACTTAAATATAGTCCTCGTTATCGCCATTCTATTTTTTTTCTTGATGATATCCCCCGACTGGTTTTACGAGTACGATATGGTGCAATAATAGTCATCTTCCACATCGACTCCCGGAAGGACTTGCATGTTAGATACACGAATAAGTAAGGTCGGCTTGTAGGATGTTCTCCGGTGAGCTGATTGGGCTACTACTGTAACGGAGTGATATCTCGCGTAGGTCGCCGCATGTTGGTCCTGATAGCGTCCTATCAGATTCCTCGCTTGTTGCTTTGGTACATATTTAATGTTACAGTCGATAAAGTCACCATCTAGAAGAATCATATCTCTTTTGTAAAATACTTTTTGTTCTATCAACAGTCTAGAATACAGAGTGGCAGTAAGCATCGCTCACTCGAAATTATATCTCATTGTTTACATTCTGATGGAGTAGCATGGGAATTAGAAAAAACTGTAAAAGGATGAACCTCGGCACTTTTGTATCGTCTCCGTCAAAAAAGAGCTTCACCGGTTGGATACTGTGTTGCCAGTAGGATGCGTAGCACAATTAGCATGGTGAGTAAGTACAGCGCAAAGTAAGTACATATGAAGTACGTACGAGAGTTTCTCCGGGTGACTAGTGCGAGTGATCCTTTTGATTTGGTGGTCGAAACTTGTATTTCGACAATAATCCTTGACAATTTGGATGCCAAAGGCGTCGACCATTAGAAAACTCCTTCATTAAATACAGTAGGCAGCGTTTTGTTTGGCTAGCCGCAACCATATTTTTGAAGTGTAGTATCTTATTTAGCATTAATACATTTTGAATTATTTACTGCTATTCTTTCTATAGTAACTTGTTCAATTGAAAAACTGAGCTCTTTTTCTTCCATTGATAGGCAAAACTCAACGTAAGTAATAGAGATGGTTTAAAACTGAAAACGTTCTCTTGGATATATATGTACTCAAATAAAAGATCACTATTTGAGAAAAAAGACCTAGTTTATTGATGGCCTCTGTTGAATTACACTTTACAAGAATACACACGGAGAACTTTTACATACAGCTAAAAGACCAATACATCGTTCGTAAAATGTCTCTTTAGAAAATATCTCTGCATCATACTGTATTACCGCTGACTGAATTCATTTCGGCTTTGTTTTGTACAATATTGTCATTTGTAAAGCTCAAAACCTCGAAATACATATTAATCTTGTAGCATACACAGCTATCAACATTGGAACATTACACATCGTCTTTGAGCGTTTTCGACTGACCCGGATAAAATTATGTTCTACGCGTGATATAAAGATATGTCAAACCAAATTTACAGCGTACGCTTGATCCTATGGCATCATTATAGGGAGATCAATCCGCTGCCGCTGGGTAGAGATTTATCATTCAGAAACAGACAACCGCTACGCATTATTGTTTCCTTGTTTTTGATCGCCGTTCTAATCCACAGACATAGAAAAGAGAGCGCCGCCCAGCAGCTGCTTGCCGTCGGTATAAACGGAAAAGCATTTTTAGTAATGATCAGATGATGTAGGTTTGAGTGAGCAACGCAGCACCTGTAAAATGCCTATTAATGCTATTGATACTACTGCTAGCATACTACGTGGCGCATACACGCTATACCAGAATATGAACAGCAAAGGAGTCTTTTCCCTGTAACGCCTAGCTGCAAAATTACATAATGGAAAGTACAGCCACAAAGTTATATCCATTGTTAAGCCTTACTTTTTTTTTCTTTGCTCTATTCTTGTCAATATGATAACCTGAGAGGACCAATTGCAATAACCAATACATGCACATGATGGGCTTTTCAAGCTGACGCTCGTTTTCTGAAGTGTACTGGGAAATACTGTGGCAAACTTAATCTGAGTACTTGTGAACGGTCGTCATGTCACCATTTGCATTTTGCCATCATCGTGCAGCAGCAGGAGATGTGTATGCTAAAAGATTAGAAACCTGTCACGCCTGTCCAACCCAGCGCTGTTTCTTTTGTTTACCCAGACAAGAGAACAATAAAAATTAGGAGAGACATGATATCCGGCTGGCTTGTGATAATGGTGCCATCGCTTCGTAGGAAATCCTCCTTTTCTTTCTCTCTCCTATGGATGGCGTCAATAAGCTAAAGCAATAATCGACAAGAGGCGCACAACACATGTTCATCGGCATGTTTTCTTCCGGACTATACTACAATAATAAGATTGACCATGTGGACTATTGTGTGACAAAGAAAGAAGCAGCGAGCGGAAGAAGATGAACAATCTGAATGCCAAGCTTCTTGCGGTTCGTTGTTGGTGTGCCACATTACTACTTACAGAAGTTCTTGTAAAACAAAGAAATTTGTCCAACCTACCCTATTTGACAACTGGTGTACCTGGACCATCGTACTGACCTTGTTCAGCCACGCCTGTTGTTGTTGTTGTTGTTGTTGTTGTTTTTGAAAGTGAAATGTAACGAAAGTTTATTCGAAATTGAACAATCATCAAGGAGAGTTGAGATTTTAATATAAAAGAGATTATAGCTGGTACAAGGAAAGAGGGGGAAGGAGAAAAGGTGTGTGTGTGTGTGATGCCGCTTTGGTATTAAAGTTGGTGGATTGGATGGTGACGAAGAGAAAGAGCCAAGTAGTAGTATAGATAAAGAGCAGGCACTCGTATGGAGAAGAGGTACCTTCATCTTTTTTTGTTTCTTTTGTTGCTGTTGCCGTTGCTGTAATGGGATGATGGACAATGTATATCGGTCGCTTCTACTGCTGCTACTAACATAGTGCATCCAACGCACAGCAGACGCACATACCGGCCAAGCTAGTATTACACAAATATCTGAGTCAGAAAAAATCACACATATGATAACCAGCACAACCCTATTTTAAGCTATCCCCTTCTCTCTCCTCTGCCTTCACACCCATCACCACCTTTGTCTCTTTCGAAAAAGAAAACACTTACCAGGCACAGCAGCAGTCATCGGCACCCGATTGTTGTTGTTGGGGCTGCTGGACAATTACGGTCTGAGGAGGAGGACTATAGGCAATCATCGCTAGTTAGTGGTGTTGTTACATGATGAGCTTCTCCTCTTTAAAGGGGGTCTCCCTGTGTGTCCTGTCTGTAATATCCTCATCCTCATCCTCTATCATCTTGAAGCAACTACTCACGTGGGCTGGTAGTAACCGCCACCGGGTGGAGGAGCGCCATAGCCGCCGCCGTACTGGTCACCACCGGGAGGAGGTGCATAGTATTGACCTTGGGGTGGAGGAGGGTATTGATAATTGGACATGTTGTGAAGCGATGATCGAACGAGAAGGGGGAAAAAAAAAAAGAGAGAAAAAAAGAAAAAAGGGAGACGTAGAATCCGGAATGGAGGCTTTATACACACACACACAGAGAGGGAGAGAGAGTGAGGGAACACACGCGCCAGCTCTCTTAAAGGGGCGATTACATTGGCTGGGCCTTCAGAATTCGTGATCCGCAAACTACCCACTGTCGTTTTTGTACTCCTTGAGTACATACATACATGCTAATTGACTGAGCCCCGCTCACGCACCGCCCTAACCGCCGCTTTGTCATAAAATCGGATTTGGGGCTTTGATTCCCGCGTCGTTCTTGTACGCTTAGCCCGGGGAAACACAAAAGATACACCGTTTTTCATGCAAATGCAACCCAAAGCCTCTTTCAAAAAATAAACTTCTTGAGAGAAATTCTTCCCTCGGATCCTTCAATGGGCCGTAAAATAGGTTAAAAAGAGGAACGTATTCCAGCCCCCACTCCCCCATGAGTGAGTGGCATTACCCGGAACATTTTGGTTCCGTGAGTCGGAAAAAACTAAAGTAAAAGCGGCTGACCACACTCTTACGCACGACCGCACTAGATAATATTAAGACACGTCTCTTTTTCTGTGGTGGTGGTGGTGGTGGTCGTCGTCTTACTTCTTTCTCTTGCATTCCATTCTTTTTTCATTTTCTTCGAAACCTTTGCGCCACCTTTAGAAAAATACACCACTTTATAAAGCAGAACCACAATGGGCTTCATTGAAAAGCTTCGGGCACAATACGAAATGCGCAAAGTCAACAAATATACAAAGCGTCGACTGTCACAATCCCAATTCGCCTCACACGACCGTACATACTACGACAGTGTTTACCGCGACGGTGTTTATCTCGATCATGGCAGTAGTGACAGCAACCTCCACGTCGACAATAACAACAACAACAACAACAAATCGCGGTGGTCTCTAAGCGACCTCTTGAAACGAAGTCAGTCCATAAGCACTGGCCAGAACAAGTCGACGTCGCTGGCTGCTAGTCAGTATAAAACATCAGAGACTTACACTCTGGGTATCACCAGATAATGAACAACACGTCCAGTCTTCTTTTTTTTTTTTTTTTTTCGTTGTATATTGAGTGCATATAAATACTTCTCCCTTATTTCTGTAGATAACCAGCCGATCCCCACTTACCCACACACGCACACACTTTTTCTTTTATTTATCCCCATCTTCCTCTATTCCCTCTTTATTTGTAATTATCATACAATGAGTAAAGAGAAGACTAATGTTTGATGTCAGATATGCGGTGTGAGTGTTGTTGTTAACTTTGTGGTTTCTTTTTTCTTGTATTGCACATGCTTGTTGGAGAAATGTATGCTACTCTGACTCTCTCTCTCTCTCTCTCTCTCTCTCTCTCGCGCGCGCGCGCAATGCTAGACGACAAGAAGGAGAAGAGGAGAAAGGTCCGGGGGGCGAAAGGGATGAAGGTATATAGCGAGCCTTCGAGACTCGGGGAATAAGTACGCTTTTTTTCAGTAGTTGCTAGACCATGGTCGCCATGGCTTGATGAAGTCGTTGTCGCATTTGTTCTGTACCAAAGTTCTCGACCTGAATTGGACAATGATATATAATCAGTCTCTCTGATAACACACGCAACACAATCGTACGTACGACGTCATACTTACATTTCGAAGAACAAGAGGGTACAGGTCCCACGTTGGTATCTCGTCGTCCTGGATGTGCTCGTGCTGTTCCTCCTCTTGTTCGGCAGGGAGTCGTGCAAACAGGTCGAGCATAGGATGCGGGTGGTACCAGGTACTGCTTGTGCTGCTGGCCTGTTCTCGCTGTATCATGTTCATGGTCGCAAAATTGATCTGCCGGTCGCATCGTTGACTGCATTTGCGCGGTACGGGTCGTTGCACGTAGCCATTCACAAGACGACGAGAGAGGCTGGGGTATAGATCGTAGCTGGGCGTTGCTGTGGTACAGTGGTCATAGTATTCGCGAGGCGTCGTCTCAAAGTGGACAAAGTTATTATTGCTGTTGTTACTACTGTTAGTGCTACCACTAGGGCTGTTGCTGTTGTTTCTTTGCATTGTGTTTCTGTAGGGTTAATCCGAGCGAGAGAACGGACAAGTAGAAAAGCCAAGGGGACAGCAGCAAAAGAAGAAGAAAGAAAAAAGAAAGGAAGAAAAGGATGCTCTTTGGAAAAGGAGACCAGGCAACTTATTTTTTTCTCTTGGGATTTGCAAGGCCGGTCTGGTAAACCCGGTGGGCCAGGTGATTTTACAATGCGACGCTTTTGCTGTTGTATTTTTAAAACTAGTCTTACAGTACGCATATGCGCATTAACAACTACCTTCGTTTTGCTTCATCATGCGACCTGAATCATGTGTTGCCCTAAAGAGCAACATGGATTGTTTGTTTTGTTGTTCTCTCTCTCTCTCTCTCTCTCTCTCCCTTCTATCCCGGTACATACAAACCCCCCCCCCCGCCCCCATCATCAGCAGCATCTACAGTAAAGTGTATTGCGCAATTTGTAAACAGTTCGACGCTAGACAATCGGCTTCTTTGCAAAATAAACAAGCTTTTATGAACAAGCAAGCGGATTTGGTTCTTCCTGAATAAACGTTTCCAGTACATACCCCTCATGATACGCTGTGTTAAGGTCAAGGTTTTCTTTTCACTGTATACGAAAGGGTGATAGGCTGGCATCAATAATGAAGCAACGTCGTTGATTCATCCGGATATTGAGTGAAGATCGACTCGATTTCGAGATCTAGTAGACGTCGTGTACATCATTGTTGTATGCAGTAGATTTGGTTTTAGACTTGGCCCTGCTTGGCTCTCCTTCCTGGATTCTCTAACTCTTGCTCCCCCGAAAAAATCATCCCCTATGCATGCTTTCAAAGATGCTCCTATCAAATAACTCGACATAAGATGATGACCTCATAGGAAACCAAACTTGAAATTAGCAGACATCCGCATCAATATCTGAGATACCTTGCTTCTATCTAGATAATAGCTTCCAAAGTTCGTCATTTTACCCTGTGCGTTGCCTTGATCATTTTTGCCTTTCACTCATCAAAATTGCTACCTTTGTTTGAGAGAAGAGAAAGAAAACCTGCTGGACAGTTGCACACAATATTTTTTTTTCAATGCGGAGTTCGGTCCGATAAGCCGAGCTTCTCGCTTTCCACAAAGCACTTATAGTCTAGCGTTGTTGTCATGGAAACACTCTGGGTTCTTTAATTCTACTCCTAATTTTTTTTTTTCATCTTCTCTAAGGCTTTACGCATGCGCTGGAACGAGGCTGGGAATCTGTGGGAACTATCATACAAAGTCGCTAACCTTATTTCTACAATGGATATATGTGTTATTGAAATCCTATTCTAGATACGTTGAAGTTAGGTAATGATGTATACTATGTTGCCATTGAGTAACATGCTTGCACCACTATGACTGCTATTGTAAGCGGCATGTATTGAATCTGTACGGACACAGATCATTGCTAGATTCAATCAATGACTTCAATATAAGCAGTAATAGTACAAAATAAAAAAAGGTTCTTTCATCTTAATTCTTTTTTGATCCGTGCCACTCGACACTCTGTGGTTCACATCAATTGTTACTTCTATACTTTTCTGCAGTTGAGATCTTGTCCTGTTCCTTATTTCAAGCGAAAGTCTCAAGAGAGCTTACTTTGAATAGCAAAGCACTTGGGTGCCTCTATTGATCACTTCAAAGCAAAGCAATGTGAAAATATACATATGTCTCACAAATCAGATGCGTAATTTTCGGCTTAGGGCGTATGGATGGGACGTTGCCATATAATAATACATAAAACAACAAGTGAATCAAATTTTGTAGCAGTGCGTATTGTACGATTGTGTTAGTACCCGAATTCAAATAAGCGATAAAGACAGCCTATCAACGTCGAGACGCTTCTAGAATAAGGTAAATTTTCGCTGCACCGGTCCAAGCTGGATGAAGCGTATGTGGACTCTATGTAGAAGAGGCTTCTATATTTCTGTTTGTCTGTCGCAATGTACACATGTGGAGCTCCAGTATAGTACATAGTCTTGATCTCGATAGGACGCAGTTGAACGTTGTCATCATTCTCCGTCATGCACACGTACGTTTTCGCACAAAGGAACACGACCGTATCTTTGCCCTTGTCAACACTTTCCACGATATATGATGACGATCAGCTATGACCAGCTAATTTGGATTTGATATGGTCTGATAGCAAGAAAGGACCTTTCTGTTATACTGTGTTTTCGTGGTCACCTGTCGCGTGGAAAAAAAAAACCTAACGGAGGATTGCCCCTATTTAATCTATCGAATACGACTTACCATCTTGGACAGGAGCTCCTTACTGCCTGAATAACATGTAATTTCTGGAGAACTACTCTTCGACAATACAATATCGTTGTACGTTTACTATGCACGTTGAATGCAGCTTTATGACAACCGATGCGTCGCTCAAAACCAATCTATTCTCATTAAAGCATAGTGACGTGTCAGCTAGACTTATAATGCCGTGCCTCGTTCAATAAAGAAGAGTACAGTAACACCGTTGGACACTGGTGGTTTGAGCCCATATATGGCCAAGCCCAGCAGCCTATAAAGCTATTTTGCTTCTAATCATCTGACGACGCGAACAATGATGAAGATGTGTTTCATGATACTCGCCGCCAACTTTGATTGCTGTCAATATGCGCTCCAATACACCAAGAGAAGATTGTTGTTATTGGCAAACGTACACGATCTAGCGAACGGTTATATGCAAGTTACGCTCAAGTTGACAGATCGCACTTCCAAACTTGCGATACTTTTGGGGATATGTTTCAAAGATTATGCAAAGAATAGAGTATTTTACCCTGTCATTGAGCAAGATAGAAAACATTATATTAAAGCTAGCTAGTGGCGTAGCTGTTGTATATTTACCCTGATCTCTGACTGTCTTAACGAACAGAGCTCTATATTTGAATAAAAAGACGTCTTTGGAGAGTATGATATTTTAAGAAACTGTTATTAAATAAAGACTTATTTTCACCGAGTTTTAAAATGTTATCATCGCTACTTGCTACTCTCATCTGTAATAAAACATACCCATACTAACTCTTTATATTGCATGTTGTCTTGAATGATTTTTAAAGGGGCAGAAACTATATAGAGAAAAGTTAATCAGCATACAAAACGTATACTTAAACGAGCGTGTATTTTAGAGGTACATTCACCTCTTTTTCATTCCTGACTGTCAGTAATACATATATAACCAGCTTAATACATACCCCGGTTATTTACGAGATACATACAGTATTAGCATAGTTTTATGGCTGGTGCATGATCATTATATAGTCTTGCGGACTCGTCAAAGTATGTCAAATTTGATGCAAAGGAAATATATACATGTAGTTTCAATTCTATTTCATTCTTCTTTTCAAGAGAATAGACAAGCTCTCTACTTTATCATGGAGATTTACAGGCCGCATACTCGGTGAGCAATGTTTTGTCTTTCATAAATTTTGTCACGTATATACATAAGCGCACTACATTAGTTACTACTGTTTCTTTTGCTTTGTCATCCGTTTGATGCATTGTGCAACTTGGTGAACAAGACATTTTAAACGCTAGAGACGCGCTAGACAATGGGCGTGATGTCGTAGAAAAGACAAGCATTGGTTGATATGCCATCCCACCCTCGGTTGCCTGACGTAGTAATCATGTAGCGGCAAGTCGGATCGATGTCTAGTCATGTTGTTGTGTCTTTGAGTTTCACCCCTCTTCCCCTTCACAGATGGTACGTATTTGCATTGTTGTAAGTTTACCTATATGAGAAATCGTGCCTCCATGATGCCCGGGTAAGATCGTAAATGGAATCACGTACGAGGATGGTTTTGGCGTCTTGTCAGCCTCAGGATATAGTGTAAAAATCGACTCAATCTCGGTATTCCAAAGACGTACATTATCATTGGATGCACTAGAGTAGATTTTGTTTTAGACTTGGCTCTTGGATTCCTTTTTCTTTTCTCCCTTTTTTTGTTTCTTTCCTCTAACGCCCCACCCAACCCCACCCCACCCCCCAACCTTCTCATTTTCCTGTATACAAGGTGGGGAGAAATCCCTCCAGCTGGCACACTCATCCGTTTTCTTCACGATCCCACTCCCTCCTTTTTTTTTTCCATACCAAATGATATGTTTGTTATTTGGCATACTGGCCACATAGGAGACTGGACCTGAATTAGCAGGCATTCGGAACGATCGAATCAGTTTCTGAGATGCAAAATCCCATTCATCGACTAGCAAGAAAATTAGGTTAAATATATGTATACTGGCTTGTCTCTTCCGCTACATACACTATTTCACTCACCCTGTCCATTACGTCGTCCCATGTATATCTTTGAACCATCAGCACTCCAACAAGCCTACATATTGGTGAGCAAAAAAAAAAAAGAAAAAAAGAAAAACGATCAAGAGCTGTTTTGAGATGCTATCCTTTAAAATTCAAAAAATCTTTACCGACAAGCACCAAGGCGGAGTTCGGTCCGATAATCCCAACTTGGTTGCATCCTTTTCGGGCTCCCGCCGATCCCAAATGAAGCACTGACCATCAAAACTAGTTGTCATGAAAATATTCGGATTCTTTTGATCCCATTCCTGATCCTCATCCTTGGATGGGTCAAACACGGGCTGGAACGAGGCCGATGATATCTGGGAACTATGACCCGCATACGTTCTTACAACGGATCCCGTGTTGAGATCCCATTCCTGATATGTGATGTGATGTGTGGTTGAGTAACATGGTGTGTCGTTCGAGTTATGTTACTGCTGTTTGGCTGTTCTATTTTAGAGAGAGAGAGAGAGCAACTTACAAGCACAGACTTGTCCCAAGACCCACTGATCACGCCCGTCTCCCCGGGTGTCACCCGTAACACCGATACTGGGGCTGTGTGGGATCGCAAGACGTGATGACATTTGCCTTCATCGTGACGCACCGTGACCAAATTGATATTGCCGCTTTCCGTACCCAGAAGCGCCCATAATCCTTCGGAATGAACATCCATACTATACACGGGTGATAATTTGGGCGGTTGCTGTGGATGGTTTAGGTTTGTTGTGGTTGATGATGATGATGGTGCTGCTGTGGATGCTACGATCGTGCTATTAACACTACTGTTTGCAATAATAGGATTGCTGTTGTCTGTTGCTGCTGCTGGTGTAGTAGTAGTAGTAGTAGTAGTGGTGGTAGATGATGATGCTTGTTCGTTTGTCACAGTTGGTTCTGACTTGACAACAACAGGTTGCTCTTCATTCTCAAACCATGAACTTAGTACACCTGCCTAAAAATTCAAAAGGTTCTCCTAATCTTTAGTTATTGGCAGCTTGAAAACGGCCCATGTTTCGGATTCACCTTGGTTGATAAACAGAGATGCTTACCATCGTCACTGAGTCCACGTGCTGATGCCTCTGTGCCTGTGTCAGGGCCGTTTTGCCATTCATCGAAGAAAAAAAGTCCCATTTGCGCACATAACCGTCATCGGATCCTGTAAACACCCATCGAAAACATCGTGTAGCTGCAACACTATAGATAGGAGCTGGATGAATAGCCGCCACCTAATGATCATGGTTTGCATGAAAAGATACGTCAGAAACAACGTGTGCTCCCTCTTTATTCCAAACTCAAATACTCCTAAAAGCACAGGTTACTTACCAAAGGTACGCAATCGTATGTTTTACAGGTAGCAAAGTTACGATTCAGTGTGTAATCAATCAGACGTTGTGGTGGTTCGGACGACCGTGGTGCAGGTGCAGGAGAATTCCTTACCGATGTGGCATCTGTATCATTATTATTTATAACAAAGTTAGATTGACAAAGCACCACCCCCTTAACAGCAGAATATGGGATCTCAAACACCCATGAGACGCGTAGTGCGCAGGCGCATATTAGTTTGTCAATCGGAACAAATACATACCTTCAGTGTCCATGCCATCGTCTTCAGGCTGAGTGTTTAGTTGAGGTGTGGATGCTTCATTGAGATCCAGCTCATCTTCGTCCGATGACATTGTTTGTTTTTGGAGTGGTCGAGTAAAGTTATAGTGAAGGAGCTGTCAGACTACTGGAGTATATAGTGTTATGTGAAGTTCCGAACCGGACGCCACACAGAAGGGGGGAGCGAGGGCAGGGAGGGAGTATGTCTGGGGGGTGGAGAGAGCGAGAAAGCGGTCTTTTCTTTTAGTGGGCGTGTATTATCTGGGGGTTGGATAGAGGGGGAGAAAGGGGGTTTTTTTGGTAAAGGGAGAGAGAGAGAGAGAGGGAGGAAGAGGGGTTGACTCGCCTGTGACTGACATGGACGTATAGGAAAAAGGGCTGTTTCATCATGTTGGGGATATAATAGCACAATAGGCACTCTTTACATGGCTCCAATGAAATGGGTGCTTCGCGGTAGTACACAAAAGAAGTGTTTCGCCAAAACAGTTGTAGCACACTTGGCCGTGCTCATCCATCGGGTATGAAACAGTTTGTCACTCGGCGCCAGTGCTGACGGTCATCTCAATCGCATTTGATATATTGTTGTATGTGTATTATTACACCACATGTAATTTGTAACAAGAAAGTACAAATATGAAACGATCAAGGGGCATGAGCACGCACACACATACAAAGATGTGCGAAGGACAGACATGCCCAGTTCGTCAGACTTTGGCTGCTAGGTTGGGAGTAGCAGAGAGTGGCAGAAAGAGTATTGTGGTATAGCAGGGAGTCACAGTCATCGGCTGCTTCATTCATAGATGGAAGAAACACTTTCTTTTTTCCCTTTGGAACGGACCTATTCACTCATCACACACCCCTCATTTTGCAATCTTTACTTTGCCTCTGTTTTTGCGTGGCCGCCCTCGACTCACCACCACCCACCGCACTCCCGCGATATCAGGAGGTGGGGTGGGGGAGACAGGCCAAACAGCCTACGATCACATAAATACATATATATGTAAAAAGGAGGCATTTGGGGGTGCGTGTGTGCCTGAATGAATAGCACATAGGCACACAGTTGGCGTGGTTCTACTTGGTAGTAGTGGTGCCTGGTAGCGTGTGCTGCTGCTGCTGCTGCCGCTGCGTGTGGACGGGGGACTCACGATAGAATGGAATGCCAAAATTTTCATGTAGACGCATGCAAAGCATGATGTCTCTTTTTTTTTTTTCTTTTTACAAACACAACTGATACACGCTCTGCTTCTCTTTTTTCCTCTTCTTTTCTTTCTCCTCTCTCCTCTCTTCCCCCCTTTTCCTTCTCTCTTTCTCTCTCTCTCTCTCTCTCTCTCTCTCTCTCTCTCTTTATTCTTTGCTTACCTTTCAACCTTTGGTTATTACCTTCTTCTCCCCCCCCTCTCTCTTCAGATAGAAACGAAGAGAGCGAGAGGACGACAATGAAACTACAAGCCGTCCTACTAGGCGAATACAATGCGTCGCCTCTCTGTCTATACCAGCAACAGGACCATCATCCTCACCACCACCACCACCGTGAATTATCCTATTTTTGCATTGAGGAACTCGACGCGCTCTTATTAGACGATCACAGCAGCAACAGCAACAACAACAGCAGCCATGACGGCACATCCATGACTGCCAGTAACAACACCACTTACGAACACAACAGCAACAATGAGGATGGCATCTTGTCACAACTCCAACATCCTGTGCAACCATCGCATTTCCTTGTATCAGCATGCGGCAGACGCTCTTTCATCCACAACGACAGCGTCGTTCATATTGCCCGCTATCGGAATCTGCTTGCCTTGGCGGAACTGTGCCAGCTCAAATGGGCCGAGATCATGGCCGGCGTGGTCGCTGCTCCCTTGCTGACGAGTCTGGGGGTTGTGGCTGCTGTGCCTGCGCGTTTGATCCATCATCCCATTGCCGTTCACCACGTGACCGACTTCCACACCTGGTTCGCCGCAAAGAAACAACAACAACAACAACAACAACAGCGCAAGCAATCGTCCTTCTCGCCATCGTCATCCTCTACCTGTTTTGCCAACGACAACAACAACTCGAATAGTCGAGACTTGCATCGAGAGGAAGAACGGTAAGCAATTGCATCTCGTTTTCTTTGTATATCCCAACTCCTACCCCTTTTCCACTCAGTCCCTTTGATAAACAAAACAAACAGCAAGAAAGAAAAGAGAAGAATACGATCTCTCTTTCCCTTTTCTCTCCCGCCAACTCACCGTCCTTTCGCTCAAACGTAGGCTCTCTTCATTTATGCAAAAACTGTCGCATCATCCATTATGGCAAGGCGTGGCGGCACACAACGGTAAACAACGAACAGAAAATGACATGTGGACTCGTTTCGCCTCTTGGTTTGGTGATTACCACAAACAATTGCCACCCTCACTGCTGGCTACATTTAAAACACGAAGACAGCAGCAGGCGATCATTGCATCGAGACAACGACGACTCGCTATGGACCCAGCCAGTACTTGTTCTCCCACGTCAACTAGCACGAGCACACCGACCAAAATCATCAAGAAACGACGTTCGAACAATAACACAGCTTTACGACAGGACATTGTCACGGAGTCATCTGCTGCCTCAACCATCAGCACCAGCAGCAGCTCTTCTACCACCAGTAGCAATAGCAGTAGCAATAGCAACAGTAGCACAACAACAGCAGGAACCGCATGCTCGTCGCGCGGTAACTCGCCACAGCAACAGCCTGTTCGTCTAGGTTCACCCTTACGACATGAAATACGTTCCATCAAACGATGGACCTCACCGCCCCTTCATGATCAACAACTACAACAACAACAACCTCAACCGCCACAACAGCACCACCAGCAGCAAAGAACGATACGGAGTTGTCGATCCGTCACTGAACTGCATCGACCTGTTCCCTTCAAGGCACATCAATCCAATTTGAAACTTCCGCCACCATGGCCATCATCAACATCAGCATCATCAGCATCAGTAGCAGCAGCAGCAGCAGAAGCAGCTCCACAAAAGACTGCACTAGATATCCAAAATCGCAGCCACCCTCATTTTCATTTTCATTCTCATTCTCAATATCAGCAACCCCAACAACAGCAACAGCCCCGCAAGTGGTCCTCGTTACAAGAGTTACGGCATCGTGGAAGCCTGGATAGCACCAGCAGCAGTGGAAGCAACAGTAGCAGCAGTGGGGAGAGTAACTTGGATTTATTAGCGACGCAGGCGACGCAGCGGCAACCGATACTTTCCTCTTCTCCTACTTCTTCCCCACAAGCCATCAAATTGCCCTCACCAAGTGAAATGCTTGCACGTCGTCACCCACCTCCTTCTGGAATCGTATAATAAATCTCTCTCTTTCCCTATACCTCTTCTTTTCTTTTTGTTCTGTACATAACATTGAAAACAGCTTATAGAACTCCATTGTCTTGTATTTTGGAAAATGGTGAAAAGCATCTCTTTCACAGAATATAGTATAGTGTAGTTTTTTTTAAATAAGGAACAACATGCATCACATCAGATAATTTGGTACAATAGAAAAACGAGAATATGTTATAGACGAGGGAAATAGCGTTAGAAGGGGAGGGGGGCTTTAGGTGTGTGTGTGTGGGTAAGTGGTGTAAGTGTATATGCGTTGTATATAGGAAATAGATAGGAAGGAACGAAGAATAAAGGAGTAATAGGTTTTACAAGGAATCCTGTCGCTGGTACTGTCGGTTTTGATTTGCAAGTTGCATCAGGCCCATCAACCGTTGTAGAAGTTTCAGCTTAAGCTATCATCATCATCATCATCATCATCGTAGACACGTGAGCAACTATTACACGCTTGATTTCACGGAGCATCACCAGTGGCAGCAGCAGCACTTTCCCCCTCTCTCCCCCCCCTCCCCACTTCATCCCCTTATCATCATTTGCCCCCTTCACCACAATCACCCACGCTTCCACTTTTAGCCAACCCCAGTGGAAAAAAAGAGCACTTACATAAGAGGGAAGGTACATGTTGGCCACCACGAGTTGTGGCTCGGGCACCTCGTATGGACTATCATCCAACGACACATTGTCCAGCAGCAAGATATCATTGCTGTCACTACTGCTCACCCGTGATGCGACGGCTCTCAGGATATCGTTGCTGATCGGATCCTCATAGTCAGCCACATTGTAGTTCTGAATCAGCTTCTGAACCTGAGTAGGCGTCAAGAGCCAACAGACATCGTAAATGATCTTGATATCCTCCAACGATGATTTCTTGAGCTGCAAGAGCTTGGCAGCTTGCATCAGGTGCTCCAATTGCAGGGTCGCCTCGCCCATTTCATGGAGCTTGCACCACTCTTCCAACCGGGTAATATTGTACTGGATTTGCATGGCGCGCTTCCACGAGTTAAAGTTTCGGCGCATCACGAGGTCGTTGAATGCAGTGACACCAATCAGTTTCAGCAGTTCGGTGAGCCCTTGCTCCATCACAAACGGTTCGACATCATAGCATTTCATTGCCCGGTACACCCGGTTCAGAAAGTTGAGCAGGTCGTCCATCGAAAACGCCGGTTGGTTCGATCCGCCCGTCAGGATCTTGTTGAAGAATCGGTTGTTGTCTGTCGCAATGAAGCCCGGCAACGACTGGCTTTCGATAATCGCAGGCACAGCCATCTTGCTCAGCTTTTGCTTCAGTTCAGTCAACCAGTGATGATACAGGTTGTCTTCTAAGCATTGCAGCTCAAACTTGACCGTCGATACAAGCTTTTCAAAATCGTGCCAGCCCACCGCACGTCGTCCGTTCACCGAATTGTAGTGCATCTCACGCTCAAGCTCTTGCTCGGTTGAGCACACCAATGACAATAGTTCATGTGTGTTGGAGAGCCAGAATGCACAGGGTATGATTGTATCTTCACCCCCAAAGCTCTACACACAATGTATGCAGATTCACGGTTCAGTACGTGCTGAGAATGGAAAAACAAGTTTCGAAAAGAAGCCTTACCAAGCAGTGCTTCTGAACGGTATCCATGACAGTGAATATCAACCGTTCAGACTCGGCAAGGTAACCGAAGCGCCACATTTGGGTCACTCCCAAACCGATAATGTGGGCTGGGAACACAACTTCTTTGTGCGACGGTGGATTCTGTGTATTGGGCGGGATGATCTTGAGCGATCGAATTAGTCCTTCCAAAATCTCGTCCTCCAAAATCTGTTCGTCGTGAAGGATGGCATGGATCTAGTATATTCATGGCACATATCGATTTTAGCATCTCTCCCCTCTCATTTCCTCGAGCAACAGAATAAGGGACAAAGACTTACAGCCTCTTCAGGGTTACCGTTCACGTCGCGCAAGCTTTCAATATGATCAATGGACATGGGGCGGATCTGGTCTGGTTCAGCATATACAATCGGCTTGGATTCCGTCAGGCTGTTTCGACGGAAGGGTGCCATGTTTGCGCCTGTAGGTGATCGACCACGAGGACTGACTCTTTCGGGCGAAATGCCACGACGGCTGTTACCACCGCCGGGGGTTGTAGGCGACATGCGCGAAGGAGACAAGTTGCGTCCATAGGCATTCAAAGAAGCCTGTCGGCGTGGTCCACCATTCTTCAAGCTCTGTGCAAGTTGTGCCTTGAGTGCTGCAATCTGATTCTTGAGTTCAGCCACATCTTCGTCCTTGGGTGTGGGCTGTGTCGACACCTTGAGTGGAGGTTGCTGACGCAGACGCGTTACTTCAGCACTCAAACGGGCAATTTCCTTGTCCTGCTCGGCTACCTTGGCCACAGTTTCTTCATGCTCTTGTTGAAGTGTGGTATGTGCACTACGCAGTGCTTCAAGTTCTTCTTGTGCTGTGGATGAGCCATGCGCGAGCCTTTGCATTTTCGCTTCTAGTTTGCCATGCTTGTCCTTCCATGACTGTATTTCGTTTTCGAGTTGGGTCGCTTGCTTTTGCAGTGCCTTCTTTTCATCCTTTTGCTGGGTCAGGTTTTGTGTCAGCTCGACTACCTTGTTTTCAAGTTTGTACGAGACTTCCTTGAGATGGGTGGCAGAGCGTGCTTCCTGTCGCAACGAGGCGAGCATCTTGCGAGCTTGTCGACGACGCACGCAGGTCTGTACAGCAATAATATGGTCGCGTTGCGCAAGATAACGCTTGCGGGTCATCCAGCCTCGCACCAGACGCTGGATCTGAGTTGCAGCATTATTTTCGCGGAAAGAGCCAAACGATTTGCGAGCCAGCAAACTACGGCAGGCTAGAAGAGTTTATAATTAGATGCGATTTGGGTTGTCAGTATTCAGTTAACGATGCTTCAAATCCCCCGAGTGTGAAAAAAAAAACTTACCAGCTTGCAAATGCGTGACAAAATTGCGTCGTCGCTCCAACTGCTTTCGTGCGAGGAAACCGCGAGCGTATTTTTGAATGGTAATGACAGCACGCTCTTGGCGCAGCAATTCTAGTTGACGTTGACCCATCTTCTTGCGCGCAACCTGCTGCAGACGCAGAGCCAAATCCTTTGTTCGCAGATAGCGAATACGTGTAATGAAACGACGCATATTCTTTTGAAGCAAGACCACACATTCATTCCATCGATCCGCTCGAAGTTTCTCCATGTAAGCCAGCTACATAATATATCAAATAATAGAGGAGAACGTTCAGTTAGCTAAGAGCTAGCTTTGATATCTCCTCCCAAACCGACAAAAGTTCAAGTTGTATGTTACCTGACCAGCACGGAAAAAGATCTTGGTGAGACCGATTTGATACTTATCACTATCCTTAATGGACTGCTCCAAAATGACGTGACAAAGCTTCTGGATATCTGGACTCTTGTTGGGATCCCAATATTCAGAACTAACCAATGCATAGTAGCGATCAGCAAAGTCTTCAAAGGCCCATCGCGAAGGATAACCGGCACAGCTGATGCGAATGGTTTCCAAGACACCACATGCGCGCAATTGTGCAAGCACCATATTTGGCTCAAACACCCATTGTACTTTGGCTTCGTTTGGCTTGATACAACGGATATAATGTACATTTGTTTGACCAATGGTATCCATCAAGCTGATAAGTGAGAGCTAAAGACCTAAATGTCAGTTACGTCTTCTTCTAATGGTTAATATAGCATATCTCTTTCATTTCTTACCTTGAAAATCGATCCAAGTGTCGGTTTCTTTGCTGCATTCATTCGCTTTGGACCATTCTAAGTGTACAATATACCATTTTTTTCGTTCGTTAGTTTTGATAGAAAATCGTTGGGTGCGTTTCTACCTCGCTTTCCCAACTCCTTCACTGCGCGCGTGCATATGCTAATGTAAAACAACATCAACAAAGCAGTGGATTATCATTATCATTACCGATTTAGCTGGCGGGGCAGATTCTTTGGCCGCTTCTGCAGCTGCAGCAGTGGCGGTCTGCAGCATCTCCACCAAGAATCCTGACTCCGCATTTTGTAGCAAGGTCAAATGCTCATCTGGCACCGTATCCTTGTTCTTATCAATGAACCCTTCGGCCTCATACTGGACTTCGTGTGCATAGTGAACCACTGTAAAGGCGCTGTTGGAAAAGCGTGGCTTTTTAAAGTAGCCCTTGTAGGTGGGGTCCGCGAAATTGGCAAATAGCTTGTCACAGAAACCTTGATCCGTTCCAGACGGTAATCGCGATTCCTAAAACAATGTCATCATCCATCGTCCCTCTCCACATTTAGTGCTGCTCTCTTTCCTCGGAGGTACTGTCGTCATCGCCTCCGCCAACCAGAGTCCTTTTACGTACCTCATCCAAAAGCGACAGGATACCCATTCGTGCTTCAATCATTTCAATACATCGCTGGTTATCGCTAAATTCGATAAACTGCCAGTCGATTTGTTCTTTCACATATTCCTAATAAACCAAACATTGATTCATAAAGCATCAGTCAATATAAGCTATGTCATATAATCACTGTTTCTTATTACCTCTTGTTCCAATTTAAATACGTGTTGATTAAACTAAATTGTCCAGAAGGGTTCGCATTAGCCCGTCAATAATTATCATCACACGCTAGACCATATATGGCATAATTCCTTTGATAAGTGGATCGCCGTACCTGTTGCTGGAGCTTTTCGTTTGCATAATTGATACAAAACTGCTCAAACGAATTCTTTTTGAAATGCTCAAAACCATAGATATCCAAGACACCGATAAACGTATTGACCAAGTCGGGTTCCTGACACGACAAGCTTTCATTGACCACACTGACGAGCCACTCGAACAAATTGGCATAGACATATTTGGCGACCGAATCACGCACGACCGTCGCTTGCGCAGGACTTAGGTTCTTTACGATCTTGTCGGATCGAGTGACGATTTGTCTCTTGATGAGCCATTTGCGGAACTCGGACGTCTTGATACCGAGTAGTTTTGTCGCAGTCATCAGGGCTGGTTCTGAATCGCTCAGCGCGGCTGTATCGCCTCGTCCGCCAATTTCAATGTTACCAATGTGGAGCAGTGCTGCCAGCAGCCGGAAGATTTGCCATTGAGTTTGTAATGAGATGCCCACCATAGAAAGACTGTTCTTGGTCAGTTCAAATTCTTCAGCATCGTTCACGCCAGGAACAATGCCTGTGCCACTTTGGTTCAGGTAGTGGAATTTGGTCCAGTCCTTGAGATCGAATTCTTTACGTTCTGATAATGGAATGCCGGCACAAAGCTAATGAATCTCTTTTTATTTTAGTACGTGTATAATCGCACAATGAACATAGCCTGTCTGTCGGGAAACCTCCCTCCCCTTGTCCACCTTCCTTTCCCATTGATAGCGTTTACATCTAATGGCGGCCACTCTCTTTCGCGACTGCTGCCCTCATGATCCTTTCCACTCAAAGTACTATTAACGAACCTGATAGAAGATATGGTAGTTTCGTTCGGTCTCTGGCTGGAAAATCAGACGAGATCGTTCCAATAAATAGGTTCTGATTTTGGCACCGACGATATTGCATTTTTTGTCGAATTGGATCTTATGAACGTAATCATTAAAAAGGGTTTAGTCCTTGCAGTAGAAATATCAACTTTGCAGTGAGACTTTATTGTCTATTGATGCGGCTTACTCACCTCGATGTATTTGCCGAAGCGCGAACTGTTGTCATTTCGAGTTGTCTTGGCGTTACCAAATGCTTCCATAATAGGATTCGTGGCTAATGCACACAGAAAATAACAATTCGGACGGGGTTAATACACTCTTTTCTTTAGGAGGTCGTTCACGGTGAAAGAAAAAAAGAAAACGACTTTTTTTTTACCCAAGATCTGTTCTTCAACCTCGGTCATGCCTCCAGCAGTCATCTTAACCGTCTTACTAACAGCTTCTTTATCATCCGCAGTAGCAAAGTATCGCATAATGTACTTGGCGCTCACCGTCTTACCGGCACCACTATATAAATCATCACACACGTGGAACAGATAAGCGCCTCCGCCACGCAATATAACACGCACGCAAACCTACGCATCAGTCCTTCTCGCCTATTTCCCCGCCCTTTTTTTTGGGATGTACCTCTCACCAGAAACAACAATAGTTTGGTTCTGCTGTTCTCGGATCATCTGACGATAAGCATCCTCGGCAATAGCGAACAAGTGAGGCTCCAACTCGCCTCGTCGTCGTCCAGAGTACTGTTGGATGATATCGGGTTCATACAGTTGAACGCGCGCAAACGGGTTCGCGGCAATCAAGACGATACCCGAGTATGTATAAATGTTGTGTTGCATATATCGAGTGCGGATCGTGTTCAGCACTATTATTCATGCATATAATGCATCACCATCGTTGTTGTTGTTGTTGTTGCCACCGCGATGAATCAGTAAATCTCGTGATCATTTCAGTTTACTGCTGCTATTATTTATTTTCTTACCGGAAGGTTCGTTAAGATAACTCAAATTGGTCAGATCATCCGTGTTCTCCATCTTTGGCGGGTTTCGCAAAGGTGGCAAATCGGCGCCTTGAGTTTTTTCCAAAAGCTTCAACGACGACTCATAGACATGATCCTATCAGATATATTGCAGCCAGCATAAATAGGCTTTTTTTAGTCTTGCTGCCGCTACAAAATATCAGGGCTATACATGACAAGAAGATAAAAAGAAGTTGCAGTTTACTCTTGACTCGTCCTCATCGTTCTGGAACACAATCTTGACTCCGGTATCAGTTACTTCTTTGCTCAGCACAGTTGCAGAAATCCACGCCTCGCCATCTTCGGCGTCATCTTTAATCCAGGCTTTGATTCCCTTTGTATAGACTTCCACAGCCTGTTGAACAGGCGCTGATAGTGCGTCCATAGTCATAATATCGTCGTCGAGATTCTCTCTCTATATATCCAAAAACCTTTTATATGAAAAAAAATTCTATATATAGTTCTTTAGCACAAAGTTGCTCAGGAACGTAAATACCAATGCACCTCCACCCCACAATTACATTTTTATTATGTTATACTGACTTTAGATATTTATACGTTCCAAATGCAACGCGTTTTTTTTTACAAGAGAGAATGAAAAGAGAGAGAGAGAGATCTCGGAAAGCAAAGAAGAGGTATAAAAAAGAGAGAGAGAGAGAGAGAGGAACCGGAAGCCGGTGTAACGGGCCGAGCAATAGCTTTTTAGGAAAGGGCCGTTTCTGACATTTAACCTTGCGGGAACAAGCCAAGCCCAGTTTCATGGTATATATGTCATTTTCGCCCAACCTTCACTCCCTTCAGAGTCAGGTGGAGGGGATGGTGAGGGAGGGACATACCCAGTGTTGACAACATTTGAATGCAGATTAGAAACAAGTCCTTTTACCTGGCAGATACTTACTGGTGCGTTTGCTTTGAAATGATCGCTTATGCAGAGGTGGCTCTGCAGTTATCATCTTATATAAATGGTGGCAGCCAGCTACCTGATAAATGTTACATTTTAAAACAAATATTAGGCCACGACGCAGAATGTAAGAGGGGGACACTAGAATAACACGCAAAATGGACACCTAACTAATGTATTATCGTCAGAAACTAACTCCATCATAAGCTTACATGATCCTGCTGCTAGTGTGAATATCACCAAAAGTATCTATTGTGCGGTAAGCCCAACTAAATATATACAGTATTAAACATGCTCTGTGGGCTGCCAAGAACGCTTCTGTTTTTCTTCAGGGACTATTATAACTAAAGCATCAAAGCGGTGATAGTGATGGCTCTGGTTGCTACATACTGATTCCTTTTTCTAAAAACCGTTCCGATAGCGATGTTGATACCTCCGCGCAATTCTGCACGACTTAATCATTAATTCAAGTATGGTATGGAGGTCGTCACTACTGGCACATTGCATCCGTCCAAGTTGTTGCCGTTGTAGTTGATCCAGTAATGCTTTGTACTACTGCTTTTGTAAAAAACTGAACGTTTGCTCCATTTAATGTACGGATGATAATGTCACATACAATATTTAGTCACTTCACGTAAGTCTGACCCGATCCGATATCTTCAAAGATGTCTCCAAATAAGTAACTTCCTTGACGGATTCAGCTCTAGCAAAGCCAAACCAAGAAGAGCCACTACAATTTTTACCATAATCTGTCTCATCTCCACTCACTATGGACATGTCGAACAGTTCCTTTGGCGTAGAATAGAAGGATCCCTGGCACACTATTGCGACTGGCGCTTAATAACATGATCCACAACAACAATAGCAAGAAGAACGTGATGGATTACCTTTATGAAGTTATCAGAGTGATCTACGACGAGAACCCTTTTATTCTGTTCACTAAAGTAGTATATATCAGCTTTTTCACTGGTAGGAGTACGTGACGAACGTCTAAATGAATCATAGTGGTGGTTTCGTTTTAGTAAATGAAGGTGGTGGTCTGTGCGACATGTTTTGTTGCTGCATAACGAAGAAACAAAAGGATCGATCAGTTTTGGAGGCACGAGAGCAGATGCACAGTGCAAGCTTTTCTTCAATGCTTTAGAAGAAACATCACCAGCAACAGTAATGGCAACAACAACAACTAAAAACATCAGGCCACGGAGATTTTAAAAAAGTCGCGTTTATTACAATCGTCAGTCGAGCAGCCCAAGTACAGACACGTCAAGTTGCATTGCTCAAGAGAGTAAGAATGAAACAAGGCAAAGTCAACAAAAGTTTATTAAACACAAGACAATTCTGTTTTTTGTAGATGACCGGCTTGCGTAAATCCTTCGTTCACCAAGGGACGTTGCCCTCCTTTGTTATCCACGAGCCTCGTTTCCTGGCTGAGCCTACACCTTCAAAGTTCCTACGAATTGAAAAAAGCATACTTTCCAAAGAGAAAATATTAGGAGATCTGTCAATATTGGAAGATCCACGCACTGGGGCTCTCTCGGCTTCAATAGAAAGAAAATCGAAATGTACAAAGATGAAGAGGGCATAGTCGTTCGCAAACAGCTATCATTAAGCACTCTTCACTCGGCACATCCGCTAAGACACTAGTCCTGTATAAAAATAAAGGTAAAGTTGATAAAAGTGGCCAATGTACGTCAAGATCAGTAACGAATTACTGATTCTCCTGCTTGAACGTACACCACTTTGGGCCATGAAGGTGGTTAAACCCTCTGTGGTATTCTGCACCGCAATTGGTGAGGTTTATTTCCACATCCGTGGACAACGATAAGCTCTTGGGGCCGCTGAAAAATCCCGTAGACCTGAACCAGGTAAATATATACCCGGTAAAAAAAACGTCACATCGTTACGATACCCAAATCACCTACCTATAACCATTCGATGTCATGAAAGATCAGAAAAAGAGATATGTTTAGAGAAAGATAATAATAGTTAAAGCAAATATGCATGTGTCTATGGGAGGTGTATATGTGTAAGTGTGAATTGTTTGTGTTTATATATGGCGTGTATGGCGATTGTAATCGCGCCACGTTCTTAGCAAGTTGCGTCTTCTTCGGAAAGTGATGTTGGCTTCGAGATAGGCATCGACTGCATCGTCATCCAGTGACTGTTGGAAGTCCTGATACTGCTCGACGGACACAACACGCTCATAGTGTGCCGAAGCAGATTCAAAACTTTCCGTTGTTTCTTGTAATTGCGCTATCAACTCTCGTTGACGGGCGCGGAGACGCTGCATTTGGCGCTCCCAACGCAGGCGCTGATGCTCTTGATCATCGATGATTGTCTCGGTCAAATCAATGATATTAAATTGTTGTTGTGTTTGTACGCGAGATCGACGAATCAAAATAAGTGGTTCGTCTTCTTCTTCACTGTCCGTTTGCGGCGGAGCGGTAGTGGTAACAGTAGCTGTAGTAGCATTAGCAGTAGTAGTGGCGTTGGTAGTGGTATACGTGTAGTAGTCGGTGTTGTAGTAGTGACAATGGCGGCAGCACCTCGTGAACGATGATGTTCGGCAAGATACTCGTCCAGCGCCATATCTTTGAAAACATTTTCATGGAGCTGGTATGCGGATAAGCAAAATAGTAATGAAAGGATAGTAGAAGATGCATATTAATAAAAGAAGTTAATAATATCGGTGCTGTAATTGATAGGCAGAATAGAGATAATTTATTGTTAGCCTACCGGTCGTATGCGAACAAAGGGGATTGTGCTTTGCCGTTGAATAAAGAATGTGTTGGGGGCAATCTGCCCAAAACCAGAACGGAAGACAAGATGCTTGCAAATCATGTACCGACTTGATAGATAACTGCTGCAGCCACAGATCCAATTATTGACCGATGGCTGGTAGATAGTCTCGGTTGCTAAATTTTCTGTTCGGCCATACAGCTTTTTCCATGCACGGGTAAACATCTGATGCCAACGGGTCGCAGAGCGAGAACGAACAGTATCACGGTTGAACTTGTGACGAAGATTAGGGAAATGTCGCGCAACAATCACGTATACGAGCAGGTCTAGTCGTGCTCGGTTGAATTGGTGCAAATGATTACGTTTCAAAACCTTCCAATGCGCTTCAATCAACATTGTTGTTTTTCATGCTGGGATACGGTCTGGAATACTGCTGCGCGCCCATTTTCTCCAAGTAGACGGCTGATACCAATTGCGGTATAGATATATCCAGGCATCTATGTATATCTTTGTGACGCAAAACATGTAGACTTCTAAGGTAGCAAGCTGATGGATTTGTTCGGCTGTGCGTTGTACAGTACCTATACAGAAAAATCGCTACGATTAACTTAAGTCATATTATATATATAGAGTAACTCGGTCAAAGATGTGAGACAAACGCGAAGACATTACCATCTGGGATCAAAGGATGTTGGTGATGATGTTTTGTCATGAGCGAAACAATATGCTGACGATCCTCTTTTCGACAAATGATCCCAGTACGACCGCCGATAGATGGTGTAAAATGCATATCGACGAAGGGAAAATCTTCTCGTGCTCGATGGACATTGTATGCAGGTAGGATTCTGCTTTTGTCCTCGGCCAGTTTTTTATCCACTGACCGTTGCATATGCCAGAGGCAAAGGCGCAGTCGTGATTGTCCCCATACGCCCTCGATAGCATTCATCTGTGCCGCATCTTTATCCGAGAACATGAACGAAGGATCAAATCCGTCTTCCTTTAGTTGACCGAAAAACTCTGTAAGAGTTTCGGTCTTGGTCAAAGGTCCAGCCTCACGGAAGCCATGGTAGACCAAGTACGCGATGGGATACCCAACACCATTCACATTGGCGATTATCCCAAACAGCTCGGAGCCAGCACGATTTGTTTTGTAAGTCGAATCGATGCAGTACTCCTCCACATACTCGCACCCAACCAACAAAGAGAAAAGCGGAGTTACGAAACCAAATGCACAGACTTCAAAAGTATTCTTCCAAAACACCTAGGATTTATCATCGTTGTATAAGATACTAGATACTACATGCTACCTAATATTACCTTTTTTTGTCGCTCATAGAGCAGAACAGCTCACAAAGCAAAGGCTAGGTTCATATGTTAGGATTCTAATATAATACGTACCTCGCGAAATCCTTGATTGCGGTATTTTTCGACGACGAGCTTTGAGGATATCATTTGATCGTCGTTGAGGTGGTACTCGCTCTTTAAAGTCTCATGCCACCAATAGTAGACTTGCATTGGCGTAACATCCGAACCAGGAAAAAGGACAACAACTTCTTGGTACAGATCAGAGGAATTCGTAAGAAGCGCTCTGCTTTGAATATGGCTTCGGACGTTGCAGGCACAGGGTTACGTGGTGACGGATCAGTACCGACACGTTCGTGTTCTGAGTGGGTAATTGACAGCTCCACATAACCGAGGGCTTTCTTGACGGTGCCTCTAATACGGCCACCACAACAAAATGTGGGCATTCGCTTGGTCAAACGCTGGCGCTCTGCTGCAGGAAGAGGATTCAAAAAAGTCTCGGATCGAGAGCAGTAAGCCGTGAACGAGATGTCGCGAGAGAGAGAAGGATCACCAACATTTTTTCCAATATAGTGGTAGCCATCCAACTGTTCAATTCTTTCGATGCCGTTTTCGTTCTTCAATTTCAATTCCGGATCGATACAGATGTAGCCGGTAAACTCGTAAACCTACAATAAAACAAATAAATAAACATGTACGGAAGCAGTTATGTAAGTGGTTACTTCCAACATACAACTTCTTCATGGTCGTTCTCGTATTCTGAAAAAATCGGATAGTGATCCGGCAAATCGTCCAGAAACACCATTCGGTCGAGTGCAACGCGCTCACGAGGAGTCGCATTTTCACGACACGCAATGCAAGTCAAGTAAGGCCTGGTACGTCCGAGAAAATGCGTGCCTTCACGTGTCTTGCGGCAATCAGTACACTTGTACTGTCCGATTTCGCTAAACCTGCCAGCATTACGAGCCTCGCGTACGGTCGTAACCGAGTCGGAGTGAGTACTATCGTTGATTACTGTAATGTTAGGAGTAGCAGCGATGGTGGAGTTACTGTTGTTCATTTTAATGAAGTAGAGGGAAAGAGAAGGAACGAGAAACAAATACAAGCCTCTTTTTTTTAAGAGCAATAAGCATTCAAACTCCCCGAGCAATATATTATAGACTAGGATCCCATTTGTATCACATGTAGATTACTATTTTTAGCAATAGAATGATTCTCATCATGTATTCTATACATCTCTTACTTATAAATAACTGACATTATACCTCTCTATTGCTGTTTTTCGAAATCTAAGTAAAATATCATGTTTTTTTTTTCGCTCGGATACATGTTTTACCGAAAGAAAGCTACGGGATTTTTCAGCGTCTCCTATGATTCCTGTGGACAACGGGTCTGTCATCTTCTGAAGCCATGCTGCTTCACGTCAGCATTACCTGTGCAATGTAAACGCTCGCCCCACCAATTTGGCCGGCTCCTGTGAGGTTTTGCGCTTGCTTAAATTTTCTTAAACTTGCCTCTTGTCAAATCAATCCAGGATTATATCGAGATTGTGTGTTGTAACGCCAAACGCTGTGATCTTTCTGAAAGAAGTTTGAGCTACATGTTTCCTCCAAAGTCTCTGTGTGCCACCAGCTAGCTGTTCAAAGAGAGGGTATATAGTTTGAAGGGCTTTCCGCAGAGGCTTACTTGGTAGATACCCGAGCATCTGCTTGCCGCTTATATATAAGCCCACGCCAACTTTCTAACAATAAATGAGCAGACTAAAGAAGAACCGTGCACAGATGATGATGGTAATAAGGATCATCAGCTTCAAAGTACACAATGTATTTACAGTTTTGATCTATCAATTACATACGCTAAAAGGCATGATACATATAATATACACTGAAAGCTATGACTCTCGTTTCTTGGTTTGGGGTGAAGCACGCTCATTTGCTCCTGACCAATCGAGTGGTGATTTCTTATCCTCGGTCTCCTTGCTCATCTCCTTCATTTCATTCTTGGGATCCACCGTAGATGGATCGAATGCCGTATCTGTTTCTTTTATTTCATCTGTGGAGGCCGACGTTGCTTGTGTGGTTTCATTGTATGGTTTGGTGGCCTTTTTCCCTTTAATGTCTTCGGTCACGGATCCCTCCTCTTCCTGTCCTCTTCCCTGCCCTTTGCTGCTCGTGAAGGCCGGTGTGGATCGATGGATGGCACGTCGACTGGTGGCATATAAATACTGATTAATAATGGTTGCGGCAGAAGTAGTAGAGCGTTGCATTGCGTTTTAGACAAGAGATAAAAAGAAAACGTAGAAAAGAAATGGCATTATATACAGAAATTTGTAGCCAATAAATTGTTCCGAAACAATGACATGCAATCATGCAGACGTCATGATAATCGTTATGCGTTTTCCATTCCGACGGTCGTGCTGTGTTTAATATGCAGGGCCGTAACTGTAACTATGCTACTACTACTACTACTACTACTACTACTACTACTACTACTACTACAATATCAACTTGGCTCGGGAAGGTACTTCCTCTGAGCTGGCAATTTCCTTTACATCGCTACTAAATCTATATAGTAACTAGCAGCTCGCTCATTTACGTTTCAATAAAAACACACTCTTCGACCCTACCGATTTACTGAGAACTTACGCTATTCATTGATTCTCCGTATTTGTACGTTTGTCACTTCGATTCCAAAAAGTAATAAATTAGTATACAGGGGCATGCAGCATAATCAGTTCATCCATTAAAATATAAGAAGAAAACAAACAAAACCAATAGTGCTGATCCTTTCTCTTATTCCATCGATATCAGCAAAAACAATAGCATTTCCAAGAATCGTAGTACAGTAGTCGAGGTTGTAGTTGACATGATAGCCTTAAATCCTACAAGATTTAGTGTCAAATAAGTAAATTTCTATTTGATGCTGCCTTTCTAGGAACCGTTACACCAATTATCAACTTAAATATTACATACTACAAGTTGATGTAAACAATTGCACAAGCCCAGACAAACCTTTGGTTTATTGTCAACTGAAAATTGTCGAATAAACGAATGCTATTTGATCTCAGTGAATATTAGGGCCGTTCATTGCTAAACATTAGTAAATCTGCCTTGTAAATTGGGGAACATTTAGGTATATGAATTAATAAGGCGAGTGTATTATTTTGTTGCAGTGGTCGATGTGTATGATATCTATACCGGCAAAAGATTGAAGTAAGAGAGGGATTGGATTTATAGGAGGAGAAATCAACGGGTGGCCTCTGCATGTACTTCAAATATACTTGTTGTCCTTCTGCACAATATTAACCCAGGCGCTTCAATACAGATTGATGCGCTTTTACGAAGGAATACGCTCGTGATATGCGCTACTGATCCAAACAATCCCTTATTACGTTTTGACCAAAAAACGCGATAGTAGAGTAACCCAAAATCAGCACTCCATAGATAGTAACGCCTCTCTAAGCTAGTAGAGGTCGTGATGGGAGACCAAAGCACCGTTTTCTCTCCACCAATAACGAAACGAAGAAAAACGAAGCATTTCTCGCTAGTCTAGCCAAAGCTTCATGGAGCGTTTCGTGTTCACAGTGTGTTTCTTACAGTATATTCGGTTACAACACACTTCAACATAGCTTAGAAGACTGTGTGTAGTACTGCAGACTGTTCGCATAGCTAGTATATTAGATGATAGTAGGATATTTTTTATTGTATAGATTATTAAAGAGAAGTTTAGGTCAAAATATATACTCCCATTAGAGCGGTATAACAAATTCAAAGAGGCAGAAATAAACCAACACACGCTTTTTCTAGGGGTGAAAAGAAAAAAGAAAAGAGAAATTACAGCAAATATATAGATACAAAAACCAAAGAAAATAGAGAATAATATAAGAGGAAAGGAAATTGGGATGTGATGGAAAGGAGGAGTATTATATCAGAATTATAGGAGGGGCTAGTTTACTTGCGATCAGGCGATCGATACAACCAATCAGTGACCATGCGCTCACGACCTGGACCAACATCCGAAGTGTCGATGGCAGGAGGGAGAGGAGGGGCCTGTTGATATCCAAGATTGGCACCAGGATCACCGCCAGTTGTACCAGCGTGTCTCGAAGCAGTCGTATCATCGTGGTAGTCGCTGACATCGTACTCGCTTCGACCATCCTCATTATTCCGATACCCACCCGGAGACAACGGATTGTTACGCGATGGAGGTATCGGCTGCATGGGGTAGTCGCTATACGCATCCGAGTGGGTTGGCGTATTGTAACGCGTCGTGGATGGCGACGACGGCTGCTGAGGATGTCTTGGGTCAACCATAGAAAACACAATCGATTGGCTGCTATACGGATCTTCTACCGACACATTGCGATTGTAGCCCGGGTTAGCAGCCGAGGATGTCAAGGGGACACCTTCCGTGCCGATCGACGGCGGATAATCGACATTGATGGGCGACATGGCGCGCATAAAGACACCGCTGCCATTGTTGGCTTCAGCATGGTTTTGATAATGGTGAGGATCGGATGCAAACGTGGCGCCACCATCGGGCGAAGTGGGCTGTTGATATTTCTCGCTTCCGTACTGAGCAGGAAGAGGTGGCTGGCTGTTATTCATGTTATCGCCTCCTCGGTTACTGATAAAGTTGGTAATGCGCTGGCTCAAGGGTCGGCTGTTGTTGGTTGTCGTAGCGGCAGTTGTCATTTCCATATCGTTTTTGGAGTGTTGGAATTCCGACTCCTGGCCAGATCTGCTCGCGGTGGTATTCTGCGGGGAGGTGGCGCTGCGGCGTGGATGGAAAATGGAGATCTGCAACGAAAAATACATGTTAGTCCCCAGTATCCATAGTTAGAGATTGAGCGCGAAGGCACGTACAAAGAGAAGCCATAAAAAGACGATGCCCATGTTGACGTTGGCGATCAGCAGATCACATGCGAATTTATTTGTGTTGATGGTCATGGATTCTGTCAAACCATCTGCACAGAGGATAACAAAGCAGGCGCCATAGATGAAGAGGATGACGGTGAGGATGATGTTCATTTCCTTAAAGTAGGACAGACGGTTGATGATGGCGTTGGTGGTGGCGCCTGCCTTGTTCCGACGCGATGCTGCAATGATACGCTTGAAGCGAAAGTTCGAACGGATGCCCAAAGCTGCTGTGATCAAAACTGTTTGGTGCGCAAAAAAAAAAAAGTTTTTGGGTTGTTAATTTAAACTTTGCCTCTCCGCTTTTGCATATGTGGGATTCCAACCATTCGAATCAAGTTACCTTCACCACCATAGGCCAGCTGTGGCACAATCTCGCTCAAGTACTCGTCGTTCCGGAAGCGCCATTGAAGCACGGGGAACATGGCAACACTGCCCAGGGCCCTGGATTTATACAGTTTATATGAATGGGTGTGGTGGCACACGTTATTATTGTTCTTGTATTATTAGAGGATGCATATGCTGAGTTTGGATGATATGTGTGTGTGTGCCCTTGTGCAACGTCAAGACGCATTCACACACACACACACACACTCTCTCTCTCTCTCTCTCTTTAGACGCAAAAACCAAGAGGAAAAGACGACGTACCAAATGATATAGAACTTGAACTCGAACGAGCCCATGAAGCTCTTTTTGGCGACGCTGTTCGAGAGGTAGTTCCAGAAGCACTGCATGAGGAAAAAGACGCCCGTGTGAAATGCGAACGTGATGCACTGGAGATAGTTCATTGCCTAAATCACAACTTTTGTGAGTGGGATGCTGCTTCCAGGAAGAGTGTGGCAGACAGTGCGGCCTGTGACACCAACAATTATCTCCATGGTAAGACAATCCAGGGCGTCTCTTTCTTTCATTCCAATCCCCCTCTCTTCGCCGTACACAATGTAACATTTGTGCACGGTTCTCGCTTGTACGATATTCCAAGCACCATACATACCTGCACGGGCTTCTGAAGGTTGGGCGACCAAAGATCGTAAGGCTTTTGGATGATGCTGCCTGAGGGTAGCACCACGAATCCTTCTGTGTACTTTACATACGTTGAAAAGAAGTCTATCCGGTCCTCGCAATGAGTGTCTCACTCTTTCTCTTAGAGCTTGGAACGTGATAGCCGAGAAAGATACTTTACCTACTATTGCTTGGGTCGTCATCATAATAAACATAAGTAATGTCAGAATACTACGCAGCTCGCCCGCAATGATCTTTGAGAACCGTAGACAGCGGAAGCGATCATTGTGCCAGACGCTGTAGACGAGGTAGACTGTGATATAGACATCAAGAGTGGCTCGCTCTGTGTTGGTTATATTGCAGAAAAGGTTAAATACACAGAGTTGGCGGTGGTGATAGTTAGTGTCGTTGTCAGCGTTCATATAAGACTGGTTGGTTGGGCGATACGATAATTACCTACGTATGAAAAATCACTTTATAGAGAGAGAAGACGATCAGACACCTCTTCGCGCGCGATACGGGTAGTTTAATTAAAAGAGGCGTACCTGAGGTGAGTCATGGGCAGCGAAAAGAAGTTTTATTTTCTTTTTATTATATTGTTTTTTGGCGCCAAAAAGGAACGGTCGAGGGGAGAAGGAAAGGAAAGAAAGGATATGGTTGAGAGGAAGCGGAAGAGGGAGAAAAAGGGAAAGAGAAGAGAGAGAGCGAGAGGTGATGGACCGATTCGTTCGCCACGAATTATATGGCTTGGACGATGCTGTGCGACCCTCTATCTGGGATACCTGCTCTTCTTCTTGTTCTTCCTCTTCTTTGGCCCTTGCACACACTGCGGGAACGAACGGCGCAAGCAAGGGCCTCTTTCCTTTCTTTTGACTTGCCGACACGAGCGTGCATGCCTAATCAAGATGGCATGGCTGAGCTCCAAATGCTCGAACTGCTCTCCCATAAAAGGAAAGTCCATAACTCCCCCCCTCTCTCTCTCGCTCTCCGCTTCTATTTATTGTCTTACTTATACCCGACCTGTTCTTCCTCTTTCCTTCGTTCTTCTTCTCCCTTCACCAACACTTCTTTTTCAAAACATGCAGCGCCTCACATTCGTTTTCGCCCTTGTCGCTGCCCTCACAGCCAATGTTCACGCATCGTCATCATCATCATCATCATCTGCATACGACGACCTCCACCAACTGTTCAAACGGGACGCCGAGAAGCTGCCCTACGACACGCTGCCCGATACCAACTGCACACAGCCCACCGCTTGCTCCAGCATCTCCCAGCCCGTCTCCGAGTGCCGCTGCAGTCCCTTGCTGACCATCTGCAGAAACGACAATGGCGAGTTCTGCTGGGGCTCGCAGACCTTGAATCAGGACCAGGGCTGTCCTGCTGCTCCCGACTCGTGCAGCAGCGCAAACCTCAACGGCACCTCGTCCTGTCTCTGCAACAGCGACACTGTCCTCTGTGTCGACAACTACAGACACTACTGCTATGGCTCCTATGAAGGCTCCGGCGCCCAGGCGTCTGTCTCAGTCCAGGCTTTCCCTTCGGATGGCGCTGCTCCTTCCTCTGCCGCAAGCGATGATGCCTCGAGCAACGAGTCCAACGAATCCTCGGCCTCCTCCATCACCGCTTCGTTCCTTGGCACTGCTGCTGTTGTAGGCACTGTTGTATCGCTCTCCCTCTAAGACCCCATCCTTCTTTTTTTGATGTATCATTATCAGAACACCAGCAATGGACCCTTCTCCCCTTTACTTGTCCTCACATAAACAGCAATCAAACACGACACTCGCTCATTCACTCAACCCTCAGAAATCCCACATTGAACATACTTTTATATACATAAAATTACACATATACACGTTCTCGTCATAACACTTCAGAGGTCTCGTATCGTGTGGGCTTGTCTAGATAGAGGAGTAGAGAGCGGCTATCATCCATGAAGTTACTTATTTTCTGGATACAGCCAATTAAAGAAAAGGCCCTCGGTGTAACCTCAGACAGTTTGATGCTCAATTTACTCTATCGTTGACCTTACCGAATTTGCTCATCTTCAATCAGCAACCGACCATACATTCATTTGCGTAACCTTGACGATGGTCCACCAGCAGCTCCCCAATTAACACCCCCCCCTCCTCCCTTGCCAATGAATTTCTTTTCCTTCGTTCCAGCCCGTATATCCTCTCCATGTTGGTCCTCACCCGAGAAAACAAAAATAACCGATGCCAACACGTATCTCAGCTCCTCCTGGCCAGACCCTTCTCCCACTTCTACATGCTGCTGCAAAAGGAGTGTGCACGTTTCATCATACAGAGCCTATTTTAAGCACATCCGAGAGTCCACTATTTGCTGCTGTAGATGAATTCTTTGCTATTTTGAGCAAATCTATCCAATTAGTTGCATAATACACTTTCTGGAACAGAGAAAGTAGCACACACTTAACGCATGTAAATAGCCCGTAGTAGATGAGGACACTGATTTGGTAGCCTGACCAGACTTTCAGGTTTGGCGGTTGCTGCCAATTTTCTTTTCCTTTTTCGTGTTATGTTGGGCGCTCGCATACTTTAATGCCATAATCAGGTACTGCACGTCCATATATATATACACGCATGATGGTTTGACAACTGACCCGCATAATCTATTACTGTCCATATGGTAATTGCTTATTAAAAGTGACAAGACAACCAAGTCAAAAATTAGCTCCGCTACCGGCTTTTAGGAAAAGAAGGCTACAGCGCCGAAGGCATGGAGCAAAGAGAAAAGGACCATGGTGATAGGAGGACTTCTTGTTGATTTGGATGCAACTCGAATGGAAACAAACACGGCCGTGTCCATCCTCTCCGACTCCTAGTAGATTCCATCACATTTTACATTTCAAACATAAGGTTGATGGAAGGGCCGTAGGACCATCAGCCCAATAGTATCTTTCAAAGGAGTCCTGTTTAACCTTAAACTTCAGTAGATAAAAGATGCAAGGCTCTACTTGGTATATTATCTTGGCTGCGCGTCCTGGCCAAGAGTCAACTGCGTTATGTATCAGCGGAATAGGAAATGATGACAGAAATTGACAATCTAAATTCATGAATCAACACGTTTAGTAGAGACAGAGATGTGATATGGATTCTTACAACTTGCCTCGCCCTCACTGTATTCTTGGCGCACACATTCAGCTGTGGAGCTAATTTGCTGTGAGCTGGCTAACGGTCCATAGTGTCTTGAGTGCTTCCATGACACCGATGTGACTCTGAGGCGTCGCAGGAAACATGTGCTGTCTCATCAAAACGATAGGAAACGAGTGTTTAGTTCCTCAGCTGCGATCTGCGCACATTTATAGTATGCACTATGATAAAGTTGGGCATATATTCTCACATGTCGCATGCACAAGAGTACGCATGTTAAATTCTATCTTTCATATAAATTTACGCATACTTCATTGGAAAAAGCAAAGGACCTCTGCCTTCTTTTTGATAGAACAAGAGCATGGTTCCACATTAGCAATTAACTCCAATTAAATCGCATAATTTCCTTTTCCTAGCTCACACGCCGCGTTATGCCGCTGCTAATGCTTTTATCACCGAACCGTAGAGCGATCCTTCCTGGGTGTAATTTCTGATCAATACGCCAGAATCTGTTGCCGATTCTTGCTTTGTTGGTGTTCATGTATAGCAGTTGTTTCCGGGCCTACATGCTCGTTGAGCCCAATAATATTGTTGCAATTGCTGCTTAGACTTATCTGAAATGACAAAACAACTGATATCGCATTTTGTTGAAACCAAGTTGAAACCAAGGTAGTGTCACAATCTCGTTCGACGGGGTCGTACAGAATGATTTCTGCAGAGTCGCTGTCACTGCTAAATGACATTTGCGTCGGGACCCATTACTTTTCTTTCCTTGTTCTTGTTATGACAACGTTTAGGTCTTTCAAAGCCTGTTGGAATAGAAAATGATGAGCGAAAAACTAGAATCTGGCTGTACCGGAAAACATTTAGCAGTTGCGATTGTTTTGTTTCACTACCGGTTTGCTTCCATGAGGTTGAAACCGCTTGTTCGCGCATAATTTATCCCTGGAATGTTAGGCAAGTGGTAACATCCTAAAGAACTGTCCAGTCGCCGTACTAGCATTGATGTCTGGCATAACATTTTCACGAGAGCCAGTATAAAAGTAGCCGTGACAATAGGCCGTATTATGGTCAATTCCACGTTCGAAGAAGGGTGTATCATAGTTGATCGACAGTTAAGTAAGGGTGAAGTTAATGCTGACATGAATGAACATCTTTATATGATGTGGTAGGGACTCACCACCAACTATGTATGTCTCTCAATTGCCCAGGATGTAAAATCCCATGCGCTTATCAATATGTGAAAACTCAATAACAAATGTAACCATAGCTGCCAAAAACTTATATCGTGAGATGCTAAGAGTGATAAGCAATATTTTGAAATGAAAAGGAAAAAAGAAAAAGGACAGAGTGTAGCTAATACATATATACGTTTTACAAAGAGAGAAGAATGAGTATACAAGCACAAGTAGGACGAAATCTCGGATAATAGTGGTGATAGCTGGGTTGGTGTGAAGAGAGAAAGAGACGGGTGTGTGTTTTTACTGACTGTTTCTCGGTGTTTGTGTTGTTGACATGTTATTGCTGTTGGTGCTATTATGGATGGTGGTGGTGTTGATGCTGGTGTTGCTACTAAACATATCATTTGCTAAGGATGCAGCAGTCATAAAACTGCCATTAGCACTATTACTGTTCGAGCGACGTTGCCTCGATGTACCGCTGCTAAGGTTGCTGCTACTTGTCCGTTTCTTTTTTAAATCATAGACCCGGATACGCTCCAACAGGGGCTTGCCCTGATGCTTCTTGGTAACTGCATCCAAACATCGCGCGTGCCAACGGATCCGCTCCTTGGGCCAGTTTTCAATAATCATCTGATGCGATCCATTTTCCGTCTCTTCAAATTGAAGCGACTCGTGTCGATAAAACACCTTGACTGTTTGCTCAATATCCCGTCCCACTGCTTCATAGTATCGTGATAATGTAATCCAGTCTTCTCGTCGCCACGGTTGTGTTTCGTCGGCCTTTTGCACTGTCTCAAAGCTTGCAAGACTTCTCGTTCGTCGTGGATCGGTATGAGGCGTTTTGAATGTCCCCGTAGTTCCTGTTTCTGTTTCTGCTGCTGATGCTCCTAAAAGTGGGGATTCGTGTATTGAAGAAGTTGTCGGCAAGGATGGTGGTAATGCCGTGTGGGCACGCCGCAGTGGTGTGCGTAAGCCTTCACTACGATGTGACGGCGACCGTGCTGCTGCTGCTGCTTCTCCATTACTTGCTGCTGCTCCTGACGCAGTTGCAGATCGACGAGGAGAAAGCAGCGAATAATGTCGACGTAAAGGATCACGCAGATCCGGCGTTGCCGACCGGTGTGGACTGTTGCTGCCACTAGGTGGTGTTGATGATAACAATTTTGGAGACAAAATGGTTACAGTTCAATTTTGGGTTTTTTTTGGGGAAAAAAAAGAGAGAATTGGTTAATGTACGAAAATAACAGCGAAAAGAAAAACGTGTATGTGCGTGTCTATTGTTGCTGGGAATACATATGCAGAGCGTATTTTGCTCGAATACTAGTGCCGCTTCTCTTATTTGCGAAATTCTCTTACACATAAGGTCACGCCGTTTCTTTTTCTCTTTTGCCTTTTTGTTCCCAAAATGTAAACAATACTGCATTGAAACTTGTCATTGTCTTGCAAAGTTGGTAGATATCTGCTAGCTTGTCATTTTACCCACTTCCGCCCGTGCATTTACAGATAACATACGAAGTTATGTAGCAGTAATAACGTTTTCTTGCAAAACGCCAAACTCATATAATCATGAATCCCTATCTATACAATTTGTCCCACGAGCTTTTTCCTAGCTCTGGCCACGTTGCGGACCCACATGCAGGTTGGCGTTTAAGGAGAGTGCAATAACATTTTGTGCCTGTTATTGTATTACACCGGCTTACCAACTTGCCGGTGTAATTCCGATGAGTGCATACGATATGATAATCAATATCACTTGGATCGATCAAATAAGGCATCTAACGATGAAGCAACTTACCATCTATTTGGAGCCTTAATATTTTGTAATTCGATAAGCAAAGGTCTAGGAGGGCGATCTCTTCCAAGAAATGTTGTCGGGTTTATGTGAGTTCCTCCCGCAACTGCTTGTCTATGTAATATTTGGACTTCTTTTTGTATTACAAATGATCGACAATTAGAAAGAGCACTTTAGTATTAACATGTTGTAAAACTTGTCTAATTATGTGATCATTAAGGCTTATATCCGCAGGAGTAATAGCTTTAATACTTTCTGGTTGTTGTAAAAACATATTCTTCACTACTTTTAACAGTATATTTATCCTCCAGCTTTGTTTGTTGGACTGGAGATAATATATCCTGATGCGTTTGTGTCGTTTCCGGCTCGTTAAATGATGGTCGAAGTATCTCAACAAGCTTGATACTAGTGCTTTTACGCAAAAGTTGCACACAGCCCGCGTTGTTTAAGCGCTCTGATATGAGATGATGCGTGACGCGGAACTCGGTTAGAGATGGCAAATCGCCGAGTGCAGAAAGGGAACCAGTGAGGTAGGCTCTGGGAGTCTGTCAAGTGCAAGGATTCGATTGATGTTGTCTTGAGCAGATCCGCAAACATAGATAGAACAGCACCTTTGTTCTCGTAGACGACTTGACCAAACAGTGGCAACTTTGATTTTTTTTAGAGTGGTAGTCGGGTCACGGCTGTCAATAACTTGGGCAGCATTCTCTGGTCCATGAGGTGTAAAAGCTCCAAACGAATTTCTTTAAAAGCTAAAAAATATTAGAGCAGCCAGGCTTTGGAACACCGTCTGAACGGCATTAGAGTTGTTGTTGATTGCCCAGTTGTTACTATTACTACGACTGCCACCGCCATCTTCACCGTGGTCGAACATGTTTTGAAAAACAGTTTCAATGGCTTGAGGAGTTGTGTCACGTTTACTGTTAGCGTATCTGTATTTACAAAGAGCTTTTTAAAACGAGGACATTGACGAAACATAGCCACGAGTGTTGCACCGTCTAGCGTGATATGATAGCAAACTAGTGTAAGCAAATGGCGTAGTATGATTTGTGTTGAAAAAAATCCTATCTGGCAGGATAAATGGAACAGTGATGTGCGGTAAGCTCCAAGTGCTTCAAAGTAGTAGCATTTCGTATGAGGTATGGGCCAATTTGTTCGTGACTGAACTGAAATGTCTCTCGTCCGTTAAAGTACTCAAGATCAGTGAGTGATGTCTTTGCTGTTGTCACAATTATTCTCGCAGCTACCATCATCTTTATACGTCTCTCGATATTCTCTTGGTATAGCACGGTACGGACTTGCGGTTGTCTGCATTTAGACATAAGTAACGAAGTTTGAAACACCATGAAACAAGCGCGTCAAGGTTTATCGGGAATGCGTTCTGGTATGTGCCCATGGCACCGCATGCACACTGTTGTAATATCTAGGAGTTGGCAAACGCCAAGTACGCGTTGGAGCACGACGCGTTGTCGTTTTGCGCAGCAGCAATTGTTTGGTGATCACTTTGGAGTGCAGGATCATATCCGTTTTGCTTTTCGTAAGCGTCAGCGCGATGAAGCAGCGCCATAGACAAATCACTATGTAAATTGTGAATGACGCTGGTGAACAAAGTTGCTGCTCGGTCGTAATCGCGCGCAGCATTTAATTTGTCGCCCTTGGTTGAAATCGGGTTAGGCTTTTGCCTCAAGTCAAGGTTTGCTACAGTAAACAAGTTATAAGCATTGCCAGGATTGACCAATGTAGGCATTTGAGGAAGTGTTGCTTTTGCCACGTATAAGTTTGAAAGAGAATTAATGTAGGGTATATAATAGCGGCAAAGTGAGAGAAAGAGGGAGATTTGATCTAGCTCCCAAAGCCCGCACAAATGTGCCAGTTGTGCAAGTGTTCTTGTGGTATGATACTACAGATGTTTGTTTGTGCTCTTGTGCTCTCGATTTAACTTCCATCCTTGAAATCCTACTGGAGGGGTACTACCGTCTATTACATAGTAAGGATAGGGATGATGTATTGGGTATGATGTGGTGGAGTGCATGAAGCATATCGTTTTGCTAAATATCTAGCTATACGGGCAGCCTACGCAGTCCAAGTGTAGTGATGCGCACTCGAACGCGTATAGAATCTGATGGAAGTACAGTACTCATAAAACTTTTTTACTAGCAAGATATACAGTGTTCGATAATAGGACAAGTAATGGCTCACTTCTGCTGCAGCTGTTAAATATAGTGTCGATACAGCGTGGTTAATTACTAGAGACCAGTGTATCTTACTGAGAATGTGCAAGCGAACTAGGTGCCCGTAGCAAAAAAAAATAATTTTCTTATTAAAACAGAAGAGATTATTTTTTATTAGCGTTTCAACGGGTATTTTGTTCTAGAAATTTTTATATATGTAATAGAAAATAGGTCTTGTCTTTCTCTTTCAATCGTTCAAATTTACTTTCTAGCTGAGCATGCTTTGATAAAGAATCAAGGCGACCACGGCAATGATACACACAAGAATAGGTGACAAGTACGATGAGTTTGCTCGTTGTACCTTTGTGCTTGAAGCAGGAATGTTGGTGGTAATCCACTGTTCAATCTATAATAGAAAGTGTTAGCTTTCCTCTTAAATGCCACTAATATTCACTACCACCACTTCAAATGTATCTACAACACAATCCTTCCTTTCCAAACTAGCAAACAACAAAAGTATATAAACATAAAAGCCAAAAGTTGTTGTTACCTTGCCAATTGCCATGGAAACGGCCAAAAAGTTAGGGTCGCGAGCGTCATTCTTTTTGGATATCTCATGGACATAGTGACGGAAAACTGAAACGACATTATCCATGCTTGTAGCAGCCAAAATCAATTCCACCGCCTCGCCTTTGCGGATCTTGATATTGCGTTGATAGACGTCCATGTTGTTAAATACGAGAGCGAGGGTAGCAATCGCCATGACTTGGGGGATGGCGCAAAAGTTAAATACAGATTGGTTACGAAGCTGCGCCATGTACGTCAAGACATCCGGTACAAGATCCAACACGTTCAAAACCATGGCATTCAAACACGCACGGGCCTTATCCGTGTGCTCCGGCTTGATAAAATCGGCAAAATCGTCTGCATAGTCGCCCCAGATCTCGCGAGGCCAGAACTGGCGTCCTTCTTCCAGATCTTCTCGATAATCCCGGATAATGTTGGTCTTTTGCAAAAACAGACCCATGTTGTTGGAAAGTGTCGTGTTGGCTGCGACAGAGGGCGCTTCCAGAGAAGATGCAGAAAAGAGATCTGAAAGACCGTGGCCGACGAGACCAGCGACATAATGGCAGTAGAGATCGAAATCGGCGATCGTGGCAACGGATGTGTTTTCGCGGTGTTCGCCCGTAGCATAGTCGGCCATGCCGTTGCCCATCTTTCGGGCAATATCGGCAATCACTTGTTGGAACTTGGGATTGAGTTTTAAGAATTCGTCGATCACAACGTCGAATTTGACCAGCAGTTCTCTGTCCTTTTCATTGGGTCCGTCTAAAGATATAACCCCAAGTTAGAAAAACCACCATCCTTATTCTTTGCTCATCTATAAGAAAATAGAGTCCTTACTCTCGTTGAATGTCCATCCACGCTGATATATAACCTTATCGAACGAACGCAACAACTCCACTTTACGATCCAACGGCAATGTCATGTCATCCTCAATTGTATCCAAACCACGCAGCACCAAATAAAACAAGCACACCTGTGAAGCATTAGAGTACATGAGTTGCCTATTATAATATTTCCCCGCGCATGCACACACATGCCCTTTACACCCTGCCGGAGAGACATACAGACTCTTATTTTAGAAACACACACAAACTTACAGCATCTCGCAATTGATCGTCCAGTTCCTGGATGACTGCAGCAAAACTACGCGATGTCTACATACATTGTACCAAACAAGTCTTAGAACAGGGAAATGGGAGGAGGTGATACGCGTAGTGTCACTGGGAGTGAGTTTATTTCAAACACTCATGTAATATGTGTCCTTATTATTACCATGTTCAAAAAGTCGTAGCACCGTTTCTTATTTTCATCTTTGGTGAGGTTTTGTCGATGGCGACGAATGTTTTCGGTCTTTGGCGCAAATTTGTATGAAAACAGAGCCTGCAGTTCGGATGGTCTCGTGATTGATTGAACAAAGGCGTTCAGCATGGTTGCTAAAGATGATAGTGAACGAGGAAAAAAAAAGAGAAATTCAATGAGTTCTGGAACTCAAATTAGCTTTTTTTGTGTGGTTTCCTTTGGTAACGAAATTACTCCGCTGCTGTTGCTATAAACACTGCAGCCACATGCAAATAGGTGACTTGATGGATGTTGATAAAGGGTTTCCATTGTTGTTCAAATTTTTAAAAGATATAAGAGAAGAGAATAAGTGGAATAGAAGGACACAAAGAAGACAACATGAACAACAACAATGGTAATCTTCTGAAGGGGGGTCTTTTGGAAAAAGGAAGAAAGCTTCTTCTTGTTTAGAAATCAGGAAAGAGGTTATGGTACGGGTCTGTGGTGCCAGTAACGCCATACTGCTCTTGTGTTTCGGGATATCGATCGAAATGGCTGGCGTCGCCATCACCTCGGATCTGTGGTATGTAAGGAGCCCGGATCTGGCGGGCAAGCAATCGATTGAAATCGACGCCTTCAAACCAGCGATGGTTCTTTATATCGTCTGCCCCGTTCTTGAGGTTACCGTACCGCTTGGACAGATCCGACGTCAACAGCCGTTTCAGCAAGTCTTTGGCGTGCGGATCAAAGTATTGCGGCCATCGAATCCTGCCCTGCAAGATCTTTTCGTACAGTTTCAAATGGTCGTCGTCATAAAATGGCGGGTATCTTTTGTATACGTCAAATGTTGTCAGTTTCCACCTGTCTATTGACCCTATGCACTCACACACATAAGGAATGTAACTTACCCAGCCAACATTTCGAAAATAAGGACACCCAAACTCCACCAGTCGGCAGCCTTGCCATAGCCTTTCGACTGGATGATCTCCGGCGCTGATATATGATTAAAGAAAGGTCCAAGTCAACTCTGTTGTTGCCTCCCCCCACTGATATAGGACACGTGCTATCCCTCATCCAATCCCAAAAATTAAAACAAACGTACCCAAGTAGTCTGGAGTGCCACACAGCGTCCAAGTGATATCTGGCACGTATTTAGCAAAGCCAAAGTCCGTTATACGGATATGGCCCTGCGCATCGAGCAACAGATTCTCGGGCTTCAGATCACGATAGATCACGTCTTTGGAATGCATGTATTCAATTGCAAGTATCACTTCCGCCGCATAAAACTTGGCCACATGATCCGGGAAGCGCTTTTGTTTTTGGAATAGACCATACACACATATCATAATCATATATCAGCAGTCGTCATTTTTTGTATAGTCCATGAAACGCAGTATAGATTATATATACACATCTATAAAATCAAACTGAAATATAATAACGCCTTCATCGTAATGCAGCAGCCTTTTCCCTATTTTTACCTGTGAACGACGAAGCACCGAGAACAGCTCACCCCCCGGCACATAGTCCATCACCATGTACAGGTTCACATCGTCTTGGAACGTTCCCCACATGTTTACCAGAAACGGATGCGCCACCGTCTCCAGAATATGCTTTTCGTTGTTCGAATGAGCCACTATGTAGAGCACACAAGCTAAATAACAAAATCCCACTTTTATAGACTTCTCTCCCATCCCCACTGTCAGTACCTTGTTTCAGCCGCACGACCTCGGACTTTTTCAGCACTTTGACAGCATAGTACCGCGCATTCACACGAGACTGGACAAGATGGACACGCCCAAACGATCCAGTTCCGAGTGTTCGCAAGATATGAAAATCGGCAAGTTTGAGCTTGGGTCGATTCTGGCGCTGCTGGATGATTGCGTTATCGTTGTAGATGGATGTGTACGAGGGCACATTTCGGACGTGTCGCTCGCCCTTACTTGTCGGCTGTGAAGTGTTACTTGTCGTGCTTTTGGCATCTTGGTTGTCGTACACCGACTGGGTCGTCAAGTGCGGCCGGCTCGGCTGTTGTTCTTGATCCTTGGGTTTGCTCTGCTTCATCGCTACTACAGTAGTAGTAATGGTGGACGACTGCTGTAAGGAGGCCGGTCTTTCTCCCCTTTTTCTCTTTTTACCTCGTAGCGATTCCGAAGACGAAATATTCATAAGCTCACTTGTTTGATGTGGTTGTTGTGATTGTAGTTGCGACTCATGCTGCTGGTTTTGTAGTTGTTGCGAAGACGATGGGGACGTTTCCATCTCGTCACCGTGGTTATGCGTCGTAGTGGACGACGACGACTGCGTGTTGAAATCTAGTATCGAAGAGTCAGTTCTTTGCATACACAACATACGCCCATTGTTTCTTAAGCCTCATCATACTACTAACTCTCTCTCTATCTCTCCTTTGTAACCTTCTTTTTAGGCAATAAGCTCACACCATCCACCACCATCATATGCCCCCCCCCAAAGACCTCCTTTTGACGCCTCTCTTTCTCTCCATTCTCATACTGTCCTATGGAGTTACCCCTAGCTATCGACCATTCCCCCCAAACACGATTAGACCCAACGCTTTGCTCATCCACCTCCTCTTTTTTCCTACGCTCCCGTCTTGGTCACAGCCACCCTTGTTTAGCCCGTTTTGTTTCCATTACCTGGGTTATCAAGACTCATCCGAGTCGCTTCATCTGAAGATGTCGATCGAGTCATTTCTGGATGAGAAGCAGCGTTACTACTATTGTTATAAATATTCGCGGGTGGTGTCGCGAGACCATTTAAAGATGATGATGGTGCTGCTGCTGCTTTGTGCTGCTGTTGTTTTTGGTTATTAGCTAGTGAAGAAAAAGAATTATGCAACGAACTCGGCGATTCCTTTGTAGGAGTTGGAGCAGGAGTAGACGGTTGCTCTACAGACGGAGGAGTAGCAGCAGTAGCAGTAGTAGTGTTGTTGTTGTTGTTGTTGCTATTGTTATTGTTACTGTTGCTGCTGTTGTTGCTATGTTGCGATGTGTGTCTCGCTTTATCAATAATCTTGTTAAAGAAGGTCATTGAAGCAAGAGAACAAATATTTCTTTTTTGTACAGAAGGGCGGTGCAAGAAAAAAGAAGGTTAAAAGAAAAAGAGAAAGGAAGAGGTTATTATTACCTTTTTTCTTCTTTTGCCCTATTTACCCACACTCCTGTTATATGTACTAATACCTGCTGCCAAAAGAAACACTCAGCAACGTTCTTTCTCTCTCACCGCGTACTACTGCCTCTGTTATTTAAGCAGCTACGCTCAATCGAAAAAGGTATGCTTAGTGGCAGTAAGGTCGCACATTACAATTTGACGTCATGCACCCAATAATCGTTCGTTTATATATTAAGAGAGCCGTTTAGATCAGACATTTTATTCCGCTGGCTCTTTCTCTCTCTCTTTTTTTAACTCTTTCTAAACCTAGCGATACATGGGCCTAATTCTTCGCTTCCTTTTACTGTTGGCCATTACACGCTTACTATTGGCGGATGCCGTATCCATGGTAAGCATTCATCATCACCTGGACAACCCTACGTTCCTGAATTTTCTTATTAAAACCAGATTATAGACCGGAAGCCGCAATACTGCTGCCAGCAGTACCAGCAGCAAATATACCCACCATTCAATATTCAGAGCCGTAGCAATGACATACCAATATGATTCTTTATTTGCAGCTAAAGAGTACGAGACATACGTCAACACCTCGGGCATGGACATGGCCCCACCCGTCCTGCTCCATCAGTTCGGATTAGGATCTACTCGACATCGTCAACAACAACAACAACAACAACAACGAAATGACAACAACCAAGCCTCCTCCTCCTCATCTCTCCACCGCGCCTCCTCTGCCACTGCCACTTCTTCCTCAGCCGCCATTACAGACAAGTCGACAGCAGCCACGTCAGAACTCCTGGTTTCTGGACCTGCCCTTGCGTTCATTGTCGTTCTCACGTTAGGCGCATTTATGTTTTGATTCTTTCCCTCTTTTTTTCTGCATTTCCCCTCCCGTTCTGATACGACGAAAAACCAGAACATATACCCAACACAAGCACATACGCATACTCTATATATACACTCTGCATGTAAACTTATTTAATTTTGTACAGAATAAAATTCAAACGTATCTTAATTTTACGATAGAAAGAAAATGTATACATGAAAAAAGCTATTTCTTGCTGTAACACACATGCACACGCACAGCCAAAAAATTTGATCCATTGCCGGATCAGAGACATGCACTTATTTTTTCTTTGTCCTTCTGAAGAAAACCAAACCCCGCAGCATATGTTCTTTTTCTCTTTGGGCCCGTCGATCTTTTTACTCGCCACATCACTCCGCTTACCCGATTTGCCAAGCTCTCCAGTTTGACGCCTTACCAAATTAGTACTGTATATGACTGGGAAATTGGGGTGATTTCACAAAGGCAATTGGTCTCGAACTAGTATCATTAGTTATTAATTCCACTCCAGGCAATGTGTATTTAGAAATTTAGCCTGACAATGGATAAAAGAACGCGATCATTCATAAATAATCTATAGAACTGTTCAAAAAGCTCAAGTGGAACAGGTAACACGGGCCGCACCGGTTTTCCTCTTATGAGAATATCTTGCTTTAAAAAAAGAAATATCATATAGTTTAGCCAACATTTCATAAGCGGCAATGATGGCATCCGATATCACTGATGATGTAAAACCGGTAAACAATGATGTTGTACATGCGTTATGTAGCCTGCCACTTTCCTAGTTTTGGGCTGTTGTTGATGTTGTCGCACACGAATCTTTCTCTTTCCGTAAAGCTAAATTTAGCACGTAGCATGGTTTTTCAAAAAGGGTATTTTAACACTTCTCAGCATCGCCACGACTTTTTCGATGTCATAGCAGTTCTGCCACCTGGGTAAAAAAGTTGCTAATACCATCCTCATCAGAATATAATTCGGAGACGTGTAAAGTTAGAGAGGAAATCCTTAATTAATACAAGATAATTAAGAAAAAGAGAGCGCACAATAACCAATTTCTTTGTCCAGAAGTTGATGCTGATGGTGATCGCTAGACCATTTAAACGTGTTAGAAATATTGCTGCTCACATCCCCACATTAAGTAATATATTCATTAACAAGTAAATTGTTTTGAAAGAACCAGTTGTACTACAGTCTCAACCGTTTAAAATTATGTTGCTGTAACTACAATACCGCTTTCCTAGTCTTGTTAAGTGTAACCGGGGCGAGGTCGACGATAATTATTTTATCATTATCGCTGCGCTACAACAATAGGTATAGAACTCGTAGCTATCATAACATTGCTAATATTGCAAATCTAACGCTTGCATGTTCTCATTTGATCACTACTAGACACAGGTATGAAAATAAAAATGCCAAGCCTTTGACGATACACAGTCCATTCATTACCAAAGTAATTAGCGAAAGTCTATCTTTCTAATCAGTTTACGTGTGTATATGTAGACCACCGCCGCATGCCAAGACAACCACTAATTACATACACTCTTCTTTACGGCGATGACGGGGTTGGCCGAGTAGTATTAGAAGATTATCACTTGATTGGTTCCCTGTTGTGGTAGTAGGTTTACTTGTGTATATATGAATCTGTTTAACCAAATAAGAAACGCGTACCTAGACTAAATGATGTGTGATAATGACAAGCTTAGGTGGTAGGATCTACAAT